GCGGCAAAGTGATCATGACCACTTTAATAACTCCTTAGATATAACATCCTGTTCTCAGTGCTCATAAGCAGTGAAATAAATCTTTCACCCCCGGACAATAACCGCGATATATCAAAACAGAAACGACTTGTAGGAGAGAAATTGATTTTCTTTTTCCCCTGGCCATTTAGGTTCAATCAACCGGAGATGTTAACATGCAATATGGAAGCTCATCTAACATAAAAGTAGATTATTAAAATTCATTATACGGCCAGAAAGTGTTCTGGATCAGCTTTTCTGATTTAACCAGATTACCTCTGTTAAAGTCAAAATTTTAGCTAAGAAATCAGTAAGTATATCCTTGGCGCTTATTTTCCCCACCTTGAGGTTCTCCAGGGGGCATGAAGTTTTAGTTCCAACTGACAATGTAGTACTGATAAATTGATGTTTTTAAGAAGGTACTAAAAATTGCCTGTAAAGCTGATGATACACAGGGCAACTTTTTGAGCAATGATGCTGGGCAATGTTGCTAGTGGCAAGTCCGACTATGTTTTGAACATATAGCGGCAATGCGGGGCGGGTGGCGGAGTGGTGAGGGAAGGGGATTACGGTAGTAATCTTTACTCATTACCATTGACGGCAACGTTGCCCTTCACGATTGCTCTAAAAGTTGCTCTGTGTGTCAACAGCCTATCCCTTCAGTTCCGACGGCCACACAGACAGTTAACCAGCTTGCTGGACGATGTTTCTGTGATTTGAGCACTTCTTATGTTAGTCTGTACATTAGTTACTCTGCTTGTTCATTAATCTGTACATTGGTTACTTGGTCATGACTTGAATCATAGAGTATTGGACCGGTGAGTTTACAGGACTGCCCATTAGCCTACTGTGAGTTCCAACAGTCTGGTTATTTGCCATCAACACAACTGGATCCATGAAAGACAGACAGCTAATTCTAAGTAGACTTTGTATTATGTGTGACATCTAGAGAGAATTGTGCTGATCAGCAAACTAGCCCAACTAGCTTCTGAGAGAAAGCTAGTTAGCCTGACTAGCTGGCTTCCAACTTTATAAGCGGATTTGAAAACTTCACAGCACACCAGGACTACCCAAATGTTGCCTGTTGTAAAGGCCGATGTCTTAAACCTCACATACTAACAAAAGGGGAGGGGGCCCTTGTACCAATGTTAGCAGGCTTTACTTAGCTATGACTTGCTCCAATCAGTAGTGCACCCATAACACACCACAGAAGTTGGCAGCACGTCTCCTAGTAATGCCGGCCCTCAGATGTCAGTCAACTGCTGTAATGGAAAGACTTGATCTTCAACCATACTGTACACAACAATGTGAACAGTAGGTACATATAGATTCAGGTGGGCTATATGGCTATGTGCCCAAGTATAAATTATTAATCAAACTTTATAAAGTAAATCCAAACCAAATGTGAGGCACCTGGGTGTGTGTGGGAATATGCTTACACTGACTGAATTTTTCTGAAATTTACAATTGGCCGACCCAATTCGACTTCACTACAGCTGCCAACAGAGATAAGCAGTTGTTTCATGTCTGCTAAAATGTACATGTTTTTCCACCTTGAACACACGCAAATCCAATTATGTTCTAATTGAGTGTTACAAGGCTCATTGATTATGACAGAGGCAGTGCAGCAGACTGAGCCGGAGAAAAATATACCCATTAATTACCCACCCTGCACCCAGGAGGCTTTCAGGAGGCATGATTTAATATTGAGGCAATATTTCTCAATACAACTCAATTTGAACTGACTTTGCCAACAATTAAATTTGAATATTAAAACATCATAAAGAATACCCAATTCCGGATTTCAAGGTAGATACCATTATATTTGTTTTATTCATCTGAGGAATATTTTAAATCAAAACTAGACTGAGTTGAAAAATCTCCAAAGACCCATTCAACAATTAATTTCATTTTAATTCAAATAATGTCTATTACAGAACCTAATGTATTCTCTGTATGAGGACAGCTGTGATAGCAGACTGCTAACTCAGTTCAAAAGGAAAACTGGAGTCAGCTAGTTAATAATTATAAAGGTGTGCTTTTCCTCATGGTATTTCTACTTTGCCTCCTCAAAAATTATGTTGAGTCAGTATTCAGGTTTAACTAAATAGACTGAATTACTGGGAAATATCAGTCGGGGGGGACATAGTCCATTGCTTTTATGGAAAGGTCATTAGAAGGTTGTTATCGCCTGGTGTTTGGAGGAACAAGTATGGTCTCTTAGTATGCATAAAAAGCTTGCACTTGAGATTTCCACTTCAGTATCAGTAGCAAGAAGCTAGACAAGAAATAACAAAGAGTTCTTGAATTCAAACTAATGGCCGCACATATGGCAGCTGTGTGAGCCGTGAAGGTAAGATCTTAAAATACAAATTATGTTGTTCCTATGAACAGGTCTTTATAAAAGGAAGGAATCTAATTTCAAAGGTCAACTAAAACTGCAAGCAGTTGTAAGCGGGGTCAAAGCCTCCCGGCGCAAGCCGTCCCCTCGCCCCGCGGAGGGCATGCGAGTCCACCAGGACGCCTGCAGCTGCTCGAGGGCCGCATGGAGAATAAACGGCCAGAGATTGAAATTAAAGGGACTTGCAGTTACGGAGATATGAAATGAATGGATGTCTATGGGAGCGTTTTTTAATATTCAATTAATAGCGCCTCCTTTTGGCCGATTGACACCAAATTTCACACAGCCCTTCAGAAAGGCATGCCACATAAGGTCCCCAAGTTTGGTGTTGATCGGCCATTCCAAACCTAACATATGACATCACTTCCTGTTTTTGGTGTTTTATGAAATATTTGTTAGTTTATAATGGGAACAGTTTTTTACGTATCGATCTGGGGAGCACAAGCCTGTATCAGGTTCATCCAGAGATGGTCCGTGCCAAGTTTGGTGCCGATCGTACTTGTGCCTTCAGAGGAGTTAATCAAAATAGGTTTTTCAGTTTTTGCGATTTAGCAAAATGAAAACGTCATCGCACAGAGGCATGTCCTATACCATATGAGTCGGGACCATCCCCAAAATGCGTAGACATAAGATTTATGAATGTGCGACGTAGAGCCGCATAGTTATGAGGCAAAATGTTTGTTGATTCAAATCCATTTGAAATGAATGGGACTTTCTGATGGTTTTTGAGCATCGATTATAGCGCCACCTTTTGTCCGAATTGGACCAAATTTGTCAGGTGTCATCAGGGGCCATCAGGAACAATTGACCCAAATTTGGAGTGAATCGGACCTGCGGTACCAGAGATATAAAATGCATGTAAGTCAATGGGATTTTTTCTGACGACTTTACTTTGCAATAACAGCGCCACCTATGGGCACATTAGGGTCCACTTTGGTGCCTGGCGTCAGGGGATGGTGCTGAACAATTTGGCACAACTTTCATGTCAAGGCGACTTGTGGTTATAGAGGAACAAATTTTTCGGGTTAAACACCGCCACCTAGGGGCTAGTTGCACCAAATTTTGCACAGGCCCTCAGGGGGGCGTCCCACATAAGTGCTTCAAGATTGGTGTCGATCGCCGATTCCAAACCGAAGAAATGACATCACTTCCTGTTACTAGCGTCTTGCGGCAATATTTGTTAGACTATAACCAAAACAGTTTTTTGCATATCGATCTGGGGAGCATAATCCTGAATCAGCTTGTCCCAGAGATGTTCCGTACCAAATTTGGTGTCGATCGGACCAGCGGCTTTGGAGGAGTTAATTCCAGCATGTTTTTCAGTTTTCGCAATTTTACAAAAAAAATTATAGGCGTAAATGGGCGTGGCCTATATCAGGAGATTCAGCTCGATCCCCTGAACGCGTGGATATAAGGTTTTTGATATACACCTTCGTATGCGGGACTTACAGCGATTTGAAAAACCCAAATTTTGGCCGTTGCTTGTAGCGCCCCCTAGAGGTAGAAGTGTGCAAATTGTTTCGCATGCCGTCGTCTCATGGGCCTGAACCTACCCTGTGAGTTTCGTGTATGTAGCACTTATCGTCTAGGCCGCAGTATCGGAATTAGGCCAAAACGTAAGGAAGAATAATAATTATAAAAACGAGAACGAAAACAATAGGGTTCCCAGCCCACTTCGGGCTTGGACCCCTAATAAAGACAATCTCTGTCTCTGCACTACCATCACCACTGAGTCAATTGACAGTGCAGTGAAAGACAGTGGAGTCTAAAAAATGCATTTGTGAAGGGCATCTTTATGCACTCAATCCTAATATAATAATGTCAAAACCACAAGAAGCTAATTTTAGTAGTGGCGTTTTGTATCATAACTGCTCCAGTTATACGTAAGGCGAATTTGAGGGGATTTTCTGCTCCTTGGTTTGGAAAACTCCAGAGAAATTAGATACATGGATGTCTTTTGTGTTGTAGTAATCCCAGAACTGGTGTAGGTATTTGGCTAGAGCCTAACTCATCTCCCTGTAGGAGTCAGTGAGCACTCTCCTCCACAAAAAAAGTAGTTAATGATGTTATTCACAAAGGGTCTGACTTCATGGAGGGACACAGCGAATGTCCTTGTTACTTGAACTTCACAGTCACCACCTTGGCCTCCTTCCTTTCCACCTTGATGGGGCTCCCTTGCATTGTGACAGCTGTAAAATTGGAAATGTATGTCAGAATATACAGTAACAGCTTGTTATATTGATTCAACTGGAATAATCCTGTTTGGCCTGAAATGTCAACAGAGCAAATAAGTAATATATATATTGCAACATGTCAGTATTCCCAGTCTTACCAGGAACTTGACCACATCTCTATATGTTTCACAATGTTACCTCAGTTTGCATGCAGCAGCACTTTTATGATTCTCACCACAACAAGATAGAGTCAGGTCAAAGTACTGACCTCACACTGCATGTGAGGTGTCCATAAAAAAAGAAAAGTTGCTCTTCAGATTGTTGTTTTGTTAATGTAATTATTAAACTTCTCCAAGGTGGGTGTGTGGCAGAAAGTGATGAGGTATGTACAATTTGAGGGGGAACTGTTCAGGAAATACACAAAATGCAGCCTATTTCATATGCATTTCGGGCACATTGGTGCCAGCAGTCCTGCTTTAAATAGTCATCTACCTTCCACGCCTACCTGGCGCTGCAGCCCACCTGCATACGGTCGGTAAGTAACCTTGCATGTCAACGTTTATTAAACCGATTAGCCGTTGTAGCTGATAATAGATACAGCCACAATTGTCTGTGGTTTCCCATGAAAAGCACGAGTGGGTCGAATAACGGGCTTTTGCGTCAAATACACATTGAATTCCTCCTGTAGCCTAAATGGCCATATAGTCCAGTATATGTAGAATAGAGAGGAACAGGTGAGTAAGTTACCTGTTGCTGGGCTCGGGCTGAAAGTCTCTTTGTTATCAGAAGATCAAGCTCAACTTCAAAGGCAGGAAGTCTGTCCATCACGGTAGTGTGAAACCGAATCCAGAGGACCTGGCTGCAGCTGCCCTTCACAGAACAGGAGACAAGCTCATCTGTGGGAAGTACAGGACAACACTAATCTGCCTGCTTCATTTCTGTAATCTTGTTTAAAACAGTGCAAAATAAAAGTGTCGTTTAATTCGATCGTCCGGCAGACAAATGCCTACATGTTTAAGCAGAAAATATATTTCAGTAGTGTGGAAACGTCTGGGATCCTCAGACTCCACTGATGATATTATGAATGTGAAAATCAGTAGGCCTTCAAAGTATCTTGGCGATATATATTGACAGTGTTTTAGCAGCACTAATGGAAGGGTAGAGCCAATTTCAGTATGAACCAAGGACTTTTAAAAGGTAGTTTATATTCATGCATTATTTTTTGTAGACCTACAGTATTAACATCTTCTTTAAAGCACTGGAGGTAACTGTGTCTTTACGTTTGTTAGTTTGTGGGCGCTTGACTTGTCACTGTTGCGGTTTAGATTGGATTAATCAGTAAACAGATTATGCTCGTTTTTACAAGGCATATGCTTAATAAATATATATATATATATCCTGCCAAAGGGCGTTTGGGCCGACTTCCTAAACCTGATACAAGTGAACTGGCTCAATCCGACTGCCTCTCTGTGATGTAATTATAACTGTTCAAAGCATTCTTTGTTCAGTGACCCTTTCTTTCCTGGGCTGTTTTTTTTTGGGGGGGGGGCACATTTCATTGGTTGGCTTACTATGCTTGAGAAACTATGTTTTCTCAGGAGTGTTAGGAGGGAATTTGTTACTTTTTAAAGAAGTGTGACTGTAATCCTGGCATAATGAGTCTATGCTGACATGGAGGCAGTGTTGCAAAACTGACTTAGTCTCAGCCAGCTGCAGCTAAATGCAGGAATGCAGACATGTTGCAAAACATATACAACCTTTTTTTTAATGGTGCCAAGGGTGTCACTTTGTGTTAAAAAGTGGTGGGGACATTTAAGGGCTCAGATTAGAGTTGGAACAAAACACATCGCATATAACGCGTGACAATGCAGAATATTGGGGTCAGGAGAACAAGACTAGAAGATATTTTAATGCTATTTAAAAATAATTATTCATTGAGTCCTCCCCCAAAATATTTTGATCATTAAACACTTAATTTCCTGCATTCTGGAGATATTTCCAACACGATTTATGGTGGAAATGTCTTTATTTATATAAATGGGAACACAAAACTCAGGTGGCCAGCGACAATTCAGAATATAAAAATAAAATGGAAAATAATCCATTTTTTGGCTTATGTCATTTCTTTTGGACAATGCAGATCTGTTTTTTTTTCACTATTTACATTGCATTGCATGTTTTCTTATTGTGCCAAAAAAAACTTTCTCATAGCACTTACATTTTTTATTTCACATTTCTTGTTGCAAGCTATTTTTAAGAACATTTTTAACAAATGCTTTCAAGTGGTGGAGACAACATCAGCTCTTTCAAAAAGTGATGGGGACATGTCCCTAGTGTCCCCATTATAAATGACACCTATGAATGGTGCACATAAACATATAAATTTGTGCATTAGCAGTTCCTTTTATTAAACTTGTTGCAGAAATAAAATAATTGGAGCTAGGGTGTTAGTATGGCCCTTGACCTTAGCCTGTCTTTGTAGCACTCGCCTCCTTGTGCTTTACTTACGTTGGAGGTTATTTGTGATCATTTTCCCTCTCTTTATAGAGTTATTAAATTTTCCATTAAGCTTTTACATCCCTAAGAACTAAGTAAAATTCCCATTTTGAGATCTCCCTTCTCTTTTCAGGATAAATAAGAAACAACAGTAGATCATCAGAAAGAGAAAATAAGGACAAGCATAAAAAGGAGAGAAAAAATATTTAATAGTCAAAACTGTGATGTAGCAGAAATTAACCCAACAATCTGTTGGGTTAATTTAACTACTTTTGTTAACTCAAAGAGCTCTGACAAGTTTTGGATTTTGAGTTTTTTTGTGTTGACTATTTAAGACTTTTGTCGTGTTGATTGTATGTGCATATGTAAGTTATCAGTTGAAAAAAAAGGTGGGTGTGCAGGGATGGGAACAAGAGAAAAGAAAATAGCTTATTGCCACGTCTTTTGAGTTTGAGAGAAACATACACATAATCAACTAATTATTAGGGTCGAGCGAGTACTCTGTTGAAACAAGTATCTGGTACAGATACTTTTTACTAGTACGAGTATCATAAAAGTGTAGAGTAAGTAGTAGAGTAAAATCTGTTTCCTAATAAACCGTAAATATAGGAATCTTTTTTTAAATCAAAAATATTGCTCAAAAGCTCTATTCTGAGGCTGTAAATAGTTTTCTAATAATTTCAGGCTAAAATAACTTCCCGTTAGTCCCGCCCACATCCAGGTTAAGTCTCGCCCGATCCGACTACGGATACAGGAAATTTTATTTATTGAACAGTTACAGATAGTGGTGTACTTGCTCATCCCTACTAATTATACAATGCAGATAACTTATATATTTATATAAAAGACTAGTGCCACCGGTGGAAAGAGTTTGTGACAACGGCCTTAAGCCCCTTTCAAATCGGAGCCAAGTTGTGCTACGCTTGCTGCTGGTTTCAGTGCAAAAGTTCAACTATTTTACACTATGACTGCTGCGTGCGCATAAGATCACCAAGAGATGCGCTGCTCGTTGCTCAACGCAGCAACAAACCACCCTGGCGCTGCGCAAACACTTGAAGTTAATGGGTCTGTCTGAAAGGCCCTTTATACGTGTAAACTGAAACAAATTTGAAATTTAAATCCTCTTAACTTGAAATGGAAAGTAGTATAAATGTGGTTTTGTTTAATCTTAAAACTGTGAGTTAGAATAATGCAGAAATTTATGCCATGTATGATATTTTTTTGAATTAAGGGATCATCTCTCAATGATCAATCATTCTATGAAACGGCAGAGTACAAAAATGACCATTGTAATTTCTCAGAGCTCAAGGTGACATCTTTAAATGTCTGGTTTTCTCCGAACAACAGTCCAAAACCCAAAGATACTCAATTTATCGTGGGGAAAAAAGCTGCAAATCCTCACATTTGGGAAGCTGGAATCAAAGAATCTTTGGCCTTTTTGCTTGATGAATGATTAACAAATTATCAAAATTGTGAGTGATTGATTTTCGGTTGCCCAATTAATCAATCAATCAACAAATAATTTTGGCACTAATGTTGGTTACCAGGAAAGTAGAAGACACATCACTTTGGTGCTTTCCTTTGTTTTGACGGCTGTGATAACTTTAAAATGTGCAGTACTAAGTTGAATTTATTCTCTATGGCAAATTTCTGATATTCTGGAGTCTACTCTCCTTTGAAAGTTCACACCATGGAGACTTGTCCACATTTATTGTTGAATATTATAAGTAACAAAAGACACCACTGGTATGAAAAAAAGAACATAGATGAAGTTCCTTTCCTCAGGGCATTGTGACTGTAGCTATTGTTAAATCCATCTCATTCACATATCGTGTACTCATATCATGTTGAGATTTAAATCTCTCTCATTAGTTTTCTATAATCTTTATCAGAAGTTTACAGGATGAATTTTGTTACTATTTGGAAATTACCTATTTGGATAAACCGCTTTTTAAATTTTTTTTAAATAACATTTTAAACTAACTGGAGACCAGCGTGGCAAAGTAATGATGCAGGTATCTGGTTTAGAAAACTATATTTCCACATGAATATGCCCTTGGACATCTTTATCTTTAATTTATCTGCTGAAGAAAAGTACTTGGTTGAATGAACCCTTCCTCAATCTAAGCTGAAGGTGCAGAGTTATGTAGTGAGGTGTAGTCTGACTGGCCTTTTCCCATCCTGCTCTATTTGGTTCCATGTTGTGATTTACCTGGATTTATTTTTGTTAAGCTTTCACAAATGTAACTGAACCATGACTGAAGGGAACAGCATGGGAATTTCCCTGTTATCAATGTGGAACTTCCCTCTGATAGGAAAGGCTCATCACTCCCTGCATGTCTTATAACTCTGAACACCTGATCCCTTCATTCACTGGCTGCAGTTCCAATAACACAACCCCAAAAGTAGATGTAATCCCAGTAAACCACAGGTGGCCTTCCAGATTGGCTGCCCAGAACTCCCCATTTCTCCCTCCGTTCACACACTTCCTCTCTCTCCCCAGGCTGTGTGGTGGTAACCCTTTGCTGAAATAGGCAGTTGAGGCAGCACACTGCAGCCAGGACTTGTCACATTACTCTCAACTCCACTGCGGGACGAGGGCACCTGAATGCAGGCCTTGAGGGTGGTAAAGAGTGTGAGTGAGACAAGCCCAAACACAGGGAAACAAGGACGCCTTTGCAGCAGCAACAGAGTCTGACTTGGGAGACACTATTTCTTCTTGATACAAGGGGATAGCAGCTGTGTGTCGGTAGAGATTGTGGTTAAAAATACTCCAGCTCCTTTGTAAGACTTTGGATCTGTTTGGAAAAATACAGCACAATGGATAAGGATGCTCCACTGGACTATGAGTACCCAGACCTAGATCCTCTGCCATCCAAAATTGAAGCAGAGTAAGTACATTTTTACTGTCTTTCTGAGGATTTAAGATTAGTTCATTTAGGCTTAAATATCTCCCATCTAGTTTAGTTCTGTAGGCCTTTATTGCTTGTCTTAAAATCACTGGCAAAAATCATTGCTATATTAATTCATTGATGTGTATTAGTAGTTCTTGAAACTTTAAGTCTGCCCAATTTTTCAGTGAGACCATAGCTCTCTTTGAGATATTAGGTGACACTTGGCACAACATTCAGTTGTGCCAAGTGTGCATTCTTGTTTCCATTCAGTTCATTCGTCATATTACAATAGAGGTTATCTCTTTTTCATGCCTTGAATACAAGTTGTGTGGAAAACTGGAAGCCCATTGAACTTATTGTGTGCATTCAACCTAAAATAACAGTTTATACGTTTTACCGTACTATGCAAAGTTGGACAAAGATTTCAAACTTATACTGGCAGTCTGGAATAATCTTAACATCCAAATTGCTTTTACATATAAAAAAATGCCCCCATGTATACATTGGCACAGAATTATTAGTTAATATGATATATTTCATATCCAAAAATGGCCTGAGATAAACAATATGACAGAAATACAGTGGAACAAGTGTCATTTATCACCAGCTGAATGTTTACCTAATACACTGTCCGGTTGTCATGTAAATGAATAGACTGTGCTGAGCTGTGGTCTGAAAAGCTCTTGTGTGGCCTCCACTGTAGCTCAGTTGTACTGTAGATCAGTTTTAGCTAGCTGATTTGTAAACACTAAAATGTCCTGCTGCTCCTGCTATTCAACCAGCTCTGATTCCGGAAATGTGAATTTTGACATCTCCTTAAATTTACAAATGGTCGGCTCTCTCATGTTACAAATTCACACACTGTTTGGACTGTTTTAGACTGTTCTAAAAAATGTCAAAACAGCCATTCTGAAAGCTAACATTTCTATGCTCAGACTATACAGTATGTGTAGCATAAATAAGTCTCCCAACCTGGCATTCTCTGAATATCAAAGTTGTAAATACTAACCCATGACTAGGCATTCCTGCTCTTCCAGTGTAAAGGAACGTGAACGTAGGCCTTTGTTTTCCAGTCACGCTGATACCAATCCGTTTAAATGCAAATCTCTGCTGCAGGATTTCAGCTACAAAGTTTCCATCCACAAATGGTCCTGACAGTGACGTGTGAAAGGTTCAGTGACTCAAATCCCTGAGTCTTAAGTTTAAATGTAATTGTTTTGCTCATGTGTGAATGTTTTGTTCCTTGTGTTGTTTTTTTTTTATTGTTTTTTTTTAGAGTAATCCCTCCATGTGACCCTACTGCTGATGACAGGCTCTACCATATATGCATCACTGCGATATCTGTAAGTCAGCTTTCCTATTGGATTGATGTGACACAACATTACACTATCCTGTCATTCACTGTCACTGGGTTTATGATATCACACCATGCTAATCATCTAATTACCTCCACCAAGGAAGTTTTGTTTTCCTTAGTTAGCAGTATATCTTGGAAAAGTTGTGAGCAGGTTTTAATGACATTTGGTGGATCACTGGTTCATGGTCCAAGGAAGAAATAATAGGGTTTAGATACAGATCCAGGTGTGGGATCCTGGGCACAGGAATGGTTACAAGAAGTATTGACATTATGAAATACAGCGTCACATATAACCCATAATGGCCTATCATTATGTATTTTTGATAGAGATCCTGACCCAAAAATGATGACTTCACTACACTACACTTCATTACATTTAGACAATGGTGCAGCCTGTTGTAGATATTTGCTCTCCAAGTCACTTCCAGTTACATCACACAAATGCAAAATGAATATATAATAACTGAGTGCAGAAGATTGGTAACAAAATTGGTAAATCTTGTCACTCAACCAATGAGATCCAGTAATGTTCACTATCATTACCGTTTCACCAACTGTTCCACATTATATTTATGCTGTCTCCTGCCATAATGATGTTACTTTGTAGTCAATTTGTCTATTGATGTCGGTTTTAAGATGGTCTTGGTAGTTGGTCAAGACTGGCCCAACATAGAGCAAGGCAGTCTTCCCATCCTCGTGTTTCCTAGTGGTGTCACGGGTCATGACAGGTCATTGAACTCTCACTGGTCAGTGAGCCTGACTGATGACAGTTAATTCAGACTACATCCGTAGGGAGCACTAATTAGGCACCGGAGTTTGGCCTTTTGTGACATCAACTCATTTGTAGTGTGAAGCAAGGTGAGGCCTGAACCCTGGGGAATCCACAGCTGCATGCTACCCTGCAGATAAGGCTAACTGACGTATCTTCCTATCTATCCTCGTAGCTTGTTGTCATGCTGATCCTAGCAATCTTAGCCAGGCGCACGAAGGTGGGCGACGGACAGAAAGGGCTCCCAGGTTTACTCAGGTAAGGCTGTATTTTATCTCATATTATTTCTCTTTTCTGGAATGACAGACAATCACGTAGCTGCTTGCTTTGATGGGACCTTACTAGTAGTTTTGAATATCTAGTTCAAATCACTTTTCAACATTATCAAAAGCATATAATGGATTGATTTCCTATTTGTCTGGCAGTTAGTGGTTTCCATTCATTTAGGTGTGGTATAGGGCTGAACTGTTAATCGAAATGTTATCGAAAATCACAATAAGGCCTTTTGCTGTATTCAAAAATCACTGAAGGCGCAATATGTAGAGCTGCAATGTGTGTGAAAATACCGTTTTAAATGTAGTTACACGGTACACATCCTATTCTACAAACTTCATACCACTTCCTCAAAAATCATACCACAATCATTTTAATGTTTTTCAGTGAAAATAAGAATGATGTGAAAATGATCATTCCCTATAATAACGCAAATCATATAGCAGAATATTTTCGTTTAGTTCTTTTTTTCAAAATCGTTCAGTCTTAGTGTGGTATATTCATTTGGGGATTCGTCAACATTCAGCATAAGGGATTAATATTGCAGGGAGCCACTGGATTTACATGTTCAGTTGTCAGAACATAAATAATACAAAATCAGATGTTGAGATAAGAACCGTGTCAATGTGGTAGTTTACCATTTTATAAAGTCAACTTTTAGCTAATTCTTAAGTCAAGGATGTCTGGTGTGTCCCAAAAGCACTAGAACATAACAGCAAGGAAACATTTTTAAATAAGTTCCTACTTTATTGCAATAGCACAAACATGATCTGCACTTACGGAATCTTTTGACTTGCTGATGTACCCACGAGCAGTTAACCCCCAGATCTGCTCCGGTGCAGCAGCTCAGTGGCCAACAGATAAGACCGTGGACATACAGAGTAAATTTTAGGCGTGAATGTGTCTACTGTAATTGTGCAGTGAAACTTCCATGGATTAATGAGCCAAAAAACGGTGCCTTTTTTCCCTGTCTCATGAATGTTTCAAGCCTCATATCTGATTTCAAGGACAGCCTTGAAAGTAGAAAATCACAACTACTACTAAGTCAGAAATCATTTGTTTGTTGTGTTCGCTAAAACCAACACAAGAGGACCTATTATGCTTTAGGTTTCCAACATTTTTTTTCTATTACATTTTCAACGGCTGTTGTTATGGTCATCTGCTCATAATCTGTTCCAGGCACAGCACATTAACGAAGTATAGGGACACGCCCATCCCCCTACCACTAGTTATTCAACCACTCTGCTCAGGACTAAATATTACTCTTCAAGTTTTTGGAGGTTGTTCAAAATGTATCGCAGAAAGTGTTTTTTCTGTTGTGAAAGTTAGTTTCTCGGTGGACACATGCTTGTTAATATTTGCTAAAGTACTAAACTACTGCTAACCATGGCTGCCGTTAGCAAGTGTACTGGAAGATCTGGAAATTGAAAGAAAGAGTCTTATAACACTGGAATTGTCTTTGGGTTATTTTCTTTTTTTTCTTTTTTTTCTTTTTTTTCTTTTTTTTAGATCTAACTTATTTTCAATAATAGCCTTTTTCAAAAGGGGTCAGTATAAACATTTCAGCAGCTGACTGACAAAAAAAAGGTGTCTTGTGCTGCCTCTTATATCCTAACATTTGTGGTTAACAAAGAGGAAACCAGCATGGTTGCTATGGCTAACTGTACCTCTCGGTTAGAATAGTTAAAACTGCCTTAATGGTATAACACAGACAGCAGGAGGAAGCAGGAGTTCTTTAAGGGGGCTTTCACACCTGAATGAAAGGATGAATTTTTTGGATGGTTTGGACTTTCAGACTAGGAAAACAAACAAATGCATGGAGAAATGCACTGAAATAAGGACACAATTATAGCTCCTCCTTTCCTGTCGGCGACGTTATAATGCTCACATGCTTAATTGCGAATTTGAACCAGCCTTCAGGAGGCCTATAGTTGGTGCTGCAGGTAGTAATGCCATAATAATAATATAGTGGCAAATATGCATATGTTCATTTTTGATTTATGCATTCTTGTCAAAGATACCCTCTGAACTGTTTAATAAACCAATCAATGTCAAGTATAGGGAGACACAGCCCACAGATATGATGACGACAGGACGCAAGTGCGTCATGTAAAGTCCTTTAGTGCGCAGAATTGCAGTGTGAAACCAAAAATAACCTGATGTATCAAAACATGAACGTTCAGTCACAACAACAACAACAACATATAATATGCGCCTTTGTGTAGTGTGTCATTTCTGCTCAATAACTGTTTCATCCAGATGTGAGGCTGGTAACATGTGGGCTCTAAATACCTGCTGCTTCATTTCACAGTCCGGTCAACTTTCTGGACCATACACAGCACAAGGGCCTGGCAGTGGCTGTGTTTGGAGTGCTCCTGTGCAAACTATGGGGCCTGATCATATCGCCAAACCCCCTCCCCTTCATAGCAGACACAGAGAACAAACGTGAGGAGGTCATTTTGGTTCTTCCTGCATTAGCATCAGCCTATCTGCATTCACTTTTACACAAATTGTAAATCTTCTATAGCCACTTTATAATGTTTATCTTACTAGTTAAAAGGTGTCACTGCTTCTCTGCTGAACAACTTGACAAAAGAAAGATTCTGTTAAATCAGCAGCATGGCATGGAGAGATGTTTCTCCATAAAAATTATTTTTGTGAAACGTGTTATGTAATTGGATTATTTTGTTTCCATGTGTCTGTTATTTTCGACTAAGGAGTTTGATGGTAAGCTTCGCAGGAAGCTTTTTTTTTTTTGGCTGAAATGAAATTACATAAGAATTGACTGGAAGGAGTCGGCTCCCTGCTACTTTACACAATCCCCAAACAGTACATGGTTCAGCAGAGTAGGAAATGCAGTGGCAATTCAGCAGAGTTAGATCTTAAATCGCTCATAGTTTCCACACATTTTGGGGGGTATATTAAGTGTGGAAGTGAAACAGTATTAGTTGTCAAAGTTATATTGTTGTGTCACATGGTTCAGTAAATCAAAAATTAATGTATATTCCTTTTGATGCTCTGGTTCTTCACACACCTTTTTGCATTTGCAGATAACTGGGTGATTCTGGGAGTCTTCTACTATCCAGCACTATATTACCCTCTGCTGGCATGTGGTACTTTACATAATAAAGTAGGCTATGTTCTTGGTAGCCTTCTATCATGGACCCACTTTGGAGTTCTGGTCTGGCAGAAAATTGACTGTCCCAAAACACCTTTGGTAAGCAAAGATAGTTTTCTGTACCACTATGAGTTTCAGTGCATCTATATCTCCTTTTATGAGACAGCAATAGATTTGAGGAATAGAGTGTGTAATATTCTCTAGATTGTCACTGGATTTGTGTCATCTGAGTTTTAAGGATTATTTCAAAGACAAAGCTGATTTGTTCTGGTCTGCAAACCCATTGATTACCAAACAAAGCTGGTCTGTAGTTTATTTAAAAAGATGTGATTTGAAAAGATGAATATCAGGCTTTTCAGCTTGATTCATGGGCACATGGTTGGAGCTTTAAAACTTACACAACCTCAGGTTTTGTGCCATATCCACGTTGTTTTGGTTTTCTGTGCGATGAATGGCTACAACTCAAAACAATTAGTTCCACTGTCTGTTGGTCTTAATCAAGAGGCTTTGTTACAGTTAATCAGTTTGGATGGTTTGTCTGTTTTTTTTAATAGTGGCGTTGTCTGTCTTTTTATCCCACCATGAGCTGGCACACACCAAACGCTGCAAAAGAACAATCTCATTTATTGAATCCCAGTGTGTGTTTGTATAACCTAAAGAAGAAAGATTTCAAATATGTTAGCATTTTCTCTGCGAGTAAATCATAAACTTTTGGTCAAAGGACGTCTCAGGTTTTTGTGTGGTGGGAATCCCATTTGGCCGATATGCAGACTCCCACCACAACACACAAAGCCATTTGTGTCCGCTTTTTGTGTGAAGACAATGTGATTTTAACATGTATTCCTAGTGTGTCATTTAAAAACTCCCAAAACAAGTTGCTAGGTGATTTAAAGTCTCGCTTTTTTCCTTTGCAGATACACAAACACTACTCGCTTTTCTCCAGCCTTCCCCAGATAGCTTGCTTGGCATTCCTTAGTTTCCAGTATCCCCTTCTTCTGTTCAAGGGCTTACAAGGCACTGAAAAGAACAATGCTACAGAGGTAAGTTTTGACCTGAGTGTAGTTCCTTTGACATGTCTGCTTCAAGATGGCTGTACAGCCCTTAAGGTGCAATTTGTTTGGCCTGCTTACATAACAAATTGGATACAAGCGTCTATGTTGAATAGTAGTCCACATCCACGTAAGCCTGAACTATTTAAAAATAAATATTTCACTAAGACCCTGAATCTGTGCACATGAGGAACCTTTATAATCTGCCTGCTAATCAAGGGGCTTATGATGCTCATACAACCTAGGTTGAGGGGAAAATCTGAAGTCCAATGCGGCAAGCCAGTTGCCTAATCATTTTAAGTAGATTTGATACTAAGTAAGTATCAAATCTATTTTAAGTAGATTTGTAATTGGTTTACATTATGTTCTTGATCAGATTATGAAAAGGTTGCCTTGTTTTTTCACTGATGAGACACAATGCTGTGTTTATTTGATGCTAATCTCAGCATGGGTGTGACAAAGCTGGGGTCCCACAGGGACGCACCTGACGCCATAAATCTGACAGATACAGATTGCTTTTACCACATGTTAATGATTACAAAACAAAGTATGAATTTCTATCTAATTCAGGAATATGGAGGCTAAACTGAAGCATTTGTGACACACAAAAATGCAATCAATTAATTTAGCTTTACCACACTGCCCTATTACATGGATTCTGTCTATTATTCTGTTTAGGATCTCAGCAGCAGCTACTATAAAGACTATGTGAAGAAAATGCTCAAGAAGAAGCCCTCCAAAATAAGGTGAGAATTGTAGCCTGTTATGAGTAACGCACGTGATTTGCTGCATTGTTAGACTCACCGGCCACTTTATTAGATACAACTTGCCAATGCAGGGTTGGACCATCTTGAACTGCCTCAGACAATATTGACATGATAGCATCATGCAGTTGCTGCAGATTTGTCAGCTGCACATCCATGATGCGAATCTCCCGTTCCACCACACCCCAAAGGTGCTCTGTTGGATTGGGATCTGGTGACTGTGGAGGCCACTGGAGTACAGTGAACTCATTGTCATGTTCAAGAAACCAGTTTTAGATGATAGAGCTTTGTGACATGGTGCATTATCCTGCTGGAAGTAGCCATCAGAAGATGGGTATGCCGTGTTCATAAAGGGATGGACGTGGTCAGCAACAATACTCAGGGAGGCTGTCGCGTTTAAACGATGCTCAAGTGGGGGCACCAGGAAAATTTCTCCCACACCATTACACCACCACCACCAAACTCAACCGTTGATACAAGGCAGGATGGATTGATGCTTTCATGTTGTTTACGCCCAATTCTGACCCTACCATCTGAATGTCGCAGCTGAAATTGAAACTCATCAGACCAGGCAATGTTTTTTCAATCTTCTATTGTCCAATTTTGGTGAGCCTGTGCAAATTGTAACCTCAGTTTCCTGTTCTTAGCTAACAGGAGTGGCACCAGGTGTGGTCTTCTGCTGCTTTAGCCCGTCTGCTTCAAGGTTCGAGGTGTTGTGCATTCAGAGATGGTATTCTGCATACTTTGTTGGTTGTAACGAGTGGTTATTTGCGTTACTGTTGCCTTTCTGTCATCTCGAATCAGTCTGCCCATTCTCCTCTGACCTCTGACATCAACAAGGCATTTTTATCCACACAACTGCCGTTCACTGGATATTTTCTCTTTTTCGGACCATTCTCTGTAAACCCTAGAGTTGGTTGTGTGTGAAAATCCCAGTAGATCAGCAGTTTCTGAAATACCCAGACCAGCCCGTCAGGCACCAACAACCATGCCACTTTTCAAAGTCCCATAAATCCCCTTTCTTCCCCATTCTGATGCTTGGTTTGAACTTCAACAAGTTTGACCACGTCTACATGCCTAAATACAATGAGTTGCTGCCATTTAGTTGGCTGATTAGCTGTTTGTGTTAACAAGCAAATGAACAGGTGTACCTAATAAAATGCCTGTACATGTTATCTTTGTCTTTTGACTTCTCTTCAGGCAATATAGCCTGAGGCTTATTTAGTTTAAACACAGCTGAAGGGAGGGATCTTTTACCCAAATAAGAGACTTGGATTTTCTTGTTTTGATGGCTGTGTTACTTTTTTAAAGATCTTTTTGGGTATTTGAAACCTTTATTATAGACAACGGAGAGACAACAGGAAATGACTGAGAGAGAGACTTGAACCGGGGATGTTGGGGTTCATGCAGCGTTAAATGTGTACCTCTGTTTACCTTTCACCTCAGCACATCGAGCACAGAGACGCCAAAGCTCCCTCAAAGAATAATTGATGCTGTGAAGTCATACATTTATACACCAGAAGAAGGTAAATAGGTTGTCTTGGACTTGTGTTATGTATGGTCTAATGCCTTTTTAAGTATTATCTCCTGTTCAATTATAAACCTTTTTTTTCCTCAAACAGCTTTCCGTTTTCCACTGAAGTTGGCTATATCTGGTGTAGTGTCATTTATAACCGTGTATCAGGTAACTACCATATCTACTATTAGACTTTATAATCCAAAACAATCATACATAAGGACAAAGTGATCATCGCATACTGAATGTAATGTGTCCACCTCTGCTTTAGATAGAACCTTAAATGCATAGTCCAGTGAACAACTACCAGGTGATTTAAATAAGAAAAAGACATACAACATCCATCTATCCATCCATCCATCGTCAACCGCTCATCCTGAGTACAGGGTCGCGGGGACATGCAACAATGTGTCTTAAATCTTTGAGTAGACCCAATCCTCACACTACGCTTTGGCTTAACAATTTAAGTCCACAATTTGAACATCAACAAAATAAGTGCAACATGTGGGATTCACCTGAGAGTGAGCTGATTATCAGCAGTGGATGATACAAATACGGTGCAGGCCTGTTCTAATTTCCACATCTGTAAAAGCCATTGCATTTCTAGGGTAAGTTTTTTGTTTGTTTGTTTTTCTAGTGATGAATATGATTAAATGTTCTGGGTTTTTTTTTTTTTTTTTTTAGGTGGGTCTTCTGCTGATCTCGTTAGTGGTGCCATCTCTTCAGACTGCCCGTTATGGAGTCGATGAAGACGTCGCCAAACTTTTAGCTGGCTTCAAGATTATGCTGTCTCCAGACAAACATGAAGTTGTCAGAATAGTGGTTTATTACGTGTGGTGTGTAGAAGGTGAGTGGAGAAAGCAGAAGCTGTCATTTTACACGATATTATAGATGCATGTGTTTATTTAGTTTAATCACACATGGCTACATTGTTTTAAATCTGCAGAAAGCAATATAACAAGCTAATTGTCAATGAATGACATCCTCCCACAGTAAACGACCTGAATGCCATGTGCTCTCTTTCCTGCAGTGTGCTATATCTCAGCGATGACCCTGTCTGGCTTGGTCAACCTGGCTATGCTCATGCGGTCCATGGTTCTGCATCGGTAGGTGTTAGAAAATAACTGTGTAATAGCTCTCTTTTTCTTCGTTTTCTATTCTCTTCCCAAAGTTTCCAAGAATCGAGAACATGCTTTTCATTCTGGGTCCTTTTTATTATAATGTGATGGTTCACAGAGGAGTTATTATAACATAATAGAGTACTAATCATGCAGACAGATAGAATAGCATTCACTCTGCACTAACTGCTGCTAGAATTGAAAATGGCCATTAAGATAAGAAATCAAATACTGTGCCATTACCATAAATTAAATGGGATTTTTCTGTGTGGAGTATTGAATTTGGTCGTATTCCAGGCTCATTTACCTCCTAAATTTACTATGTAATTAGTACATTTACCGATGAAACATTTTGTGTATTGCATAGTGCTGCATTGTCTTGTGTTTTTGCTTCTGTAGGTCAAACCTGAAGGGGCTGTACAGAGGAGATATCTACAATGTTTACAACTGCCAGAGAAGTATCAGGGCTTCCCGGCCAGCACTGGTCTGCTGGATGGGATACACCAGCTTCACGTCAGCTCACATCTGCATTGGTACATCTACATATTGAATACTAAAAATAAAGAATATAGATTATCCAGAGTGTTTAAACTGTATTTGCAGTATGCTTACGTTTATCTGGATCGCTTTTATTTTTTGTTTTATCCCTTCAGAAATGCTGCCAAACCTTAGATTTTGTTCTTCATGTTGAATGTTTTGTACAGTTAAATACTGTACCTTGCTCCTAAATAGAGGGTTGTGTTGTGAGATAGTGGTAAAACAGTAATGGATGCAGATTTTTAAAAAAAAGATCATTTTAACATTTCCTGCCATATTAACAGCTGTGTGTCTGTTCACACTCCTTATGTATCTAAATGTATTCTAGCAACAGATGAGCTACGCTAGAATATGTTTTTAAAAATTTGACAGGGTTTTACATGTGGTTTATGAAAGGAGACTTCTCAGGGTCTGTTCTTGAGATTTCTAAAAGAAAAACGACCCCTCCCTTCACTGTGATATAAGAGAGGAGTGGAAGTGTAGATTTGATGTTTGCCTGACAGGATGTAAGCTGTGAGGCCCTGAAGTTCTGATCTCTGTCCCCTGTAGGCATGATGATCCAGACCATGGTGTTCTTCCTCTGCCTTCTGGTCGCTGTCTTCCTCATTATCATGCCAGTACTGCACGGACAGAATCTGATCCTCTTTCAGATCCTGTTGAGCATGTGGTGAGCATCGTCACATATCTCTCACTCATTAAACGTCTGCCTGTGGACTGCGAGACCAAGGCACAATTCCTTGCTTTAACATTGCTGTTGTCATACAAAAACCTTATAACTTCAGTTTTAGCAGATTTTTATTATTTAGCCTCAAAACCACCTTTATCAAACACTGGATAGCCTTAAAATGCATGTGTTGGTCTGTGTGGAATTGATGCTTTCTTAGTTCCTGAAAACTTTACTTAAAAACAGGCTTCTTAACTGCAATTTGGAGGCATTTGACCCAGGTGAGCCAGATATTCTATACTCTGACAGATCGTGATCAACGCAACCATATTACTCTCTGGCATGCTGGCCAGGCCAAAGCATTAAGTAGGCTTTAAGTGATATATTTTGCTGTCAGTTATCAAAAGGTTTTTTGTGCATTCTGTCTTTCTTGTGTCACCACAAGAGATATATTTGATTGTTGATTTTGTCCTTTCAGGCCCTTCTGGCTGATGATTATCTTGGCTGTGTTGATTCAACATATCACTGGCAGGTTTTGCTTCATCAAGAAAACAGCAGGCACACGAGACCTAGACAACAGGTAGATCTACTGTTGCTATGTACTGTCTGTTGTGGTCACTTATTTATGGTTTGTGTAAGTGTTACCGTCATAAGTGCAGCATATTCATGTATGTTTGGCGCATTGTACCGTATCTTACAGGGGTAATCTGTTCCTGCTTACTTACCTGCTGTTTCCCGTCAATGTTCTGATCGGGGTGCTACTGGCTCTGTGGCGCATGGTCATCACAGCCCTGTTTAACATTGTCCACATGGGGCGCATGGATATCAGTCTTCTTAACCGCAATGTGGAGGCATTTGACCCAGGTGAGCCAGATATTCTGCACCCTGACAGATCGTGATCAACGCAACCATATTACTCTCTGGCATGCTGGCCAGGCCAAAGCATTAGGTCAAGTTCAACGTCATCTGCATTAAATATATTTTCATATAATGGGTAGCTTCACGTTGGCTGTCTACCTGCAAAATTAGCTCTGGGTCCATTTTATATATGTATTCAAATAAAAAAACAACAACAGCAAGGCATGGCTAGGGACTTCAGTCCCTTAGACTTCATACTCAATTATATTTTACATTGTACTACAGTTTTTTCTTTTGGTCTCAGAAACACAATGTTAACACATTCATTAGTATTAACATCATGCCTTTACCTTTTGTAGATGCCACTGTGTAGTTTTTTTCACTCTCACTGTGGAGGCTAAAAGGGAAGCAATTTTCTGTGAACAAATGCACTTTTACTGATCCCACTCGGAGCCCAGAAATGCGTATCCTATCCACTTTACCCTGCTAGCAGCTCAATGCAGCCCGAATGATATCTGTATTCTGTGCAGTGCGCTGGACTGTAATTGCACACCGATCTCTGAAATGGCTGCAGATTTAAGACATCTGTTGTCAGGAAAAGCAGGTGGTTTAAAAAGGGGGAAAAAAAGAAGTGTGATTGTATGACCATTATGTGTGATTGCTTCAAAGCCAACAGGGGTGTGGTCCTATGTGTTTATTGCTTTTGCCCAGTCAGAGTGACCCCCCCTCCCTGTGTCTGTCTGCAGCCTACCGCTGCTATGCTCATTATCTGAAGATTGAGGTGAGCCAGTCTCACCCTGTGATGAAGGCCTTCTGCGGGATGCTGCTGCACTCTCTGGGACAGGAGAGCAATGCTGCACAGAGGCCACGGGATGCTGAAGAGGGTCTGTAGCACAACACTTGCATCATAGTCTACCAACTCAACTCATTCCCCAAGTGCTAATTAGTCAGCTGATGTGCATGCTGACTTGGTACTGTGGGTTCAGTGTATTCATACATGTAAAGGATAAGACTGGTGTTTATTCCTTACACTGTTTACTATTACACAATACTTTGTGACTTCCCTGATCCCTGTCTTTGGTACTTTAATTCCTGCTGAAGAAGCAAATCTTTAAAAACGGGTCATAAATAGAACAAATTTGTTGTAGCTAACGTTACTCAATGAGAAGTAAATGGAGCATTTTATAGGAACTATTTTCAATTGCAGATTAATACACATTTTGTTCTCTAGTGAGTATTTACAGCATCAGGGTGGTGTGTACAGGACTCAAAATAAACTACAGTATCCATGTTCATGGTAATTAAAAGAACATGTAACCCTGTGCAACAATGTGGCTTATTGATGTTGTTTTAAATAGTTTTTGGACAACAATGGAGCTCTATTGCACAGATGAATAAGGTACATCAGGCTTTGGCTACACAGGCAATACTTGTTCGTAGGGTCACGTTCAATTCACATATACATTAAAGTCAGTATCGCTTCTTTAATTTCTCCAGGGAGGGTTTGAATTCAGAAACAGGTCACTGTAACACATAATCAGATCATAACACAATCTTGCACGCACAGAAGAAATGAAAGCCTAGCAGTTCTGATTTAATATGTCAAGAGCAAATTCAGTCTCACTGTGGAATAATTTACAGTCCTGCTGCTGGGCTCAATCAAGTCTGTCATAAACTAATCAGCTGTCCTTATGGCACTTGCCTGAGCCTCTGTCACCAAGAGACAGTGTGGTCCTATACTGTAGGACCCCATGAAACCTATTATTTAACTAACACAGATGAAACCATTATAGCATGTATGTAATGTACCCAAAATATGAACATCTACTTTAAAGCTGGTTGCTGCATTGATGGTATTGACTCTAAACTCTTAGACAGGATGTGTTAAAACTTACACAAACTGTGTTAAATTCTGAGTCATAGTTGCTTGCATGTGTGGTGACAAGAGGACATATATTGTAGTAAGGAATTGGCAGCAAAATGCATCTGGCTTGTTGTGGAGTCCAAACCCTGTCTGGTATCTGGTCACAGCTGAGTCCAATTACAAGTGTGCAGTGTAGATGCTTGCTTGTTTGCATCTAGAGGACAATGCATTATCAGGAATAATCTATTGTATTACAAAGATTAGTTGTCGAGTAGCTGATTACACAGATGAGCTACGCTAATTGCCTGCTTCATATTCATGCTGCCCAAGGGGCTTAAGCTTTCAGTGTCTTAATGGCAAGCCCAGTATGCTCCTACCATACTTAGAGGATTAGAATATGATTGCTTTCTATTATTACTCTTTCTGTAGTATCTATCTGGTCCTGGGTGGCCTTTAAAATATTATTTTCCCATTCCAGCTAAGATTAAAAAAGGGTTAGGTTTTCTTCTATGACACTTGTATGAAATACCGTCGGTGCTAATATGATGTCTCAATGTCCGCAGGGATCCAGCTGGTCCAGCAGGAAAAGAAACAGCTCCAAGCGTCCATTGCCAAGAGGACCCGCCGGCACTGGCACCTCCTCTACACCCTGGTCAACAACCCCTCCCTGGTGGGTACCAGGAAGCACTTCCAGCGTCAGACCACAGAAAGCTTTCTGAATGGAAGCCTCAACCGCAGCGCCAAGGTGGGCAGCAAAAAAGAGGCAGCAACCAAGGAGGCAGAGAGGGCTGCCAGCAACTGAACATGACTTTGACCCTGATTAAGGATTGGCTTGAAGGTTTCTTTTGGTTTGGGGAAAATTCTACAGTCATATTTGTTCACGCCTACTGTAGATGTGTTTGCATTGGGTAAAATAAGTGCACTTATAGTTCAGTGCCATATGTAAAGATATTCATCAACCCTTCCCTGTATGGAGATTGTGTGTCACTCTGTCCTCTTCATTTCCCCTGGCTGTTTTATATGAGGGGGCCACAGTCTCCAGTCTGATGAGGAAAGCTTATGTGGCACTGACCTCCCATCTAAACACACTCATTATGTGTAAACACGTGTGCTTATTTTGGGATAACACTGGTTTGCTTTATGTTTCAACCTGTAGGTTAATCACATATGTTTTCCACTGTGTTGTTATTATCATATAGTGCAGACAATGCAAATGTGTAGTTGCCCAAACTAAACACATGGATTTAAAGAGGGTATTATTTAGTAGAACATTTCACTATTTATGGATTTACTGAATACGGTTTCATAGACTGGGTAATACATTTCTTTTTTTCAATTGTACACAATTTGTGTAATTAACAGTAACCTGTGGAATAGGAACTATCAGACCAAATGAAACTGTTTTTTTCTCGGGGTTGGTTCTGTTTTATTTGGAGATCTTTTAATAGTCATGAGCCACTTGCTGCTATACCAGCGTTTTGTTATTGTGGTGGAAAGTCTTTTCTGGTTTCTGATATTCACCAACATTACATCGTTTGCCTCTGCATTTACATTAAAAATGACGATGATGAATTTTCAAGTGAAAATAGAACACCCGAATTTTCCTTCTGATTTCTGTGAAAATAAAACTGAAACACAAATTTTCTCTTTTTTTTTCAATCGTTTATAATTGTAATATTTTATCCTAGAATAGGCTAATTTAGGATACATATAGGCTATAGTTTATATTTATATATATATATTCATAGTGTGTTGTTGTGTGTTGAGCGAAATTAACTGAACAGCACCAAAATGAAGACAAAGGGAGGCTTTGTGTTGAACAGCGTTTTCAAACGCAGCAGTCTTTTTCTTTGGCGTCTGCATAAACACACTTCCCCAAATTCCAGAAAGACAGCGTCTATATAAATATGACAAAGACATCGAAACAACCTGCTATAATAAAAAAGGATATTTAAAAATAAAGTAACCGGGTGCTGTATTTTCGAAAGTTCATCTGAATAGAGTTGAAGCTTAAACTGAAACTGTATCCGTCTGATAACATAAAAAAAAATGATTGAAATGAATAGAAAGAAAATTCTCCCTGAAACATCTCAATCTGCAAAGTCAAAGACAAATCCAGAAAGTAGTCTGTTTTTCATGTTTTATTAATTCCACTTACATAAAATTATATCAAAAAATCTTGAAAGGTCACGGGTTTTTCATTTCGTTTTACAACAGTTCACAAAAACTCACTATATACATCAAATTACGAGACAGTGAAGCCGCCAAACACTCATGCGCCTTTTTGTTGAGGCTTCATAGAAACTTAATAAGCGTCGTAAAAAATAATTTCAGTTTACATGGCTTTACATCACAGGCTGACAGTAACATCTAAAGTCCACGAGACTAGCCTACACTAATAAAAACCACACAAGGAAATACGTGTGACATGCCATGGACACGGTCATTGTAAAAAGCGAGAGTATAGCAAGCACCCGTTGATAAAAGATGTTAAACTCGCACATTTTTAAAGCCTTACATTACGTCAAATAACATTTTGTTGGTAAATAACCTGGGATTTCCTGTCACGCACAACGTAATTGAAAAGTGAAATGTCCCTTTTGGACTCTGAGGACAGCGGGCAGGTCAGGCGCAATAACGATGAAACCAAATATCTGCATCAACTAGCCTATCATATAATTTTTTTAGACGAGGCTCATCCACATCATTGCACAAACACACAGTTTAGAAAGAGCACATTTGTCCCTGATGTATCTTTATTTTAAATGGCTTTAAAACACATGGCATCTTTAGATTAATTTTTTTGTGTGTGAGCTCTCCAATGTGGTTCTTTTTTTTGTGCCTTCAATTACGCTAAACTCTGGCGAGCTCTGCGCCTCGCCGTTTGCACAATTTGCGTACCATGCCCATCCGTCCTGCAGAAAGGGAACATTTTGCTGCTGTCCTGCCAGTTTTGAGGTCTGATAATATGTAGAAAGTTGTGCTTGCAATGTGTTGTGCTTGCAATGCTGCTTATTTTAACCTACAGTACACTACAAATGTCACATGAATCACTTCACAATCTCAAGTGATTGACGGACTTTCTGAGGTAAAAGAAATTAAAAGATCCACCTTTTTTTTTTTTTTTAAATCAGAAGCCATCATTTGTCACGTGTAGTAATGGTGGTTGAGTTACCTGCTTGATTGGCTAGGCCTACTTGAAAGTAAAATATTTTACAATATACTCGCAGACGTCAGCGGAGCTCAGCGACTTGGCTGCTTGTAGTTGCCGTTGATCTCCTCTGAGATGTTGACTGCCTCTGCTCCCAGCGGTAATCTGTCACTGTACTCCGAACCCATTTCAAATTCCTCCTGGTTGGTTTTGGATGAGGATCCGGGGATGGACTCTGTCACCACGCTCCCCTCAGCATCACCCTCTCCATCTCCTTCCTCTCCCTCGGCCTCTCTCTCCCCCTCCCCTAACTCACTGGGGTTGAAGGTTTTCTCTGACCCCACAAAAGACGCTCTGGGATCAAAATCTCCAGCCATTTGTTTCTCCATCTGATCCGGATTCTGAGCCCTCATGATCAGCTTGTAGGTCTTCCCTTGGTACTTGTATAATAAATGGCAGCAGGTGGCCCCCAGTAAGGGAACAGTGGCCAGACCCAGTAGGAAAATGCTGACAACCACGATGATAAGCAGGGAGGGGATGTACTTCCTAGTTGTGAAAACTACTTGGACTTGGCAGTCCTGCCCCCCATAGGTGAGACAAAGTGTGTAATTGGTGCCAGGCTTTAAACCATGGAAGCGGTAGGAATTCACCCCCTCCTCTATGTTGGACCACTGAATCATGGAGTGTCCATTTCCTGTATTTACACAGAGGTAGAGCATGTCCAGGGTGGTTTTACTGGATGAGGACTGCAACAGACCCAGGGGCTCCTTATTCACTGTTTCCAGGTTTTCAGTTTGGCTGAGATGAAGGTTAGACTTGCTGCTGGGAAGCTGCAGAGGATTCAGCTGCACTTTGGCCTCTGTCTCTGACACCTCCAATGCAATGACACCAAAATCAAAAGTGTACTGCTTCAGGTCATCCAAGCTCAGGTTGAAGGCATGGTTGGAGATGTATTCACTGCTCTCTCTCACGCCGCACTTGCTCGCAAAGGTGGGGTCCTTTGAGACGCCACCAACCTGGTCGGTGCCGTCGCTTTTGTCTGACGAAGCATCAGGGCTGCCCTTTGTCTTTTCTTCAGGCTTGCTCCAGTTGATCACATTGTTTTTAGAGCTCTTGGGCTCTGCAAGCTTTTTAACAGATGGACGGATCTTGTCCACTGTAGAATCGGGCTTCGAGTCGCTGCCGTGTTTTTGGGTGGCTGCCATAGCCACTTTAACACCACTCTCCGCCTTACCTAAATCATTCACCGCAGAGCAACTGTAATTTCCATCTTCCTTTTTACTCATACGAGGGATGATGAGAGTGCCGTTTCTAAAGACGAGAAATCGATTGTTGGTTGTTTTATCATTAATCGGCATGTCATTTATCTCTCCAGTAGAGGGCAAGGGGAACAGATAGTTCTGATTCCCTGCAGTCACCTCCCAGCTGACCTGTGGAGTGGGGCTCCCTTTTGTCTCACAATTTAAGATGACCATGAAACCCTCATAGATCTCTGTGTTCTCAATGTTGGGCTGGTAGGTTATTGTGACAGTAGGGGCCTTACAGTCCAGTTTAGGAATCTTTGTAACCATTGTACCCTTCAGGTGTTCAGGGGCCTCACATAAAATTGAATTTTGGTCAGGGACAGAAATCTTAGTTGTCTCGATCCAATCTCTCAGCCACTCCAGGTTGCATGAACATGTGAAGGGGTTGGCAAAAATCTGAAGGTGGGACATGGCGGAGAGAGCACTGAAGGTACCCTCCACAATGGTGGTAAATTTGTTGTTGTTGATGCGCAGTGACCTCAGGTCTTTGAGAGTGGAAAAGGCACCCTTTGGAAGGTTCACCATCTCATTGTTGTTCATTTTCAGAAGCTGCAGGGCTGTGAGATTGTGGAGATCCTCCCATGGAAAGTTCACAATTTTGTTGTAGCTGATGTCGAGGTTGCGGAGGTGGATCAGGGGGGCCAAGGTGTCTGTGTCTATGGTAACTATCTCATTGTGGGCCAGCCAGAGAGAGGTGACCTGTGTGATATTGACAAAGCTTTTGCTTTTCAGTAATTTGATCTTATTGGCAGAAAGGCTCACGGTGGTAACATTGGAGGGGAGACCCACAGGTACCACCAGCAGGTCTTTGTAAGCACAATCAGCAAACTGGTGGGCAAATTTATCCTGGCAGCTGCAGAGCTCTGGACAGCACTGCACAATGCCAACCACAGCAGTCCACAATGCAAGGAGCTGCAGGAGCCGTCTCGCCATTTTCTGCACCTGCAAATATCAATTAGCAGACATTAGCCAAAGGTAAAAATAATTCTAAGACAGTCACATGACATTACATTATGTCCATTACACCACAGGAAATGCACTGTGGAAGCTTTTACATCTCATATAAATTTAAATGTGGTTTACTGACTAACTAATGCATTTTAAAGGGTCATGAAAACTCTTTAAGGCAACTCAAGACTACATTACAAATTCATAAAAACAAAGACACTGAAAAAAAACCCCCAACATAGGTGAATGCTATAACTGCTGCTGCTACTGTCACACAGTCTGACTGAAAGCATCACATGTAACGTTTCCTTTTGTTTCCCAATCCACAAAGATCACACTGATTTTTTTGTTGTTGTTGAAGTTTTGCACTTTATAAACTCATATATGCACATATGCATGCACACATGCTGTGTCATATTTGCAGCAATTTCAGAGACAGGTGGTCTCTCCTGCCCTGAGCACTCTGGTGCGGACAAACAGGCGCTGTCTATAGTATTGAAGCCTTTGAGTTAAACATTTCAAAAAACATTTCAGCAAGAGTTACACTGCAATATTTCCAGTCAGTACAGAGGTAGGCCTATAGCTTTTTGCACTCATGAACAGATGCCCTTTAGTTCATGACAGTTACAATTGACCTACAGGGCGATGCTTTCCACCTTAGCTGTGATCTGGATTTTGCTCAGGTCTGTAATTTGTTCATCTTTTACCTTCAGTAACTGCCTCATTAACTACTAAATCGTCTTACCTGTCCAATGTTAACTTCAATTCCTGTGTCTTATTAATCACTCTCGGAGTTTACAATCCTCTGAAACAAGTTTAATGGTCGAAAACACTCGAGTCCTCATGTGTTGTGGATCCTTTCACATGACTTTTGCAGGCATCGACAGCGTTGTTGAAGGGCGGTGGAGGCAACATTTTTCCCGGTGAGTCGCTGTTGTAGTCCGACGGCGGTTTTTTCCTCTCCAGCGAGTGTGGGATCCACTGCGCGCTCCCGCTTCCGCGTAGCGAGGAAAGGAATCGCGAACGCGCAGCCTCTCCCAACTCCCTCCTCACTATTAAAGATACAGAAGCTTCAGGTTCTCCGCCTTCAAAGAAAATTTATAATTTAGGATATGATGTTTAATTAATTACACGGACCCAAGCCTATAATCTTTGACCTCATTCGGGATGGCTGCAGCCTATTGTCTTTGATTAAATCACTCAGCCAAAAGTTTCCAAACGCACTGACAGTTGTGTTGCGAATAGACACAATTTCCAGTAGGGCTGCATTAAAAGTATGTCTTTAATAATTAAAATAAAACAACAAAAATACAGACAAGAGGAGAAAAATACTGTGCCACACACAAGGTATATCATTTGATGGCATTTCATTGCAACAAGGTTATGTGACGCCTGAATTGATTTATAGGCTGAGCTTTCGCCAAGAGTTATAACCGGAAGTAGCAGAAGTTTATTATCCCAAGTGGGAAATAAAATTAACTTTTATTTAATCAAACATAGTCAAGATGGACAGTCTTTTCCAAATGTCAGACTGTTTAATGTAAAGATGAAGCCATTTTATCATCTACTTGCTGCTGTTCACATTATTTTTTGTGTTACCATATTTTAATATAGGCTACATTTACTTACATGAAGGGACAACACACTTTCGTTTTGTTATACAACCTTGTGTTGTATAATGATAAATAAACTACCCTGTAGCCTAAATTGAAACTTGAGAGCAGTCAAGGCACAAAATAGAACATACAAGGATTAGATAAACAAAACAAGTACAAAAACACAAAGCAAAAATACAAAAATGTGACCTATACAGTAACAACATAAAACAATTTCTAAAATGCTAGGTCACATGAGAGGACAAAGCAGGGTTGTTGCACAGGGAATATGCTCAAATACTGCCATCATCTGGTGCTCTGCAGTGTAACTGCAGACGCTCTCTCTCTCTTAGCCTAAATACACAAAATATAAAAGCCTACCATATGCACATACCATCAAATAAGTAAGACTATATTTCCAAAGTTTATCTGAAGTTAACAAGGGGCTTCAAAACTCTCAGTCAGACAAATCGAGGGAGAATCCAAAGTTACAGTTTTTTTATTTTACTGTGACTTTTCCATGGATCTTTTAATGGCCAGTATGAACTGGAGGAATGATCACTGCTAGTTACAACATTTTAATGTATAAATTTACACGTGAGAATTGTTTTAAGACAGACTGGACAAAATGCGACCCCAACCTTATGTTTGTAGGGTTAGGAATAGGCTTAAGTTTAGGTTCAGCTCAGGTAATGGTTGGGTTGTGAACGAAAACAGTCCTGTTAGAGAACAGTGACCTCTGCTGTTAAAACACTGTGAGACATAATACATACAATACAATGTACAGACATAATCTGTATACTTCTTGTTCTTATTACAAACCTGTAATTAAATTACACAGGACACTACACTATACATACTTTGGATAACATTAAAGTACATTGGAAAATGTATCACTATTTGTTTTAAGTGCAATTTACACATTCTTTACATATTCATTTAGCTGACGCTTTTATCCAAAGCACCTTACAATTGCTATAGATGTCAGAGGTCGCATGCCTCTGGAGCAATTAGGGTTTAAGTGTCTTGCTCAGGGACACATTGGTGTCTCACAGTGCATTAGAACCCAGATCTCTCACACCAAAGGCATGTGTCTTATCCACTGCACCATCACACCCCACAGTTTGTTTGAGATCTACAGGGTGGGGTTCCAGTCATGAACCATGACTTTGGTTTCCTTGCTTTGAAAAAACAAATCATCTGTGCTTGTTTATATTTTTTTGTGTTCTATGATTGAGTGGCTTTCTTCCTATAGACTTTCCTGTTGTGGAGACACAACAGGAAAACATGGAGCTGCAAATTGTTTCCCAAGACCTCTGGGGATCAAGGCCTACTTGTGCTCATATCAGTGCACAACTGAGATAAAATAAACTTACAGTCATCATTTCACATAGTTTAAACTGCAGTGTGGCGCCATCCAGACTATGAGTCTCAGGCAGAGATGGAGATACTCAAAGTGCTTCTTAATGTAGGCCTACAGAAAATCACACATCAGTGATGCTTAGTTATATTGTATGAAGCCAAATACAAGTTTACTACAACAACACTTGACACGTGTTTGTTTTAACAGCTTGAGCAGAGAGGGTCTGGATTTAATTAAACAGGGTGGCTTCAACAATGACTCATACAGACACCACAGACAAATTATATTAACCACAAAAACATATTTTACATCTCCACCTGCACTATAAGCAACTTTCTCAGCAGCCAGCAGTCTACAGTCTAGGTGGACTCTTAATCACAGGAGGCACTTAGCTGCCGGTCAGGTGTCATGTCAGCGCCGTCTTAAGCCAGAGACTAAAGTGACCTGACCACAAGATACATGTACTTTAGTTGGTTCATCTGTATTTACACTGTGGCCTACACTGCTTGGAAAGCAAAACAGCTTTAATCTATACATGGTCAAAAGTCTGTGTTGTATCCTCAGATGATGACAGTATTTCACTTTGTGTACTATATACCATGTAAAGTCATTGCTGTGGTGAAAGAAAATATTTTCCTAAACTGAGAATAACAAGCAATCCAAACAACCCAACATAGTAACAACAGGATGTAGTCACAAACAAGAGAGCTAACACGCCAAGATGACTACGCTCCTTTATTTTCCACCCTGTTCATGATGTCAGCATTGTATTTTTTTTGCATCAGACATCAGAGTTTAGAAGTACTCAAATACTGGAAATGGAAATCAGATATATCTGTGTAGATGTGTAATGTGGATGTTCATCCTGGATCTAAGATAAAAGAAATATAAACAGCAGGAGACATCTCATGTAGCTACTTAACCACATTTCATTAATCTGAAAGCAAACCTGACTAGAATCCAGGATTTCCGCCTGTGGAGTGATGGCCAAAGAGATACACGGGGTAGTTTTGTTGTGATTTCTCTTCCTTCTCCTCTTCTTCTCCTTGTACAAACAAGATGTACTCACTTGGCCCTCACTTCAGATCCAGGAATAAGACAGATTAAACTAAAGATCCTTAGTTGTTGTCTGTACACTGATCAGACTGCATGTGCATCTGAGTGCCATGTCTAATGAAGGCATGGCCTACTAAGGATGGATAAATGACTTTCTTGAATCCACTTATGAGTGGATGTAAAAGAACTATGAGTATAACTCATGGTGAACAATGTTATGGATTTTCAGCTTTATTCTTTTTTCTTTTAATCAATAATTCATTTACATTCTTTGGGTAGCATTTTCAAGCAATCATTCTGCAAAAATATATGATTTTTGAAATAGTTAGGACACATATTGCTTGCATATATAAAAAGTGAAGTCTGTACCAAAATACTATTTATTCAATAAATATATTTAGCTTAGTAGTTTTTAGACTTTTGAATGAGTAATTTCTTGTTTAGAGCTACTGTATGTATGTAAGACTACTGTATGTAGTCTTACATACATACTCATTTATTCATTTAACAAATGAAAGGTTTAAATTCATATGCAATAAAACACACCAATGATTAATTCAGTTCACAAGATTTGCTGCTACAGTCTTAGTTGGTCTAATATGAGCTTTTGGTTGCTAAATGTTAGCTAAAGTTAGCAAACTAGCTAGATATTGCTCTGTAATAGACATAAGCCATTTCTCTGACTTTTCTATACTGTTGTAGTTTTGTCAAACAAAGTTTTTGTCACTTGTGGCAACAGTGGCTGGTGTCTAACTAAAGTTACATACCAGTAGTCTTGCTTAAATGTAAATAACTAAAAGTAGACCATCTCAGATCTTGGCTGATTCGTCCATTGCTCACATGGCAGCTGACAAATGTTACAGTATGTAAATATAAATTAAAATAAATATAATGGATGGATGGATAAGGTGCTTATTATTTTTAAGTTAGGCTTTGTCTTCTCTGCAGCAACACATTTTCATTGGACATTTCTCTCACACCTCCCTTACTACTGACTGGGGAGTTGAACAAAACAGGGAAATTCAGTGAAAGTCCCTGGCTACCCTCACCCTTCCTTTCATGCTGTGATACACACCCTGACCAGTCTCACAACAACACTACTTTCCAAAAACCCATCAGAGTAAGTTAAATTATAACGCAATGTAAATAAACATATTTGGATCAGTGGAAAGATGAAACTAAAAGTAGATCAGACTGTCATTTGTCCCTTTGAAGGGACGATGATTTGGCAGAATGTCGCCACCGTAACAGTTAGAAAGCAGAGGCTGATCCCAACCAAGTAGAGGCTTAGTGACCACAAACTGACAATCAAAAAAGAAAGACACAAAAAATCCTGGCAGCTAAAAGAAAAAAGAACATGTGGTCATTGTTCGACAGGTGGGGTTGAGACATAGATGTTCTTCCTCCTACAATGTAAAACTAAATTACCTCTCAAAACCAAAAATACTACTAGGAGGAGATATATGCATATCTTGCTGCACAGTATGTTTCAGAATGCCAGCCTCTGGAGGATAACATTCTCACTTATTTGCATTAGTATATTTATAACTGCAAATGTAATAATAATTTAAAAAAGTGCCTTTTTTCTATTTTATTGTATTGAATAAATATAAATCATTTCTCATAAGTGCACTGGTAGGGCGTAGACAAAATTTACACAACTTATTTTCCTGAACTCTAATGGACTAAAGAGCTAAGCACTGGTCTCAACATGTGCACACCTCACTACTACACCACACCTACTCACTATGTACTGTATTTTCTGTCTCTCTCGGCCCAGGAGCTTTTGCACTCCTAACCGCAACAGTTTAATGGCATGCTTTGAACAACTTGGCTACAGCAGGTTCCCGTGGAAAGAAAAACTAACTTTTTTGCCAAACATAACTGTCGGACCGCTTGCACAAAGAAGGTTTTAGGTTATTCTGGGGGCATTCCTGCTTGAACTATTGATTTGCAAGTTGAATCTGTGTTTGGGTGGATTTCCTTAGCCCTGCCTTCGTCCTGTTTTGATTAGCAGTAGCAATGAAAAGGGACTAAGGATATGATTGCTACGTTTTAAAACATGCTACAGCCAGACCAAGGGTGATCAATATCATCTGTGGCACAACAGCTGATGCATTATTCAATTTGTAATGGGTATTGCTTCTCTTTGTGTCTTCCATTGATTTGGGGATTATTTGCTCTGTAAGGTCATAATTCTTCACCACCTTGGTGTAGTCTTTCTCTTCGGAAACACACGCATAGCTGCCATAATTTTCTTGTGCCATGGCAGGGATGAGGTGCAGACAGTCAGACTGCATTTGCAGACAAGGGCTGCTCTGGTCTCTGTGCTTCCAGGTATAGACAGCGTGGTAAGAGTCTATTGGACAGGACAGATAGAAAGGGACACCCAGGGGGACCGAGTGAACTGTTAAATCATGGGGGGATGATAGAGTCTCCCGTTTGGTCCTGTGTACTTGTTTGTTTTCTAAAAGAAGAAAAATAAAATAAAATAGATTAGATGATTTATTGAACACTTAACAAATGTGTTCTATGAATGAACAGTCTCGTCATCAGTTACCTTCTACTGTTGTAGGGCACACACGTATTTGCCCATCCATGACATCTTGAATCCCTTCACTGTGAACAAAAACAAAACACATGTTCAATCAAGTTTTTATGTGAGAGACAAGTGACTTTGATGTTGCCCTGGTGATCGGTTTAATTTTGGAAATAGTTTGAGTTTCTAAACATTTTTTTTAACCTTTGCATCAACATTTCTTCCTATCTTTGGCAGGAATGCAATATTCAAAAAATCCCAGAATGTAAAAATCTTGATGACAAAACTAAAGTTATTGTACTTGGCTAAACCTCCAAGAAGCATTATCTAAAGACATAACTATACTTGGGAATGCTCTGGCCTCCAGCACCACGGTACGGAATCTCAAAGTTATCTTTCATTGGGATATTTCCTTCAAGTCTCTTCAAGGCCTGCCTTTTTTCACCTACCAAACATTATCAAAACAAAAATCAGGAACATCCTGTCTCAAAATGATGCAGAAAAACTAGTCCATCCATTTGTTACTTCTAGGCTGGATTATTGCAATTCCTTATTATCAGGCTGCTTGATTATTGTCTCTTAAGACTCTCCAGCAAATCCAGAATGATACAGCACATGTACTGATAAGAACCAATGAACAGAGATCATATTTCTGGTTTCCGGTAAAATCCAGAATAGAATTTAAAATACTCCTGCTCATACTGTAGTACTCTACTGTAGCTCTTAATGGTAAGGCACCATCTTATCTTAGATAGCTTATAGCACCTTGTTACTCTAATGGAGCACTGTGCTCCCAGAATGCAGGGTTACTTGTGGTTCCTAGTCTTCAAAAGCAGAATTGAATGAAAATGAGGTAACTTCTGTCATGAAAAGGTGCTATATAAATAAAACTGGATTAAAAAAATACAATGTTATGAGCTATTGTTCACTATAATATGCTGTAATATTAAAAGGCTTTACAAAGTATATCAAAAGTCTTCTAAAGAGTCTTGGTAGGAATGCCGTTCCACACTTACGGGACAGTCGGGGTGCATCCAAACTTCGTCCAAGCACAGTACGGGTCCCGGGCCAGAACACAATCTGCGCAGGAGTTGTTGTACTCCTGACACCTTTGGAGGTCCACGCTATAAATTGTCTCTGAAAAACCCACAACTAGCTTTTTCTGAGCAAAGGGAGACAGAATCGTAATTTCACTTTGATGCATGTGCATTACAACAAGCTGTAATGTGCATTACAACAAGCTGTAAACACACCATTGACATAATTGGCTATTTACACATCCAGCTGCCACAAAGCAACATTATCCAAAGAAAGTTAAAGTCAAGGGCAACTGGACTTGGTTGAAGATTAGCATTTTGCAACATTAGCATTTTGAGTCGTGTTTCTGCCTCCCAGAGGTATGTGAGTCCCATATCCATATCCTACTGATCCAGTTAATGGAAATATTGATTGATGCAACTTTAAAATATAAACTTGCAACTGCAGTGCACAATGCAATACATTTTAAATGGCATTTTAAATGAGCTGCACCTTTTTGGAGTCAAGCTTCATTGACTGTATGGTTGATTGACTGTAGAGTTGGGTTTCAGAGATGATGAAAGGTTCTGACCCAGCTTCTAACACTTTATGGATCTTCCCAGAATCTGTTGGAAGAGCAGACAAACTGGATTTTGAAACACTGTGACTACAGGTGACACAGTAGGCTATATTTTTACCCCATTGTTTCTTGCATAGAACACACAAGGTACAAATAGCAAAACAAAGTACAATGTAATTCCCAAACAGAACCTACCGGTGGCTAAAAGCAGAACGTTATACATGCTCTGGTCTGCCGCCTGGACTTGGTCCACAACTATCTTAGTATAGTTGTTGCTGCTTATATAAAATGGAGCAGTATAATGCACAGAGTGAACCCACTCAGTCATTTCTGGGTAATCCTTCACCATGTTGACAGTGGCCAGTGGCAGGCTCTTGCTGTTTTTTACACACTGAAAAACACATAGACACAAAGTTTTTCTTATTTAAAAGTAGTCTGCACTCTGTAGGAAATGGTAACATAAACTAAATGTTGGCAGGAGACTCCAGTTAAACAATTCTACCATCTTCAGGAATATAAAACTGAAGGCATCCAAAGCTGTATAAATACAAATGAGAGACAAATACTTCCTCGAGTTATAAGCTAAATAGATGGAAGGCAGGGGATTATCTTTACAAGACATAGCAATAAGACCACGTCCTTAAAGGAACAGCAATCATTAGTCACTAGATTAGTAAACTGTGTTTTACAACGATATGAGATTCTGTTTGTAGCCCCAACTACAGGGTTGAACTCAAATAGATGTCATATAAAAGATACAATCAGAATCCACAGATGGAAACACTGAGCCACACTTGATGGGCATAAGTAATGCAGGCACACATTTTCCAAGTTTACACCCATTTATGTAACATTTCTGTTTGTTTTTTTTTAACCTCCAGTCCTACTCAGGGACATGTGATATACAGAGAACAAACCACATGTACAATACATGTGAGTGAAGCCAAAATGCATGAGAGGACTTGGGGGAAATACAAAATAAAACCCTCAGAGGAAATATTGTGTCTCTGCACAGCTACATAGCAAACAAAAAAATACTTACTGTTCCTGGCCTTGGATTGGGAATGTCTTTGTCGTAGCCCTTGAAAGCTGATGTCTCAAATATTTCTTCAATCATTCGTACGGAATAGATGCACACTGCTGTGGAGTTCCTATAAGGGAAATAAGATAACTGAAGCTAGCCAAAAAAAGAATTTTTTTTTTATAAATTAGTTATTACCTCTACCATGGCAGTGGTTAGGGTGACAATTTTCTCCCATTCTGTTTGTCTGTTCGCAGAATATCTTATAAGTAATGACTGATTACAAATTTTTTGGCATAGGGCACCAACTTCAAACAGATTGGCCAAATGGGGTAGGGTACTCACACATGACACAGCCCAGATTCATGCAACCCCATCAATCATACTTTAGGTTTCTGACAGAATAAGTGACAAACCCTCCATTTCGCTTACAAACAAATATTTTATATTATATAATATTTCATTTTCACTTCGGACATAACAGCCCTGCCAATCTTTCTGAGGCGTGGCAAAATCGTAGAAGGGCAGCTCCCTTGGTCATATAGCTTGACCCATTCTAAGGACTAATAGTCTTTGCCTTTGCTGCTTTGATTTTGACCATCCTTTTAAAATACGTCTCTTTTGTGAGTCCCCCAACTTTATAGAAGGGTAATCCTAAATTGCTGGAGCACCACTTTAGGCACACAAAGCCATGAATCATGAAATTGCATGTGACACTAAAATGCAATAAGGAATGAAATGAATGGTCAATTTTATGTGTGTGTGTCTAAGTTTGAAGTCTGGACCCACGCATAAGAGGGTGGAAATAGTACATTAAGTAACCTCAGGTTCAAATTTGTCTTTTGATATTATTGATTATATTGGTTATGTGGCCAACCCACTCTCTTGATGTTCTGCAACAGGTCAAAACCTACAAGCAAGGTTTAGTTTTGTCTCAGTGTGTGAAAACATTTCAAAATGCTGAGCTTTTAGTTTTAAGTGAGAGCCATTCTCTGCCACCCTTTCAGTGTGTTGCTTAGTTGCTGATAATAAAAAGGAAGGGGAAGTGTCTAACCAACTGCTTGTGAAAAGAGCATAGATTGTAGTGTTGTGCCAGTCCTCGGCGGGCATCACATAAATGTCTTGGAGACGGTTGAAATAGAGTGACTCTTCTGGAAACCCACAGACAAGCCGGGCCTTGAGGAAAGATGTCCACATGTTCTGGAAGAATCTTTTTGATCCGCCTTCATCTACCTGCAAAATGATGCCAACAAATTACACCAGGACGACGCTATTTCACTTTTCTTGCAAACTGAAATCCATTAACTAAGGGTTATTTGATAGGACTGTTGTTACATGGACCATGGTACCTAGAACAAAACACGTGACTGCTTTTAGGGCAAGTCCTATTTTTGTACAGATGTCCAGATGTTTCACCACAATAATAGTATGCCACCTTAGTCAAAACAAGAGGAAGAAGTCTGATTCATCGGTATAGGTGGTGGAAAAGAGACCACCATGCAGCAGATAGTTGCACTACTACATTAATCTAGTAAAAGAAGTATTAAGTATAAGTATTATTATATGTAAGCCTTAGCTTAACTGCAGGATATCATTCTGTCCACTAAATTTCCATCTCCCTTTGTTTTATTAGCACAGTACAAATAAATAATTAATGCCCAAGGTTATCATAGTATCTATGATGACAGCCTGAGCCCTCAGTATCATGACATACTCTACTGATAAAACTGCAAATACTGGCTGACCTTAACCAAAGACAACAGATCAACATGAAAGGTGGTGGCATTTCAGCTCCTTTGTTTGGCAAATTCAAGAGGGGTTAATTTAGGAACAGACACTACTAGAACTAATATTAAACTCTGGCTGTTTGCCACAAACCAGTTTATTCTAATAGAAACCAAAAGAAGTAGGAAAAAAGAAGTGTGGTTGTTGTGTCAAAATCTCACCTCAGGGTCCATTTAGTTGGTCTTCTGGTGCTTTTGATTATATTACAAAGTCTCTCCTCGTACCCCAAAAGGCCATAGTCATGCTATTACTTCATATCGGATCATATCCAAATTCAGTGGATAGCCAACTCCTAGGCTGAACTGAGTGACTCATTGTCTGACTTACAACTCATGGCCCCGCCCTTTCCCTAGCTAAAATTTGAATTAATAATATTATTCTTGAAAAATTGTTTTATTTCTCAAGAATAAAAACAATTTCATATTTTAAATGAATATCTTCAGCCCATCCAACATTTCAACATAATTTACCAACTGGAATCAGATCAGTGAAATCTACCTTCCACGTCCACAACAAGATGTGTTAGCTCGAGTACTGAAGCTCAGCTGAAGAGGTTGTGGGGAATTTACTCTAGCCAGTAGTTGATTTGCCCCTCACCAAGGGTGGAATCAGGAAATTGGCAATTACAAATCAGTCTGCAGCTTCAGCAATGCAGACAGTGCCATGGATTTATCAATATACAGCACAGGTAGGCTACTGACAATACTGATTAATGAGTCAGGCAGGCCTACTAGGGGTTGGAAAGGAAGGATGGCAGGTTAACCAGGGAGGTGCATTTTGTTTGTTTTACTAACAAGGGGATAGCATCTCCCCTCAAATTGCCTATTTCTGTAGCTTTCTAGTAAGATGAGAGCTTCACTGAGTCTACTCCAGTGTCCAACGTACCTTACAAACTCTGGCGACCCTAGATATCCAGGGATCAGCCTCTGGGTTGTGATCTGAGTTCTTTTCACGGAAAAATATGTAAATTTTCTCATTGTCAGGGTCTTCTTTCCGCTCCACCCAGGACGCATAGATGAATGTGGGCTCTGTAAGACAAAACATATGATCTGAGGACAGTGCGGCGTCAGCAGGCAATATGTGATGAAAAAGCTTGGCACGTGAAAGCAAAATAAAAGATAATTAAACTGCATGGAGCAATTAAATTTTGCGTTCTGTCACATCACAATACTAATGGACTTACAGTGTAGTATTGATACATTATGAATTTACTTTATAAACGTAATTTACACACCTGAGACCCAGTTGTCATACATCCACACATTAGTTCTGCTACCAGCTTTCCTTCTGAATTGCAATGAACTTCCATCAGTATCCAAAGGTGCTGCTGTGTATAGATCCCCCTCTAAAATAGCAGAGAGCCATCACATGAAAATGAGCTGAAATGTTCAATTATTCAGTATATTGCTGTGAAAATGCACTGCCTTGCCAGCTCTGCAGTCACAAGTGACTTGATAGGGTTACATAAGTTTTAGAAACATGGGTTTGTGCAGGAAGCTGTATTTAACATACCTACTGTGAGAGATATGGAGTTATGTGTGTACAGATAAGGAGTGATGCCCTTCCCCTCATAACTCTCCATTATTTCATTAGACTGATTGTTCACTGAAGAAAACTGCAGAACCAGAAAGTCAACAGAAAATTGTGAGAGTTGGTTCCAGACAACCGTGATGGAAATATAACAAAACATTCATCACCAGCGTCTACCAAACACCAGACTGAAATTACAGACAGGATGCTAATTAAAGTTTAATCAGAGCCACAGCCACGTCAACAAAAAGCCACCTGCTTTAATCAGCTTTGCCCTGCTGTTGCCAGTAAACAATAATTGGCCACAAAAACTGCAGTATGTCAGACAGTAACATGAAATGCAACACATATTCAGTGGTTTATGCAAACACTCACAAGCTTCCAGCACTGTGGATTTTGTCCATTCGTTCCACAGACAAATAAGCTGTCCTGGAACTTCTCAATTACTGTGATGACATTTTCACAAGAGTCCTGCAAATACACAGAGGCTGTTATTGCCATCACACAGAATACATTCTATATTTCATTCAGACTGGTTGAGCAGTCATTTCTGATCCCATAAATCATGATTCTCTGGTCACTAACCTCTTGGCACTGTTGTTGCCCCGTTGTTTTCAGAGGAAATTTCTGCAGGGGACATCAATTGGTATTGGTGTTGGTTGGACAAATTAACAGAGTTTTAAAAGAGATATAAATTCCTAAAAACAAAGCCCTTATCACTTACTAACCAATAAAGAATGTTGCACTTAAAGACCTGCCCAGAAACCTGGTGTTTTGGTAATTGCATAATGTTTGAAATAGCTGGATCATAGTTAAAAATGTGAAACCCATCTTAGGTTTTCTTTCTCAGCTTGACTTTCTTAGCCAAAACCTATTTCACTCAGGATAATGTCTGAAATAGCCACAGGCTAATATCCATTAGTGAAATGAAGATCTACAGTATGTCTTATGGTCAGATGTGAGCCCACTTTTGTTTTAATTTCTTGAAAAACAATTAAAAAAACATTGACAAATTATTAATATATTCATAGGGGAATGATTAGGTCAGCTGACTGTTGATGGTTGCATTATCTGAATGTTCTGGATTATTATATTCTAGAAACTTTAGTACGTCATCAGGGTCTGTTTGTGGCATGTGCTCACCACCAGCAGTTAATGTGCATTTGAAGCTGCATTTGCTTGCTTTGAAAGGACAGTATCTATCAGGGAGCGTTGCCAGACAGACTCTTTGTTAAACAGTGGCAGCCATCTGTTACAGTACAGCATCTAATTATGGCCCCACTGTACAAACTGTCATCTGCATGAATCACACATAAGACAAGCTGGGAGCTGATCAGTACACCATGAGACAACTTGATGAAGAGTAGCCTATACAGGCAAGTGAAACAACAAAATAAAAACATCAAAAACAGTGGTTTCAAATCTTAGTTTACCCACCTCTATGATATGAAAATCATTCACATCAAGTTGTAACACAAAATCAGTCCCTCCAACATACATCTCCGCAGAGTCTTCATTATAGAGGAACACAGTGTGGTTCTGATAGATTTGGTAATCAAATCTACCACTTGTTATATCTGAGGAAAAAGAAAGGGTCACATAATCCTTCTTGATAGATTTTTGACAGACTGTATTAGAGCAATGGCTGTATTGTGCACGAACATAAAATGCTGATTTATCTGTGTGATATTCTTAACTGCTAGCGCGTGCTTAAAGGATTTGAACACTGGATTTACTCTGTAACTGATTTTTCTAAACATCTACACCGACCCGACACACTGATTTTACACTAATACATCTAAAACACCGCAGAATCATTTTGTCGTAATGATGAAGACGTGAGAAGTGGATGTTAGCCTACCTTTGCTCAGAACTCTGGGAGAATCTTTCGATCCGAGAAACGGTGTGTCCTTCAAACCAACACTAAGGACTACTTGAAAATCTCCAGCAAGCCAAATGTAAATTAAAACAAATCGTTTCATTTTGCGCCGAAAGTAGTGAAGATATCTTGTACTGAGGAGCCTACGTTTGAACCGTCTTCTCTCTCTGAGCGCAATCCGTAAAGTGAGGCTGTGAGGGAGGGGAAAGCTATAGGCTACGCCAAAGATAGCCTACATGTAGGCTACGAGTTTTTTTTGAGTGATGATTTTAGTGTTTAGATGAACACAAATAAATAGTCTACTTATAAAAATATAATAACAATAATAATAATTAGGCTATAGCAATAATAATAAATACAAAATGTGCATCATTTTTTCTGTTCTTTCTGAACATGAAGAAATACTAACATAGCCTACATGAACACCAAATGATTAACTAATTCCTTTCCATTCCTTTAAGTGGCAGTCAATGCAATTTAGATTAGGCTATTAGTTCTGCGCACAGCAAGGGCATTAGCTCTGATGTAAACAGTGTCATTAGCTTAAGTGATACCTTGGAAATCAGACTGTGTTTTTCATTAGCACAATTTCTGTAGTTGGGTGCTGATGAATCAACAGGTCTTTGTATTGTTGCATTAGTTTTAGTCTGGTATACCTCTGGCAACTGAGTGTTTGTATACGGAACAATAAATAGCCTATTGTTCTGAAAGTAGGAGCGGGGGCCCTCCTGGCTTGAAAATGAAAACAACCCACAGAAATAAAACAGTTTTTTCCCAACTGGAGTTAATATTACTAGTGGTGGTATGTAGTAGCCCTGCTATTATCTGAAATTATAATGAACATATACACGAACATTAGCCCTAATCAAACTTTAACAACTATGTTGTAATCTCAGAAAACGTTTTTGATCAAGGTGACAAAACATAAGTAAATTACCACAAAGCATTGTTATTACACCAAATAAGAAAATATTTCATGTTTTATGTTATATGGGATATGCATGAACAAATAGTAATACATTCATTTTGATTGCCAAATAGTAATAACAGACACAAAATGTTAGCCAACATACTGTCTGACATTACTTATTTTGGGGGTCAGGTAGAGGTCTAACTTCCTGTTAGTCCTCCTATGAAAAAATTGTAATAAAACCCCAATTACAGATTCTGAATATACTTATGTGAGATCGAAGAAGATAGTGCTGTGCACAGTAATCACAGGTACAGAAAATTAAAATGTGTTTAAAAGTGTTTACCCATGTTTTACACCTGGGATCACTGAGACCCCAAACACCACTAATATATCATTTTCTGTATAGTGGACTTCTGAAACATAGCATCAGTTATGACACATATGTGTCAAACTCAAAACCCAGGAAGTGCAAGCCTTCACAGAACACATCAACTGGGCAGAAAGTAACATCAAGTTCACATGAGAGGATTTCAGCAATAGTTTGGCTTTCTTGGACTGTACTATCTACATTGTAGAGGACAAGAGCCTCCACATTGGAGAATACAGGAAACCCACACATGGACCAATACTTACTCACTGATTCTCACCACGCAGTGGAGCATAAACTAGACGTTATCAGAACCCTGCACCACCGAGCTGATAACATACCAACAAGTGCCCGAACCAAAGAGAAGGTGCATAAACACCTGAAGGATGCACTTAAAGCTTGTGGATATCCAAACTGGATCTTTGTGAGAGCAGCCACAAGATCAAGGAAGAACACCAGATGAGGAAAGGAAGAGTAAAAGCAACAACATAGTGGTGTCATCCAGGAAAAGAAAGCTGTTTGAGTTTATGAAGAAATATGGTAATAACAAGAGCTGTAAACTATGCCATGCAACATCAGGACCATCGACTCTGTGAATGACCACGCCCCCTCCTTTCCATTGTCCAATCAGATGTAAGTAAGCAGAAAGTTTCCTGTTTACTTCTTCCTTGTGCTCAGCTGACTAAAAACCATGGTAAACACGTTAATGATCGTATTATTCAACACTGGTTTGCTCATTTAGATGCCGTTTTATTTATAGGACATTTTAGTCGCATGATTTATAAATGTCTTAAGTAATTATTTACCTCAACACTGTCGATGTATTATCCGGCAGCTAGCAAGCTAAGCTAGGTAGTAGCTTTAATGATGGCTAACGTTAGCTTGCTAACCTAATCTAAATGCTAGCGTTACAGCGTTAAAGGTCTGACTTTTGTTGCAGTACAGTGAACAACATGTATGTGATGTCTTCTCTGTTGTAGCGGTTCCGTTTTTGTGGAGATTTGGACTGCCCAGATTGGGTACTTGCCGAAATAAGCACATTAGCGAAGATCGTGAGTAACGTTAATTATGGACACATAAACAGGAAAGCAGTGTTTGGCAGTGTCAGCTTAACGTTACATATGTTGTTATACTAATACATGTGTCTTCTGCCTCACGTATGTAACAGTCAAGTGTCAAAATGAAACTCCTGTGTGCTCAAGTGCTGAAGGACTTGCTTGGGGAAGGCATTGACGTAAGAGTTTAACATAGTTATCGCTTACTAATAATCTCTTACCTCTTATATACACAGTTCACTCACAGTGGTCAGTGATGTCTTCTCTTTTTTTTTTTTTTAGTATGCCAAGGTTGCAAAGCTTACTGCAGATGCAAAGTTTGGTAAGTCTCCCTCATACTGGTACTTAGGGGTGGCAGAAATTTTTAGATCTGTTGCTAAAGTTAAATTAGCTGTAGCAATACCACAGTATAAAAATATTACATTTCATATGAATAAAATATTTCTTTAGGATAGAAGTATTAGTAGAAAAGTGTACTTAATGTAGTGTTTAAGCATAAAATGAAAAATAATGATTATTAATAATTCTTTAATGAGTAAACAGCATTTTACTGTTGGTAAAGGGGAGTTGGCTTTGAATACTTCTTGGGTAGTTATATGTACAACAATGCATAATGTTTTATAAGCTCATGTTTTGTGTGTAAAATTATAATTGCAGAATAACTATGGCTAAAGTAAAAAGTAGTGTAGAATATTTGTCTCAGAAATGTTGTAACGTAGAAAGGAGCTTAAAAACCCAAGCAATGTACCTCATAATTGTTCTTCCTACTTCAAAGCAGAGTACTTGGGTAGCTGATATATCCCACTACTGCTGCATTTTAATCTAACTAATATAATTACACTCATTGTCATGCTTGCATTGTATTTTTTTTTAATCTAATATGCATTCATGACATCAACACATCTTGCAGAGAGCGGAGACATCAAAGCCAGTGTTGCAGTGCTCAGCTTCATTTTCTCCAGTGCAGCAAAGCATGATGTGGACAGTGACTCTCTTTCCAGCGAACTGCAGCAGCTCGGCCTGCCTAAAGGTCAGTCCACTGGGTTTCCCCATGTTTGGTATGAAACCGATGATTGTGTTGCATAATCTGTAATTACACATGCACAGAACTCTTTCCATAAAAGAGTTAGCACTTGCCAGTTGTTAAAGCAGAACAAAGGTGGAAAAACAACACCTGGATAATTTATTTAACTACATGTGATATTTCAGGGTAATGTCTTCATTAACTAGAGCCTGTGTGGCCGATTCACATGGCTCTCAGACAACCAAGAACTCCTTAATACAGAGTTATATATTTGCACCATTTGTTAATTTGTTAAATTATAAACTGTGCTCAGAATTAAACACATACAATTGCCTCTTTTCCAGAAACAAAGAGGTCTAATATCACAGCCTATTGTGTTATTATTAGAGCTTACTGCATTATAGCATTGTCTGTTGTCTAACTAAAGTATGATAAAACACTATACTCAGCTGGCACTCGAAGGGCACACATTGTACAATGTCGACAAAGCTGATTGGTGGGGTGGGTGGTGCATTGTGACTTTGGTGCATTAACAGTATAAAACTGTTGCAGTTGGCTCGCCGCCATCTTAAAGCTGTATTCTCTTTTTCCGTGTTGTGAAGATATCCACTTTATTTGATAGGTGTACATTTACTTTGTGGCCACTACTACTTTTATTGATCGGTTAATGCTGTATTAATGTCTTCTGCTAATAGTGTGCTCAAACACTTACATGATTATGCACTTAAATAAATCTTGGCTTGACTATTACACACACACATATCCATTCTTTTAGAACACACAACGGGGCTCTGCAAATCATATGAAGACAAGCACTCTGCACTGCAAGACAAACTAAGAGAGACGAGTCTGAGATGTGAGTATTTCTGTCTATCTTGCCCTTTTCAAAGAGGAAGGTAAATGTAACTTGATGATGAGAGCTGTCTTCTGATCTTCTGCTGACTGAGGGATGCCATCAATTGTGCTCTGTAATCAATTTCAGTGGGGCAGCTGGAGGCTGTGTCCTGGCGCGTTGACTACACTCTGAGCTCCAGTGAACTGAGGGAGGTCAATGAACCAGTAATTCAGCTTAAACTGCAGGCACAAGGTGCAGAGTCAGGTACAGAGACGACTGTGGTTTCGGTTTCTGCTGACAAGTTAAGAGTCTTGCTTACAGGTTAGTTCTGCATCTTGACGCAGTTCTTTTCTCATAGTTCTTCCATTTCATATTATTTATCAGCCGGAAAGATGTTGTTGTTCATTCTTTTTCTCTGTTTCTACAGAGCTCAAACAGGCCCAGGCTATGATGAATGCACTACAGTGAAGAGTGGACAATGAAGTTGGAGTCTAAATGTCTGATCAAGAGCGGGACACAAATGACACTGACTAGCCAAAATTCCTATACTTACATCTTGTACAGTTTAATGTCTTATATGAATTTTGTCATCTCAAACGTCAGTCCTTATTTGGATTTACTGATATTTTACTGTATTTTTCTACCACATTAGTAATAATCGATGGAAATGTTTCCAGACTGGATGATTTGTCACTGAAGCAAGAATGGACCATTTTTGTAAAATATTACTTAACACCGTTTGATTTGAATTGTGTTGATAATTTGTGTTTTAATATAAATAACAAATAAAATTTGAAATACGGAAATATTTGTATTCCTGCTCATTTGCGCAACGCCTACATATCCCAGCATGCATTGGGCTAGACTGTTCGCTTGTGATGTGTTGCTGCAGCGCGTTTACTAGAGAGAGAAACTCCGTTAAATGCTTTCGCTGTTTTCAATAAATTATTAGAAAACATAACAAAAACTTTTTATATACAGTCTATGCTTAGAATACGTCAGAAAACGCGCAGGTTACTGATAAACAACGAGCGTGGAAAGCTTGCAGATCTCGCGATATTTTGGAATGACTAAATTAATGTTACACAACTTGTTTAGTAACAAGTATGTTAGGAAAGCCTCTTGGTTAGTGCCGTGCCTGCCCCATTGCCCTGCAAAGAGTAGAGAAGCCTAACAAACTCCGTAGGTTATGCAGTAAGTCCGATAAAGTTATTCTAACGACGGCGAGGTCTATTTCCTGGTGTGGGTAAGTTGCCCCTTCATGTTGCTCCGAACTCAATGAAAACACCAACAGTTTACCTACCAGTACGTTTCCCTAGTTATGACCGGTGGGATGCAGAAATGTGTTTTGTTCAGACTGGGTTACATGGTGTAATGGAATATGTCATATTGTGTAATCTGTTGTGAACTTGTGGCAGTAGATCTGCGTGTAATGTTGTCATGTGTAGGAATTTGTGTGTACCTAAGAATGATTGACCACAGTAATGTTTTTCGTCTGTGCGTTGTCTGTGGTGTGGTAAGATGTGCATGTGTTCGCAGTACTGCTTAATGTTTGCATGTACTCTGAGGTCACAAGTCCTCCCAACACACACCCCACCACACCAAACCAAGGTCTTTCGTAGATTTTTATTTTTTTTCTACAGTTGCCTGGATTTTTTCATATTTTATTCATCCAGGTTACTGTTCAGATACCCCAGTGAGCACCAACCAAGATTTCATCGTTTATTTGTTGTTGAAACCTGAGCGACTTCAACTACAAATCAACATTGCTATTTGGGACGCTTTATGTAGCCTACATTTTATTTCCCAACATCATTACCTTAATGCTGTTCTAAAGCCGTTTCCACACTCTCAGGAATGTAATTGTGAGGAAGAAAAATTGAAGCCTACATTTATTTTATTTTGTTGGCCTAAAAGTTGTCAAATGTAAACCTTTTGAGTGTTTAAATACGGGCAAAAGCTTCTAAAATACCCCACCATGTGTAGGTTTTTAATTGTAGAATATAAACGTTTCCCATGTTGCTAAAAACAGAGACTTGTGTCCTCAGTGTGCTTAAGATAACTACAGCCAGGGATTAGGGCTGAACAATTAATGGAAATTTTATTGCAATTTTCAAATCACAGGAGGCGTAATATTTGTTGTGGTGAAAAGTGTGTAAAAATATCATTTTTATAATATTGTCATGCTGCAGAGATGTCCTGGCATATACACCATATTCTACAGAAAGAAAACATGTTTGTCACACCATAGTCTTCTGAAAGTTTTTCAATGAAATGAGAATAAAGATGTAAAAGTGATTGTTCCCTTCAGTAACGCAAATCATTTCGCAATGTCAGTCAAAATAATCGCAATTACGTATTCTTTGAAAATTGTTCAGCCCTACTTTGGATGTTATATTTTGTGATGTAATCTTTACTCAGCCACTTTATTCTCTGCAGTTGCAGCACAGCTTAATTTTGTTCCAACAAAATGCCAGAGGGACCAGAGCTCCACCTGGCTAGCCTTTATGTGAACAAAATGTGTAATGGAGTGGTGTTTACTGGACCGGTCAGAAAATCTGAGGTCAGCAAGAGTCCTGACGTGCCCTTCAACTGCGAGTCCTATTGGATCGCAGCTGCTTCCAGGGGGAAGGAAGTGAAGCTCACGCTAACGCCCTTGAAGAGTGATGATCCAAAACAGAGAGTAAAGGCTGAACAGGCAGACCAGCCCATGGATATAGTCTTCCGATTCGGGATGTCGGGTTATTTCTGCTTCACCACAGAGGATGAGCTGCCCAAACACGCCCATCTGTGTTTTTATTCCAAAGAGAAACCCTGCAGAGTGCTGAGCTTTGTGGATGTACGCAGGTTTGGAAGCTGGCAGTCCAATGGGACGTGGCAGCCTAACAGAGGGCCCTGTGTCATGTTTGAGTATAAAAGCTTCAGGTGAGAAATGCTAGTGAGTGTCACTTGTGTCACCTGCTCAATCAAATCATCACTGTCACATTAACCAGGTATTAATTTTGCAGGGAAAACGTTGTGTCGCACCTATCTGACCACGCCTTTGACAGGCCCATCTGTGAAGTTCTGCTCAATCAGAAGTACTTCAACGGTATCGGGAACTACCTGAGGGCTGAAATACTTTACAGGTGATAACGCACAACCCCCAGAACTATTCAAATGACACATTATACAGTTATGTAGTAGTGACGCACCAATACTGACCTTATTAAGTGGATCAGGTATCAGCCATGACATGATGTTCCACAGACGACATCCTAAAGCCCCAAAATATTCGCTTCTCAATCAAATAACTAATTGTTTCAGCTGTAATTAAATTGCTTCTTAATGTCACAGCAATCCACAGTCTGATGTTAGCTTTCATAAAAGTTACCTCAAGAAGTTCCATGCAGTGAGTTGCACAGATATCAAATTTGGGGAGAAAGTGCATCAGAATCAATGCATCCCTAATTATTAATACAGTATTTGTTCATTTACACTGAGTTTATGTCTATTATGTGCCTAGTCAACAAAGCAAATTCCATGTAAATGTAAAATCTACCTGGCAATAAAGCGGTTTCTGATATTTCTTTAGATATTTTCATCTGGCTAGCAGGGGTTACAAAGAACAAAAAGTGAATTGAAATGGGGTAGCTTTGCTTAGGTGCTAGAATGACAATATAAACATGTCTGATAGTTATGGGAGGTTCTTCCTGTTTTGCTAATTATGACCAAAACACCAAACCAGCTCATGAGTTTCAAGGTCCATTTCACTTACAGATATGAAATGAATGGCTTTCTTTCACTTATTTATTTCTGCCGGTGGGGAGGCATAATGATTCAAACACACTATCAAAACAAAAGAGACTTGTTTTACAGAAGAACGCGATGTTTTGTAGGTTGAACATTGCACCCTTTGTGCCTGCAAGGAGCATACTGGAAGGCCTTGAGTCAGAAGATTTATGTGAGAAAGAGGAGCCTTTGAAAAACGAGACCCACACAAAGGTGAAAGAACCCATACAGATAGACTCATTTTTCAGATCATCGCATGCTCAACCCCAACTGCTTTGCATTTTCTAACAGTGCCTTCCTTTCTTGTGGTTACAAGACCTCAGACAGAGCTAGACAGAAAATGGTGAAAGGGCAGAATGGTGACCTGCTCAGACTGTGTCATACAGTACCTCTTGAAGTGTTAACCTTAGGTGGGTCATCATCTCTTTATTATCCAGTTCACTCTGAAACTCAGATCCTTTTTGCTTTTCAATATAAGTGACACACTTTACTGTCATTCAGAAAGAGTACAATTTCTGTTTCTTGACACACTTTGTGACTTAGGTGGAAAGGGCTACGATCCTGTGAAGGCAGACTACTCTGGCTTTGAGGCATGGCTGCAGTGTTACAATGTGGATGGAATGAAATCTATCCGGGACCACAATGGCAGAACTATATGGTTCAACGTGAGTTCGAGGAAATTCCTATATTTATATCTGGAACAGGATTTTGAAAATATTGCTGATATTAATACCTAATGTTCTAATCACAGGGAGAACCAGGGCCCATGGCACCTAAAGGTGTGTAACACTTTGAACACATGAAACCGAGAACTGCTGAAATGTATCTGAGAATAGTCAATGCATCTGACCTTTCTCACTCAATAGATTCAAAGTCACCTAAGGCAAAAAAATGGAAGAAGAAAGAAGATGACCATGATTACACAGACAAGAAAAAGGTATCAACACTAACTATTTTTTGCCTAACAAATGAACTTCTACAGAAATAACTTTACACCCGCTTGATTTCATTAGGTGGCCAGAAGTCGCTCTGCAAGCACAAAGAAAAAGGTGGTCAAACAGGAAACTGTGAACAAAACGCCAAAGAAAGAGCAGGACATGCGTTTGAAGGAAGTCGGATCCAAGAGAATAAAGACTGAAAATACCCGGGGAGTAAACACACCTCTGCATGAAAAAGGAGTCAGTCACTCAATTGCACGTAGGAGGAAGAGCAGCAGTGCAGAGCCAACAGTTGCAGGTGAGCTTAGGAAACAGGGTAGGTTTTCCACTGGGGGAGTGTTGAAAGAATTTTAATTTCATAAACATCCTTGTTGCAGGTCCACTGAGGCGTAGTGCCAGACTGACCAAACAGAACAACATGTAAAAAGAAAAAGGGAGGAACCACTGAAATATTACACAATATGCCTTTTTTAATATTTGTTAATAAAACATGTTTTTACAAAAGTCCTGCAACGTTATTGATTTGATCCGAAGTAATCACGTTATCTTTGGAAAATAGTCATCTATGAGTGGCTCAAAAAGATGCCCCCCTAGTTGAAGTTTTCTAATAAACTGTCAATAGAGCAGCACCACATTTTATAACATAACTAGTTTTTACTCGTGGGACCAAACTGTTGTATTAATATTCAATTTGTGACCACCCTGAAGCTCTGTAAAGTGCCATATGTATCACAAGATGAGGAGAAGTGACATGATTTGAAAGGGCTTGAAGTCCATGGTGATTCCCTCTGATGTAATGCGTGCTGGCTGGGTGGGGTCTGGTCTCTCCAAGAGATCACAACTGAAAGGGACGGAGGAAAAAAAGGTTTTGTTCTTAGATGACACAACAGACGCCAGAAAGCAGTAAACACCGTTAAAAATAGGAACACTCACTGCCAAGCGTCCCTGACTGGAAGAGCAGTGCAGAGAGTTGCAGTCACGCTACTACCGTGTGACTCGTAGAGTCGGACAACAAGTGCCCTCTTCCTGTCCTCAGCCTGGTATGGTAAGTAGAGCAAACAGACATTAACGGGGTTGAGTGGATTAAGTCAAGCTTGGTCAAGTACAGCATTTAATGGGATACCTGTTTAATGGTCTCAAGTATGACTGCTGCATGGCTGACGGAAAAGGCACTCCAGGGCACAGTGTCGGGAGTGCACTGGATTGACCTCACAGGGAAGTTCAGGTTGTACGCACACTGGATGACCGAGGCATCCTGGAAGGATCCTATACACAGAAAACATTACAAAGTTGCACGGTCAGAGTTTTTAAGGTTTAATGAGAACAATTTATTGACATCATACCTGTGTGTGGCATGACTGCATAGGTGAAGTGATGAGTCCCCATGTCAGCATTGACATCTGGGGCCTTCGGTGCTCTCAGTCTACGACAAAGACATCTACTGTTAGAAGGATTATTGAACTTTGGTGGAACTGGATTAAACTACCTGTAGAACTGTTGCATATGAACTGTGGAAAACCTCACAGGGACAGCGTCATGGTGCTCTTGTGGACTGAATAGCCGTATTTGCAGTCATTCAGCAGTGCAACTCCAAAGTTGTGCTCCGACAAATCGGCCCACTTGTGACCCCAAACCTGAGAATGAAACCATGAAGAGAAACGGCAATGATAATACAAAACATTTCAACAGCTTTGCTTTTGTTATAACCGCATCACGGATGTCTGCTGTCCTACAATTTAGGTGAGGACACTAAGTGTTGCTGTCAGAATACCTGTGGAGATAAGTGTAAGCTGAACATTAATCACAGTTCATTCCACAGTGTTGTACCTCAAATCTGGCCCAGTCCCATGAAGTGTTCCTGTGTGTGGGTCTCTGCAGATGGCCAAACTGGATCTCAAAGGTGGCATTGGGGCTGCGTACACGCACTGGGAATTCAACCTTCAGAAACTTGTGCGAGTCTGCCCACTTCACCTGAAATTAGAGGATGCAACATTTGGGTTTTTCTTGTGTATTCAATAAGTTATCAACTGTTGGATCAGTGAATCTGTAGACTTCTCCAGATATCATAAATGGTATAAAGTACCTCTGTGTTGAACTTGATGTAAGGACACATGGCATCCAAGACAATCTCCTGTGTGAGCGTGCTCTTATCACTGATCCTGAGGGTGAAGCTGACACTGCCTCGGAGCCCATCTGCGGACACCACATGAACAGGCTGCACCACCTCCAGCACCGGCTTCCTATTGGGTCAGATCTGTTGTTTTGATATTCATATCTACAATACCTGCAAAAACTGATGTGTATCAAGGTGGAAAAAGATAGATGCGACAGAAATTGTGGTTACCTTGTCTGCAGATGGTAGTCCATTACATCCCAAGCATCCCAATACAGAGGGACATCATCAAACATGACAAACTGGTTCCCGTGACAGCTGTCAGAGATGGCTTCTCTGAAACCAACAGAGTGGTGACACAGACGTTAATTCTGTCATGTTAATGATACAGTAGAAGATACACAGGTGGGCACATGTGGTTCATACAGTACCTGTTTGCATTGATCAAATACAGTGAAGCCAAAGTGCCATCTTTGTTTATGACAGTCTGTAAAATCCCGTTCTCCATGAGGACAGTGCCGTCGGCCTGTGATGTTACATGTGTCAGTTTGCTTAATTAAATGAAAACATAGCTAGAAGAATGAAATGCTCTACATTGAGTCCATACTTGGCCAGTGACAGAGACTGGAGCTACAGGCTGTGAGTGTTTGACAGGAGACAAGCCGAGACTGGGAACTCTCACCAGAGCTGCAGAACAACAGAACACAGAGCATCAGATATGCAATTGTAGTTTGGAAGGCAACAACATAAATAGTGTAAATATATGACATACCCAGGCTAGGTTTACCAGCGCCATCTTGAATCTGGATGACTTCATGCCGCTCCCATGGCAGAGAGTTGAAGACACCGTCAGAGTTGCCCTTAGATCCCAGGGCTCCACAGGCATCATGCAGTAGTGTAGCACCATCTCTACGAATATCTAAAACACAGCGTGATGCAGCATGATGCATCAGTATGGTTCTGATTATAATGGACCTCTAATGAAAAGTGTACCTTCATAATACCGGAGTGCATCCTCCACAACCATCTCTATACAGCTGCCGGGAATCACGTCATGGAACTGGTTGAGAAGAAGCAGCCTGTTAAAGGAAAAACTCAGTGAAGCCTTTTTTATACTGTGACAGAGACCTTTTATTTATTCACGCTCAACATCAAATATCAATAGGTGTGTCTGGACCTCCAGAGCTCCTGCAGTTTCTCCACGGGATACTGAAAGGTCATGTCCCGACACAGCGCCAAGCTGCTGGCTATCTCGATGTCATGAAGCAGTGTCTCACACTGGCGGTTCCTTCGTTTGATCTGGAAAAAAAAAAAAAACAATAAAAACAAGCATGAAAATAGCTGCACTTTATCAAAACAGAAAAAACATTTTTAATCATTTTAATCCTTTTCTAGTTTTTCCTTCATTCTGTTGGACTGGTTTTATACTTTATACATTTCACATGTCCGAAGAACATGTACATGTTTCTCCTGCACGAGTATGTCCCCTTTTGTGTTTTTTGTGGTGTTGTGTGGGACTTTATTATTTTGGGAGATGTTACCTGTAATTATGCTTACACTGAGTATATATGCATGTGTATCTGCCTTTACTTATAAATTAATATTTAAAAATATATGATAACAATCAAGTCTGTTAGTAAGATAAATATAACAATCCGGAATGTAAATGATCCATCACCTGAGTATTTAAGCTGCACCACCAGGGAATATTTACAACTCAAAAATATGTATTTATATATTTTTATATATTCTTGTTATTTATTTTTCTATCCTATTTCTTTGCTTATATTTCTTTCTTTCATTAAAAAAAATAAAAGAGAGAAATCCTACTAGTTTTGTTATGGCTGTTCCCTCTTAAAACAAGGACTCTGAAGAGATTTATTTTCTACCTGCGCCTGTGTGGTGTAGGTGCCATTGTGCAGCTCCAGGAAGAGCTCTCCGGCCCAAGTGCAAAGCAGAGCTGAGTCAGCCTGAAGCTGAGAGAAAAGCTTTTCGGGACTGGACGTTTGGACCCTGAGAAACACACAAGAATTGGAGATGTGACCAATGTCCTCTCTGGTTACACCTTTGTTTTTCCATTCTGACTAAAACATGAATTGTATTGACTAGTCTTGTAAGTCACGCCAGCATGACATCAGTAAACACCACTCATATCCTTTTACATTTTACAAGTTTGGAATTAACTGCCTACGTGCAGACACACCCTTTGACAGAAATCCCATCGCAGGAAAAGTGAATGTAAAACTGATGACTAATTTTAACACAGGAAGCGTGTTTGTCTCGTTTTAGGTTCAGTCGATGTTTTTGAGTTAAAGTGTGGGACAGGAACTGACTTGGGAAGTCCATCTGTGTCCTGGACCCGGTGCAGTCTGTCTAGCATCAGCTGTGTTGGGCCACCGCCACCATCGCCAAAACCAAACAACACTGCACTGTGGTTGGCCCTGCCTTTGTCTTTGTTGTTCTTCACAGTTTTCACCAGCTGTGAGAGATCAGAGAAAACCCAGAGGAACCTATGGTTTGTGAGGATTGTAAAAATTGTCTTCACAGACTCAACATTCACCATGCTGTGTGTACTATAAACCAAACTCACGTCTTCAACCTTGCCCTTCATTTCGTAGGTATTTCCTGGTGGGAAGTGAGTTAAAACCGTTGAGCCGTCCAGACCTTCCCAGAAAAATGTGTTGTGCTTTGGGAGAGAGAAAATGAAAACTGAAAATGAAAACATTTCAACTTAACTGTTTTTTAAAATCAAGTGGCTGCTTACTTACAGGGAAGGTGTTGACCAGGTTCCAGCTGAGTTTCTGTGTCAAGAAATTGGAAATGCCGCAACCCTGCATTATTTGAGGAAGTTGGGCAGAGTAGCCAAATGTATCTGGAAGCCAGAACTAAAGAGAACAGAGACATGATCCTTAAGTTAAGTATTTTTGATGAAAGAGTGGCCACAAATGTAGAAGACATTATATACAGAGGTAAACTTATAACAGAGGTCAGGTTATGTAGACATTTCTATGAATCCCATACCTCTTTGCAATAGATCCCAAACTCGTGGTTAAAGAAGCGCTGGCCTTCCAGGAACTGCCGGACCATGGACTCACCAGAAGGTAGATTGCCATCCTGACATGCAAATATGGAGTTAGTACATCTTAACTTAGGAAATGATGTTCATGAAAAGGGCTGAATGGCAGCAGCCCCAATAATATGAATACATTCATGAGACACATAAAATATATATTTTTTTTAGATCAGGTTTACCATTTCAACCCACGTTCCTCCCACTGGAATGAACCGGCCTTTCTTGACGTAATTCTGAATCTGGGAGAAGAGTCCTGGGTACCAACTTTTTACCCACTGGAACTGCTGGGCCTGAACAAAACGGTCAAAAGTGAAGAGGACTGTTCAGATTTGTAGTGCCTTTACAGCTCATACAAAACTGTATTAACAGGGATTTACCTGAGAACAAGTGAAAACAAACTCTGGGTTCTTTTCCATTAAACGGATCACTGTCACCCAGCTTCTGCCGCATTTGCGAATGGTCTCTTCATAGGGCCACAGCCAAGCTGCAGATACAGAGTCATAAATATCAACTAATTTGACAAAAATGGAAATATTGCAAGAATGAATGTGCAATTTCGATTAGTTTTAAAATAGGACAAAGTTTCCTTTTTAGTATTATTAGTAGTAGTATTATTTTGCTACTGCTGCTGATATGATGCCTGTTTTTTGTACCAATACCAAAATGAGTTCTATACTTTGACAAATAAAAATCTGCTTTTCTATGAAGCACCCTTTCCCCTAGAAATCAGTAAATTTCAAATTAATAAAAGAGTGAACTGAACTACAGATTTCCATACTGAGGCGGACAAATTGTGGTTTGAACCAAAAAGTGTGTTGTGGATTGATTTTCAGCACTGCTCAACAATAGAAATTTATTTGGGACCTGAGTCTATGTGGCAGTGACCCATCGCATGAATATTGTGCTGGCTCTCTCCGTTCCGCTGGCTGAAGAAGTTGTGAGCCAGTCTGCGTGCTTTGGGGAAGGAGCTTGGATTAAAGGGATCACATAGGTTCACCATCTCGTTGACAGTGAAGAGTGCCTGGTAGCCTCGTTGTTCTCCCTCTCCGAGTTCCTGCAAAGGTTAGAGAAAAGAAACAGCAGAAGTTCATGTTTGCTTTCATTAAACTTCAACTAAAGTGTACCGGTTTGTGTGACTGTACCTTTACGATGTCAGTCAGCATCTCAAAATCAGTCAGCAGCTCCCGTACATCCCGGTTAAATACCACCAGCTCAGCCTTCTGTATAGAAAACGTCCTGTTTGGATCTGGGGCTGCAATCATGGACCCTTGACCAGCACCAAAAAGCCCATTACAGGCCACCTCTATGTAAAGGGTGATGCTAAAGAACAAGAGAGAGTTCCCAAAAGCTCAGTAAGTCAAGTTGTTTGCAGGAGCTGGAATGCATTCATGTTTTAGTTAACTGACCTATGTGGCTCCTCATCTTTCAGACAGTCAGAGAGGATGTAACTCGTCTTTTCACCCTCTTTAGTCAGGCCCTACAAATCCACGTTACATTTCCCAATGAAATCTATTCAGGGGTTTAACATTGAATTTTGTCACTGTAATCCAGTCTGACTTCAATAAAACAACCTTACTTGAACTGGCTGTTCATCTCTCCAAACCATTGCTTCTCCATCGCTTTCCCACAGAAGATGAACTTCTTTCCCTTTCCAGGACTCGGGGATTTTCAGGGTCACTTTAAACCAGCAAGTCCACCACCTTCAACAGGCACCAATCTTGGGTTATTCCCGAGATGTACGTTAATAAAATATCTGAGGATGATAAAATTTTACAATAACACTTACGTTGGTCCAAAGGTATCCCCGACTTTATGAGGTGCAAAGTCCTGCTTGGAAGCTTCAGTGAATGTGATCCGTTTGGAGGACAAGCAGGAGGCGATGGACTCCAGCGGACAGGAGTCTCCATAGAGTCTGCAGAGAATAATCATTCAAAAAAAGTCAAATCACAATCTGCCTCAAAGGGCTTTGCACTACGTCTAACCTTAGACCGTAAATTCAGATATGGAAAAACCCATTCACACTAGATGCCCAGATCAGATCTGATCAACGTGAAATTTATAATTAGATCCACATTAACTGTAGAGCATGTGGGCAGGTGAGTAAATGTGGACTTTTTAACAACCATCTATAGAGCAGCATGTTTGGTCCTCTTTACCACATCGTACAGTTCATTTCAGTTAGTCAATTCAGCTTTATGAAATAAGCCTTACCGTCCTCTCAGATTGCAGTCTGTGAAATAAATATCAGAGACAAACTTCTCTGCTCTCTCGAGGAGAGTGCGTCTGTTTTTCAGCACAGGCTGATGATACATCACGAGACCAACGTACAAACACCTGCAAGTTTTGAAAACAGCGAGCACTCTGCACGCAAGATAAACTCAAACCTACAGAGGACCCGGAAGTAAAACTTAGTGTTGTTGTGCTGGCAATAAACAGCCACCAGGTGGCTCTGCTGTTCAACAGCTGGCAACGACGTAGCAATCGCTGTCACTCTGAGGGATCAGGAAGAGTGGTAAACTGTGTGTCAAACGTGGATTTATTTTTGCTTTCAAAATGTATAATTTGTGAAATCATTAAAACAGACCTAATTATTTAATTTGGGTTTTCTGAATAGGTATTCAAGGTAAAAAAAACAAAAATATGAGTGTATGTCACTGATAGCACTGCTTAAAGTAGACTTGTCATTAAGATTTTAAAATGCAATAGAAGTGACATTTTCCTTAAAAACAAATAGATTTATTTTTTATTTATGCCATTTACAATAAATAAGGAAATAGGTACTATTTACTTTATTATATATACTTATTATACACAAATTAACACCTGACACCAAACAACATTGCACAAATACAACAAATGGAGTGGGATTTTTTTTTTTTTAAGAAATATGGTGTAATGAGGCCACAAGCAGCAATAAATAGCTACAATAATCATCTGCTGGAGAACTGATAAAGGTCATGAAAGATAGTGTGCCCTGCTATAACACTTTATTGTGGAGAAACAGCCACCCTGTGCTTCTCTTTACCAGTTCCTCATTTTACAAGATAGCATGTTTAATCAGTCATCTAAAGTCTGGTCTTACAGTAAAAGTGTCACTTTTATGCCATAAGCATGCAAACACTGTATACTGAACATAAACTCAGGAACATCTGAAATACGTGTGAATATAATAAAGGCAGAAGAAGTGATACAACGGCCATGTGAAACCCTGTTAGGAAGACATGATGATGGCTGTAATAACTCTCCAGTAGTCCCGTGGTTAAGGAGTGCTGGGGAGTTAGTCTTGTGATCAGACTGGCGGACAGGGGTTAGGGGTCAGCCTACGTGCAGCCTGAAAACAAAAGGCTTTTTTCCTCCGCATAATTCACAGGGAAGGAGCTGTGTGTTTCTGTGTTTGTAAGGAGCTAAGCACCCTTTTATTATAAAATCCATAGAGCAGCTCTAAGTACAGGGTTGGTGGAAATGTGGTATAGCCCATGCCTCTCAGGGCACCCTACCATCAGGGATGTCTGTCGACTCCTATCCCCCTATTGTTTGGACTGTGGTTGGGCTTTCCACCATGCTGGGACAGCCTAAAGGAAATGAGTGCCATGGTCAGACTTGACCTGAGATTCTCACCAGTTCATCTCTGGCCTTTCTGTGTTTGCCTGGAAGCTTCTTTGTGGAGCTCTCCTTAAGAAACTCACCACATCAGATAAATAACGGGGGATTAGAGAGGACAGCTGTTCCTCTTGCTTTAAGGAAGTAGTCATACAGCATAAAACACCCATTTAAAATATCCAGCATGGAGGCTTACCATGTTCTGTCTGCCACAACACAGCAAGGGAAGTCCAGACTGTGGCTTGAGAAAAATATAGTGCTTCCCAAAACCCCACAGCTGCATGCAAACTTTATCATGTGTTCTACTTAAACCTTTCATGCTTGCACGAATGTCCAGACTGACCCATAGAACGATTTCACAAATACAGAATGAGTGGATGTAAAAGAACAATGGTCTCATGGTCTTGTTAAAGTTTCATTGAGTTCCAGAACGATGAGCTACACCCTTGAGCCGTACTCATCACTCTCTCCAATGTTGTATGGAACTCCTTTGCTTTTGTCCCGTTCAGCAGCAGCTCTAAGGAATAAAAGAACCATAAATTCAGAATGTGATTATATCTCTAAATACATGCAATTTACCGTCTTAAATTAATTGTTCTCTATTCAGCTGTAGATTTCACAAACATCAAGTATCTCTTTTTGAGGTTTGTTATTTAGTTGCTTGATGTAGTTGGAATATTTTGACTTCAATTTTATTTTGTAGGCAATTAAATGTGAGGGCTATCTTTTTCCTTAATTTATCAAAATGTTACACTACAGTTGCCCATTTTCCTTTACTCCTGCGGAGTGCAAGAGCAGAGAACTGAGGTGTGGGCCCAAATGCAGACTGTAGGCAAAGTGGTTGCAGTTCAAACAAAGATTTATTTAGTCCAAACAAAACAGGAATACTAACAAAACAGGCTTACTTTTAAATTAACAGCAAGAGTCCAAAAAAAGGGGAAAATCCAACAAAGGTAAATCCAAAACACAGAGAAATCCAGGAAACCATGGGAAACAGAGCATGAGGCAGAACACTCAACATTAGACGCAAGGACGTGACAAAGCCTGAAGACACAAGCAAGCATATATACACACAGGAACTAAGGAGCAGGGTGGGAGCAACACAGGTGAAGGGGATCAGGACTAATTAGGCACAGCAGACAGACACAGTTAACAGGGCAGAAAGAAACAGGAAGATGAGACAGATCATGAAACCAGAACAGAATAAAGAATGAACCAAAATAACCAAGAACACAAGCAGACACAGATCCATGAACAAAAGTACAAAAGTACAAAAACAAAGGCAGAGGTAGACTAATCATCAAGACGATACACTAACTAACAACAGGAACAAAGCTAGACAAGAACACCAGGCACAGAAGATTACAAAATAAAACAGGAAGTAAAGTTCACGGGAACACACAAGGAAAGACCTACCAAAGTAAAACATGGAACGACTGCAGAATCAGGGCATGGACAGGACCAAACAGGAGACAGGACCACACCAAAACATGGAGACATAAGACCAAGGACCAAGACACAGACCGTAATAATAAAACACAGTACACCGACCAAGAAAACACTAAACAAGAACTAAAGCACAGGACTAAGAACTAACTAAACAAGACTACACAGAGAAACACAGAACCAAAAACGGACTTAAACAGGAAAGGCATGAACACAAAACCACACTCCTAACAGTATCAGATTTGGCCATTTCATCCTTAACATCCCAACAAAAAAATCTGTTTGAAATCTACTTCACAAATGATTATTTTTCAATGAGCCAATCTCTAAAATATTATATTATTATTTTCAGTTTGTTTTCCCCATGCAGTCATTCATGTATTTCTTAAGGCAAGATATTACAGGCAAAAACATACTTTTTAAATGCACTGGTCAATTTTGAGAATTTGGGCTATTTTGCTTCCATAACATGTCTTCACTCAGACTAGTGGAAAGAAAACACCCAGAACACACATTTAGGTGTTTATTTTACTGCACTTTGTTTATTTGTGTATGTAGATTTTTCCTAAAGTCACCAAAAGTTAGCATTAAGTTGTGCCTAATTCGCATATTTAAACATAACATTTCAGAAAACTTGTAAGATGTACAATTATTATCTAATTGTAAGTAATCAACTGGGGAAGTTGCATGGTGAAATTTAATAACTGAAAATTGTTGCCCTTGTCACCTACAGTGTCTTGCAAAATGTGTGAAATTGTACAAGACATTTTCTTTAAAGGTCATTTTCTCAAAATGAGTTTTTTACACTAAGTGCCAGAAGTTACATACACCAAACTTTCCAGTTTAATCTATCTATATTCTGAAGGTTTTTATAGAGGGGTTTGTTCATGGATCATTCTTAGTCTACGTTTATATAACATTTTACTGCTAAAAAAATGGCAAAATTGTATTTAAATGGCTGTTGACAGAATTTTCTCATTTATGAAGTGATAAAAAATAAATCTATCCCAGAAAAGTATGTAAATTAAAGTATATTTAATTAAGTATAAGAGTATATTTAATAAGATTAATCCTAATTTGCATATTTAAACATAACATTTAAAAAAAAAACTTAATGTAAGTAATCAAATGGTGACATTTCATGATGATATCAGTCGCAAAGAAACTCCTGCACACTGTCTAACTTGTAAAATATATTTATAAGCTGGCAACGTTTTGGTACTAGACCTTCATCAGGTGCCGGATGAATCCTTCATCTCATGTCTACCACTATGAACAGCTTCTAAAAAAATCCCTAACAAATGTGCTTGGCTACTATAGACTATGAGTTAATGTAACTATGACACATTTTTTCTCAAATCTAAAAGTTGGTTCTCAAATGCATTCTCATCCATGTAGCACTAAAGACCTCTGCAAATCACACAGCAAGCTTTCAAACCCAAGAAAATATTCTCCAGGGAACAACTGTTCTTTTATAGAAAACCGCAATTATACAAAATGGGTTCATAATTTATGTGATGTCACATGCTGCTGAGGGTGATTTAGAGCGTAATATGTCAAGACCTAGATTAAATCATGGCAAGCGTTGACTTTGTTCACTGTAACACAGGAAATCAGTCCAGGTCTTTAGATTAAACTATTTACTTTCTTTTTGGGAGATCCAGGCATACTAATGTCTTCAACTAGGTTCTATCCGTCTGACAAAAAATTCACAAGCTTTTAGCTCAAGTCTTAATGATGGAAATAATCGAGCTGTCTAGTTCAAAAAGCAGCACTTTTAATACAGTATTAAGCAAAGAACCCGATTTCAACAAGCATAATTGTTTTGTTCTTGCACCATGCTTACCTTTTCTGCCGTAATAGACAGCACATTAAAGAGACAATGAGAACAAGTCCCAGTGCAGAGCCCACCAGTATGGGAAACAGTAAACCTGCAGAGCATAATGGATTATTATTATCAGTAATAATTAAGGTGTTGCACTCTTTTTATCCATGTTCTTTTGACATGTGGGTTAGTAACTTTGCATATGTATGTATGTACAGTTTAAATTTTTAAGGTGGACATAAATTATTTTTAATTAAAATGCTCAACAAAACTTTGACCTAAACAATTAAACCATTTACTTTTTAAGGCATAGGCAAGGCATTAAGTGTTTTAGTGGTATAAGAAATATGTGTTATGTTGTTTTATTCTACATTAATGTATCAAAAGCCACTATTCAGAATATATGCATTTATTCCATTAATGTTTTAGTTTGGTCATCTATTAAGCTTGAAGCTGTGTTTTTGATTTAGTTAACTGAGTTAAATTCAGACAGAGAACAGGTCATATTAGCTCTTATGTTGCTCATTTGTTCAAATCTCACATGTGATGTTAGTGGTCTACAAGGGGAGGCTCCCTCGATGCTGCGAATGAAATTCAAGACGACATACAGCAAGAAGGAAAAATATACAAAAGCAACATACCAGTGTTTATCCAAGATAGGTCAGCTGAGTCATAGAGAAAAAGACAGAAAATAAGGTGATAATGAAATGAAATTCATAGAGGAAGAGAGTGGTCAGGGTTTTCTGCGCTGTCTGCTTTACCATGATATCAGTAAAACCATTGCTTAGTCCTTCCTGGATTGGTAACGTTTAGTACACACAAACACACACAATCCCAGCTAGTGTTAATGTTTGTCTCTTAAGCGATTGAGCACCAATCTTTAACCTGAAGACTGACTTGACTTTAATAAATAGAACTGTTGCAGAAATAATGTTATATATCAAACTTATGTATGTAACTGCATGTGACAGAAAAGTTTAGGGTATTTATGCTACATCGCCATTTTCAACCAAGAGTAATTGTTTTCCCAACATTTTGATTCACATTATTTACTCATTATATTTTCTTCAAAAGCATTTAAGCTCTACCAGGGTCCTCGACAACACAGTACATTTCCCCAATTTACTCTTTGCTACACAGGACAGAATGTGAACTGTGTACATAAGTTGTTTTGAACTTTGTTATAAAAAATACAATCCCTTCTCTGATTTCTGCCTCTTGCACAGCTCAGAATCTTATTATACTTACATGTGTTTCTGAATGTGCATAAAGTATGATGTATACACTATGAGGCTGTTTTAACAGGGAGTCTATTTCCAGGCAGTTTCGCACATTTGTTTTCATTGTGTGCTGAGAGCCCCATGTGTTCCTGAAAGAGACTACATTTATAATAATACTAGTAAAGCAAGTTCACAGTAAAAGGTGCAAATGCACTAGGGAAGACATTTGCTAAACGTTCTTTATGTAAAAAGCTTTTATTGAAAATTGTTCCCCATGTATAGTACCTATTTCCTTATTTATTGTAAATGGCATTTTGAACAGAAGACCAAATTGTAAAACAACAATTTTCGTGAGGAGTGCATAGCTCTTTAATTAAAAGCATGGTATGGCAAGGCAAAAGTATGCAATCAGACCCCTTTGTGAAAAAGTACATGTTTCTCGTTTTTACACAGTTTCATGAAAAAAATCTAAATATTGAGCTTGGCTTAATGTTTAAGAATTTGTTAACAGTAGTGGAAACAGTCAATGGTGATGACTGGTTATGCATAAGGATGCAACAGCACTGCCCTCAATAACACAACAGCAACAGCTACAGTATATTAGTTCAGATTATATCAGTCATAAATTATGTGCACACTCTGGAAAGAAGAATTAAATTTTAAATACATTTTTGAGAAAGCTTGGCCAAAGAAATGCATAGCTTTAGTCTTTCATTGTGGGACACACAACTGATGTCTGCTACAGAAAGTGACATAATGTGAGTCTCAACTATGTCAGGAATCCCTCTAGTCTTCCCACTCCATTGGCAAAAGCCAGGGATGTGGATAACCCTGGCTGTGTGGTTTCCTGGGAACAGTAGCAGGGGGGAGACTGCCATCTTTTGTCATTGGCACACTTTGCTTGATTGCTGGTGAAATCCTCCTCTGATTCATCAAGGCTTTTGTCAGAGAGCGATCTAATTCAAAAGCCTCATCTGTTGGCCGTCCACGGAGAATATGTCTGATAGCAGGGAGGGATAACTCTGACCTACAGTCCAGGTAGCTCTTCAGGTTGAGCTCAGGGAAAACTTCATCTCTGAGAGCCTGAACGAGCTTGTTCTCAGTGTGGGATAGTTTGAGCTGTTGGAAAACTCTCTGCTCAAGTGAGCTGTAGCACAGTGCGTCTTCAGCCAGCCCTAACTTTCCCACAGAGCGGTCGGTCTGGCTCTTCTTCCACGAGGATGGATACAGCGTTTGTTGTTTGGATTTGGCCAGAGTCTCACTCTGCTGGTCCTTGAGGTCTTTCTTCTTGCCGGCATGGAGCGTCTCTGAACCACTTGGAAGGAGCTGAGAGAGCCCTTCATCAGCCAGGTCTGCTAGGTCGCCAACCAGCAGCTGCTGAATGATTCGCTTCCTCCTGAGCGGAGATGTGACTGTAAGAGTACCGTGCAGTCCTCTGCCTGCATCAGACACACAGCCAATCACAGCTTGTTAAACATCCCAGCCCGTGGAATATTCCTTGGAACGAGTATGGGCCTTCACGCCCAGCATGCAACAGCATTGCCTGTAGTGATACACTAAAAGCACAAGCCATCACCTGCTAAATGCCACCCATGAAGCTAATAGCAGAAGATTCCACGCTGTCACATGTCAAAATACATGTGCAATTAGAAAAGCATAGCTCTGAGAGTGAAGCTCTGAAAATGAGGAAAACATGCACATACATACCACACTATGCAGACCTAAATAACATACAGTGCGGTAAACCAGCCAACCACATGAAAGTAAACCTTTAAAGACAAATTTAACGGCTGCAGACTGTGTCAGTATGTCAGAGGGATGGTTAATTTGTTAAAAGATGGCCTACATTCCAACAAGCTCATCAAAGTCAATCAACTTTAAAGATGATTAAGAAAGACGTCAATGTGAAAGCTCAACCACAAGCAGATGATACCACACAAGTGTGACAGCCCTGCACCTTGCAGAAGAAGACAATGCCCATACATCTTTCAAACCTGTTCTTTGGACATTTTTAAAGCAGCGCTGTGGCCATTTCATTTATGTGACCCTTGCACTCCAACAATAAAACAAGCTCATTTGAAGACCATACTTACCCTCGTTAAAAGATACCAGCACGACTCTGCTGTCGGCGAGCTGTGGTTTCCTGTAGTTGCCATTTAGAGGCACAGGGTCTGAGTCCTGGGCACGGGAGGAGTAGAGGGCTGTGGCCAGCGCGAGAAACTAAGAAGACACAACAAAACAAAGCATGTTAGGCACAAAAAGTTCCACACCAATTAAGGTTAAATGTAAGCGACTGAACATATTAAAATATCTGAAAATCAATTTAACATCTGTTTAACATTGGCTTATTTATTCGAATATCAAATCTGCGGAAGAACTGAACGCTGACGGAGCACCTGTTTTCGAGATATTGTTACATGATTCCTGAACAATGTCCACAGGACACTGGGATAGCACGGCGGAGTCGTCAGTGACCCGTCATAGCGATAATACTCATCTAAACGTGCAGGCAGCAGTGGTCTGATGTTGAAACCGGGCACCTGCACTCTCTGATCTGTCAGTTTAAATAAAAACAGAAGTTACTAGTAACTGTTGTAACACATTCTGAACCCAGAAAAAATTAACCAAAGCTCTTATTGCCACACTTTATGTGTTAAGTGACTGTATTACACCAAGTAGCTGATATTGATAACTACTCATACTCGTAACTTATAGTCAGAAAATCATAATGTTAGACTCACCCCTGTATTTGATGCCATTGATGAACTTCAGAAATTGTTCAAAGGCTGGATTGAACTCTCCAACCTGTGTGACAAACATAGTTAGATGTTTCTGCTGCACCACAGACATCCACACATCACTGCCCCACCCACCTCACCTCAATCAGGACACCCAGCACGGCCAGTCCATCAGATTTGTCTATAGCCACTGACATATTGGGATACTTGTCCGAATTGAAGTGTACTACATGCATCTGTGAGAGAAAATAGAAATTACTTGTTGAAGAAATCTTCTTAATGGAAGATTGTTAAGACAACAAGAAGCACATGTAGAAGGAAGATGTGAAAAATTGACATTATATAAGACTCAACATTGTGATATTGGAACAAAGCTACACATCAATCTATCAACAGGACTGCATAATAACAGAAAAAATGCAAATGAAACATTTTTGTTAACTTGTAACAATTTTTATTTAACATTGTAAATATCTTGTCAATAAAGATTTAAGGGGATTTCTTTTGTCAAAACCTTATTTTGAAATAGAATCAAATGTCTTACTACATTTTTGTTGTGTAGACAGCATGCAGTGTAGTTTCAGAAAGCATGCAAAACAGATTACATGTTTATACCATCTCGCCTATTTAGATTTCTTTTAGGTTTTCTTTTTTCAAAGTAGATTTGCAGTAAAGTGTTGTGACTAATTATAGCACTTGTTCCATGCACGGTATCGATGTTGATTGGATTGAAAATAGCTGGTGGATGTAATTTTGGTGACAAAAGCACAAGAAAACACTGAAGATGTCTTACAGTATGGTGGTTTATTTTTGCACATAAATAAATACCAAACTGTCTGCTGTTTTGCTGATGGTGCAACACAAAGGCATGTTGGTCATTCTGGCCAAATATGACGAAATTGCACTATATTTCTGGGAAATTTTCAATTTCCCATCATTCCTTCACTCCGTAACAACATGTCATCAAGGAAATGTGGTTCTGGAGTCTGGAGTGACTTGAAAAGATGCATGTTCTCAACGTGTCCACTCAGAAAGTCAGGTCAAACCACAGCACCGTGGCTGTGCTGCAGCTGGGGCACAGTCACATAAACGCACAGGTTGTGACCATTACAGCTTCTACCCACTATAATTCAAATGATAACAAATTCTCCTATTTTTGTTTATATCTTAAACTTTACTGTCTGCTTTACTTCAAGTGCCACAGTAAATAGTGCAAACTACTGTGTGAAAACTGCTTACAGTGTTTGACGTGTTATATAGCCCAGACAAGCACTCCTTTCCAGAGGTGGTTGAAAACCAAAGCATATAATAGTCTGGTACTCTAATCCCCCTAAGCCCTGCAGAAATAAGACACGCTGTCATACTGTACATACTGTACATACTGAGGTTGACTGAATTTTGTATTTTAGTAGTGCAACTATTGTCATAAAATATTCAAAATTTATAGAAAAAGGGATGATTTATTTTGAAAAAACATCTATGACCTTAATTAACTGTCCTCTCTTTATAATCTCAGCTGTCGAGACTCACAACTTGTTTACTGTTAAAAACATCTAAATCTCTTTAATGTGTTTTATACAAGTATTTCATTGTACTTTACAGTCACTTACACAATGAAAGTGGAAAACGCCCAATAAGCTTTTCTTAAACTGGCTGACTGACAAGTAGAAGTCAACTGCATGTCTGCCACAGTGTCAAGAAGCTGGAATAGTAATATGCAGATGCTGAGCTTTTGAGTGTTTCTTCAGCTTGAGCAGCTTCTACAAGCCTTGGAGGAAGTCAGTGGCTCTGATTCCTCTGCCAGTCAAATGTCACATGTTTAAGTCATAAAGTATTAAATCATCTGTCTGGTGCTAGAGATGCTGTCGCCTGATGCTGCAGATGAGTGGCATACTTATTTAAATAAATAGACTGAGCTAACTTCGCTGATAACTAACCATTCATTGCCCTTTTACTGAAATCCTGAGATATTTTACTCAAAAGTAGCAATACCACAGTATAATAATACTCCATTATAAGTAAAAGTCCTGCATTCAAAATGTACTTATGTGAAATTACAGCAAGTAAAGTGTTATTATCAAAACATACATTAAGTATTAAAAGTAATACTCTACAAAATACCATTATTCAGAAAGATATTACTTATTCATTAACTTGTAAGCAGCATTTTAATCTTGTGAAGAGCTGATTCTAACTGACTTTATACACTGTTTTGAGCTGTATTCTATAACAATGCATCGTATTGTTTTACATGTAAAATCTTAATCTGCAATGTAGCTATTAAATATCTCCTCCACTAAAACATTTGTTATATGTACAATGTTATGTACGTCATAACACTCTGACAATGTGAACGCACTGTAACATCATAGCAGGTCTTATTGTATGTTTCACAACCACTAAGGCTGTGTTAACCACTGTTTGTTACAAGCAAACAAACAACATTAACAAATTAAAGATGCTAACTACCCTTGGGGGTACTTTGACACGGGTTTCCCCAGGTCATGATGGGGTCAACTGCTAAGCTTAAGTAAGCCAAAGTTGAAAGTGTTGCATGTGGCTTTAATGACAGACAACGTGTCCTGATTTGAACCAATAGAGTCTTCACACATAAAGCGATGCACTATAACTGTATTTGGACACTTGGTGAATCTTTGTAGATATAGGAACAATAAATATCCCCAGAAAGGAAGTTTTCTTCAGATTTGGTGTTAGCATGCCATGTCAACCGAGTCTCAATAAACCACAAACTAACATTTTTGTTACTTTCTGAAGTTTCTTCATCACCCCTGAGCTCACAGTATTTTCACAACAGTGATACATGTGCTAGTTGCCAAATTTTGATGCACAACAGACTCCTCATTTGAGTCTAACGCTAGCCATCTTGATGGACACTGCTATTTCACTGGTCAACAGCAGTGGGTGAGGAATTTCCAGGAAAAAAAGAATAGGTGTACTTTTTTTACTTTTTATGTGGGAAAATCATTTGAAACTAAATAATAATCATAGCACACTTTAAAATGTGTCTGGAGGGGAACATGACTATAAATGTCTGATAATATACTCAAGCAAATTACATGTACAGTACTAGAGTATACGCATTTAGTTACTTTCGACCACCATCTTTTACATCAATTGTAAGTGGTGCTTTGTTTACCTCTGCTGCATACTGCTTACTGTTCACCATGTGTTCGGAGCCTGCAGGTCTGCTGGAGGAGCCCCAGTGGAAATGTAGTTGAGCTGCAGTGTAACGATGGGGCAGGCTAGAGATGTACATCTTAGAGGGCAGTGATATTTGTACTGTGGATCAAGAGACATGAAACCCCCGCCACACATAAAAGAGCAGGGTAGGGGTTAATTCAGTAAACATGAGGGGATCAAGAAACATCAACTTTAACTTTATCTAAACTGAGGAAGTCAGCGTCACTTGCTCTGTGTGTGCTTTCCTTTTGCAAAAAGCTGTGTAGCTACGTTTAAGACACTTCATGGTGGAGTGACGCAGGGTGCTTTTCACATGTCTGTCAGTGCATGACGAATGTTTACAAGTGAAAAATCTCTGTCAGCTTATTTCAGATGCACATCACGCTGATGATGTGATGCCACTCAGCTTGTGGCATTGCGACCCATCAGGCATGCACATAAGCATTTGTCTGGTCTTTGCATTCTGTCAGTGGCTTACAGTTTACTTACGTTGTTATTACAGCAACACAGGGCAGACATGACATGCATGTTCAGCTATAGCCTACAGTGTTTCTCTGACATTTCACATATATAGCCATTTCCACATCAAGCTTAAAGTAAACATGCAAGAAACATACCAATACAACCAATTCTGCAGCATACTGTTTAGTTTTCTCTGACTAAAACAGCTTCTTAGCTTTAAAAAAGGCAGAATCATTCAACGTTCAACTCTATACTTTTGTGGAATGAGCATATTCAACCACCTAAGTCAGTAGCACATGGGCATGGTTGTTCATGTTCTGACTGCTATGTTTTACCGGTTAAATTTAAGACTGTGTTGTAAATTGACATCAGACATTCAACTGAAGCTGGTTTCTTTTGTTAAGATGCATCAGAGCCGGTAGAGGCAGAGCAGATGACTTATCTCTGCTCATATTTTCCCAGACTAAACGTGGAGCTCTTTCTTTTGGTGAAAGGACAGCCAAGATAATAAGAGAGTGATTATGGAAAATTACTGTGGCAGATGTAGACAGATCCACTTATAATTTTCTTTAGGTTGCCACAGAAATTAGGTTAGTACCACAAGAACAGACTCCTCCACGTTTATGTGGAACCATTTCTAATGAATACGTTCACTACTGAATCACTTTGATTTGAAGAATTTCTAGATTTAGACTAACTAAATCTAGTTTGCACTTTATCTGTTCCAGGACATTTACTTAGATTTAGATTTGCTTGCTACATGGTTTTGTTGACTGTGATGAAATTAGTTTCAAATACACATTAAATGGTATGTTCTGTACCTCTGTGTATTTGTCAACTACACTGATGATTTATACTCACCAGAATGTCCATTATTTCCAAGAGTAAGCTGCTCGTTGGGCGACAGGTTGTAGTTTTGAACCTCAATTGGACGTAAAGTTGGGTCGAACCTTAGCAGCTCTGACTTCATGTCTATAGGAGACTGGAAAGCTCCACCACAATATGGATAACGTTTGGACCAGTGGTGCTCTCCCTCTGGCCCTGCAACACCATCAGTGTATATTATTACCAATGAAAACCCTTTGGGAGATATCTGCACCTTATTGTAGTCCAAATAAATTTTTTTGCTTTTTTAATATGCTTTGCAGTGGTAATACATATATTCTCAGTCATCCAAAAAGTGTATTTCACCTCAGAACACGATATATTGCATGTCTTTTCAAATGTTAAACTGTTCCATTTTGAAAGGGCAAATGAGCAAAGCATGTCCCAGTGTGGAACAGAATAGAGGATGGCTCCAAAGATGGCCAGGGCTTGTCCATTTTATCTGTAATCAAAGTGAAGTCTTATTATCAATGCACAAGGCGGCATGGGAGAGGCCTGTGGCTTCACTCTTGGCCCTTCTTAAGCAGCATGAGTGAGAACCAGGCTGTTGTTTGCGGGGAGAGCCAGTGAGAATGCTGTCTCTCTCCAAATGAGAGGTTTCTATAAAGCACAAGACACCAAAAATGGCCACATTTGCAGATGAAGTCATGCAGTTTATAATGTGAACTCAGCTGCATGGGGGTGTCTTTCAATAGCGTGTCTGCAGAGGCAATGAGGCACACCGGCCTTAGAAATAACACAAGCGAGAGAAATGCTAATGAGAAATTTATGCAAAAGAAAAGAAAATCAGGAAACTCTTGATTTCTGATAGTTTTATTCAGTGCATTGACTGAAGGATCCATATAGAGCTTTTCAAACATGATGCTCAGTATAAGGTAAATGAACCCTAACAAATTTTAAATGACATACTTGCTACATACTGACAGTATAACAGAATAAAAAACGACATGAAGGGCCCTGAATGTACCAGTCCTCTCATCACTACTGCACGCACTAATTCATTCATTCTGCTGTCCAGAATCCATTTAAAAATCCACCATTCACCATCTGCCAGATGACTGTGGCTAAATATAAATGATGCAGCGTGAAGCCTGCCATCCACCCCGACTGTCAGTCCCCAATCAAATGTAGATTGATGGTACAAGACATGTCAAAAGGCATCCAGTAAAGATGTGAAATCACTGAATACTTGATTGAAGAAAAACTCAAAGTTCAATCAAGGCAAACCCTCCTCATAATAAAAAAGAAAGTTACTCTAATGGCTTTAATTATTCAGTGTCCATTTGTTGTTTTAATTAGACCCAGTCTGACCTTTAATAATGATTTGATGGCCCCTCAGCGGTCCTTGGTGGAACATACATGGCTGTGGGTAATTTCTAAAAGTAACAGGCCTTTCATAATTAAGAGAAATGTGTAAAATTTTCAACATAACATCAATGGTCAAACAAATAGTGTAGAAGAAAAATAGTAGAGCAGGGTGAAAAACTGTCATCATCACCATTATTTATTTGACTACCATGTTAAGGTTCACTGTTTTGTGAACCCTCTGCCAGAGGGTGGAGTGCTGAGGTGTAGATGAATCGTATGACTCAGCTGAGCCCCTGTCAACAGAAAATGTTACCAGCCCTCCAGACTTCTGACTACTGTGACAATGCCTCTTGAGAGTTTGACTGTAACTGAGGATGAATTCCACCACACTGCACTTCTGAAGAGGCCAGTTTTTTTGGTTGTTGGGGTTTTTTGTTGTTGTTGTATTTTTTTTCTTTTTTCTTTTTTTTTACATCTTTCTTTAGTGCTCATCCCATTTCACTTTAACTCCTACTTAATTTGCTATCATTATAGCACAGGTTTCTGATTGTTTACAACACATGGTGAATCATCATTTATTCTGCCACATTGCAAGGTATTTCCTTGTACATATCGTACATTACAAATGATCCCAATCTAATTTTCCTTTGTTTGTTTAGGTGAAATTTCCAAATTTCCACACAAACAGCTGTTTGAACAGAATCAAAGGGCCATTTGCTCCCCTTAATGCAAAGTCAATGCTGTAATTAAAAACACAGTGTATCAGCCTCTCTCAGAGGTCAAAATTAAGCAAGTATAATTTCCTCTAATTATAACTATTTGACCATAAATAACAAAGAAGTAGCTGCATTCTTAGTAGTAGCTCAGTCCCTAAGGATTAGGCTGGGAACAGGAGGGTTGCTGGTTCAAATCCAGCTTGGACCAGAATTGCTGAGTCTGGACTGGTAGCTGGAGGTGCCAGTTCACCTCCTGGGCACTGCCGAAGGTGGCCTTGAGCAAGCCCCTGAACCCCTAACTGCTCTGGCTGCCGTGCACAGTTGACGTCTCTCTGTGTGTTACTGTGTGTGTGTTTCAAACCTGTGTATTTAATAAAACAGTGAAAACATTGAATTTCGCCTTGTGGGATTATCTTCTTAAAAAAATACTTTACACTAAATTCCTTTACCTGCCTACTTGCAAGAGACAGAAGCAGTAGCACAATGACAAGAGATCATGCTCTAAACACAGTTTATGTGAGATAGTCATAGTTCAAGAAATCAGAATCAAAAATCAAGTTTCAGTCAGTTATTGCCTATCAGAGAGTTGCATCAAATTGAATTCCAACACTGAATTGGTTAACACTGGTTTAAGGGTAGCAATTCACACTACTGTAAGTGATCAAGACATACAAGTGTTCATGGACTGGAAATCTATCAAAAGAGAAAATTGGATGTAAAAAATATATAACTACCCCTTTTATGATGTACCACTGACAAAGACATCAGACTTACCATTGTATGTCCATTTGGCACCTGAAACAGACAGAAAAGATAATGTCCCACTGTACATTAAAATATTTCATAATAATCTGGCATATAATTCCACTCATTTTATAAGTGAAAAAACAAAAAACAAAATTATTTGGAACAGACTCTCAAAGTATTAATGTCAGAGATAAGAGGCATCACTTTGTGTCACCCTTGTTCCTCAGACAGAGTATGTGCAGGTGGATGGAGACACCTGCCTTGAAGAATCCTTTCTTCTTCTACTCCAGACCTGCAAGAGCTAAATGACCTAAATAAACCTCCTGCGGTATAGAACACCTGTTCTCCTTCTTTCTACTTGTGCATCCCAAGTAGTTACATTAGGCCTACTTAACGCTACTTTTTGTGCTCATCAAAGACCTTACCGTGCAGCTCAGTCTGTAAAGTCATCTGCAGTAGAAGGATGAGAGTAAAGCTTAGAAAGTGCATCTTGATCCCCTCAGCCCTCCCGCGTGTGGTATCCTGATGTTAACCCGGATCAGTCCAGGAGCTTGGTGCATCAGAGCGCCAGCCTTCAAACCGGCTTTTATACCCACGTTGTCGGCTTCATTATAGCTCGCACTGACGTCAAAGCAACGACAAAACCAGCCTCTAGAGTCAGCCGGTCAACGGAGATTGACAGCTCAACAGTGGCGACCGCACCCAAGCGAAGTCACTCATTTACGGCTGGAGTTGACGGCGGACGAAAGATGCGGGCATGCACTCGCGCCGGTGTTACATGGAAATCTGCGACCCTTTAGATTATGTTACGCTAGAGGTTCAAAAGAGAGATGGGTTGACCAAACATTGACAGGTGAGGTGTGAGGGCTCTTCAAGACAGACCTGCACATTAACCTGTGCTGCCACTGTCAACGTTTGTCAACCTATGGAAAAACTATGGGGTCATCATTTAATATAAAAGTGTGGCTGTAAATATAAAACATGACATTCATAAAGTACACCCAGAGGCTCTGACAAGAGTGGCAACACTGTAAAATGCATGTCAAATGGGATTTTACCTGTTTAATAGCTCTAGTGCCCATGGTATCAAGAAGTTACAAGGCAAAGTTAACATTATGGGGCGAAGAAATAACAATAATAGCCTACATTAAAAAGAATGCCTCAACATTGTACACCACACAGGCCCAGGGTTCATTGTGCATACAGTATAATAATGATATGTACAGAGGTTGACACTACAAAACTGGTTTCATGTTCATTAGCTGAAGGGGGAAAGTTTCTGTGTGCTCACCTTTAATCACAATTGAAGATGTGTACTATCTATCTTACTATACTTCATACTCTTTGAAGACATAATTACAAATCGTTAATGAAAAATCCTTCTAATTATTTTTTTTCTTTTTACCTTGGCTCTCCACAATGATTTTCACACACTAAAGGTGTGAAGAATGGAAAGCTGAGTGAAAAGAGTGTTTCAGCCAAAATTACAAAATGAGAGTTCAAATCCCGCTCTTAGAGTAACCACCTGAGGTAACTCAAACAGGGGGATTTGAACTTACTAAAACTGCATGCTTTGTGTATCTAAGTTTTGACGCATAAGGTGTCCACATGGTCCATGAAAGTGCAAAAATAACTACAGTCTAACTGTTTGTCAATAGGGTGACCTAATCACCAGTCTACTTGTGTATGTTGCTTCTGTCTAGCAGGTAACAGGAGCCTGAATGTCCCCTGAATGAGGCTCGGGAAACTCTTCTCTTGGGAGCATTAAATATACACCCACTACACAAATAGGTGTTTCAAACACAACACCAAACACCAGCAACATCTTCACATGCTATTGCATATTATATTGATAGGCCTGTGGAGCTGGTTATATCTGGTTTTGCCCTAATGTAAAAAAAAAAAAGGCAACCAAAGGTAATAAAAAGAGGAAGATGTCTATCTCTGGCGTTAACTTTTGTTCTGATCGAAAATGTCACCATTGGAGACATGTCGGCCCAAAGGTTGGTAATGACAACCCACTCCCATTGTAGTTTACAACCCTCCTTCACTCCAGGAAAGTCAGCAGCACAAAGACAAGAAGCAAGTGCAGCGCCTGTTGTTTTTGGGTATTGCTTTTGCTGCTTTCCACATTAACAATTTGAATACTCCAGGTACTTCGAAGTGTTTTCTTCTTCAATTTCAGTTAAATTAAAATTGTAGGATCAGTTTATTAACCTGAGGTTTACTTTTCAGGTGATTGGCACTTGGGCTCATCTTCAGTAAAAAATGTGGGTGGACCTTGTGAATTGCTGCTGTGAATTGCTGCTTTTTCAAAAACATAATTGCAAAAACATTGTGTTTTACATGTTTTATATGGTTGTCAATGTTTTTGATTTATAATGTTTTGGTTTCACTGACATTGAATCAAGAGGATAAAGCTTCACCTGTAGTCCTTTCAGAGCAACATAGCAGGGGAAATCAGCAATCGTATAAAGTATAAGATTTGGGTGGTGAAATAAATTATTCAGCTCAATCAGAAATCAGTAGACTTCAATTCATAATACAAGTCTTGACTGCATTTCTCAGTAGGATATTTTATCTTTTTACTGACTTAATGTTCATGTTGTAACTTGCAACTGAAGCCAGCAATGATTGTCTTTAGCTGTGACTAGAAAAAGAAAAGATGGTATTTACTGTACATTTTTTTCTCCTGGAAATGTTATTTACACACTGCTAACGATTGTGCTAAGCTGACTGGACATTTTGTTCCTCTGTAATTCCAAACTTTTAAACACTGAGATCATTTCTGTCTGAGCCTGCATGAGCATGATGAACTGAAACTGTGCAAATGATTAAAGAGGGCCGACATTTTGAGCATCCAGGAACAGCCAGTGCGTTAGTCAGTTTCCTTACAAAATCAAGTGCATTTTGGGTGAAAATGCTCGTAAAAGAACCGGTAAAAACACTTACCTATGTGCTGAAGAAATATTGTAAATCAGCTGTCAGGTGCAAGGAAGAAGGTTTTCAAAGACTGATGAAGTTTTACGGAACAAAGCTTAATGAGCCTTGGCCAAGGAGAAACAGTGTCAGCATCCACCGTGTGAACATAAGCAATGCCAACACCAAATCTAAAGGATAACATCTTTTGGTCCCTTTTAGGTTTCTGTCTTTCCCCTAGTGTCTGTAGGTTTCCTCCTTAGGTCATCTTTAGTGGGCCTTAACCTAGAAAAAAATATATATATCTGATATTTAGACTCCAGTGCTACATCACATTTGAATCTATTACGATCCATGAGTTGCACTCTAATCTGTGGAACGAGTAAGTTCTTGTAAATATTTTTTATAAGACTCAACCTTGTAAGATTCCTATAGAGAACACTGATATCTGCTAGCCTGACACCTGCGCTATGGTCTCTCCCTAATCAGTCTAATTTTCATCTCCCTAACAAGGACAGTTCATGAGGGGAATAACTAGAGCTGGAAGGTCAATAAACACTTTTGGGGTCAGCTAATGACTCCAAGCTGGACCTGTCTTACCTTTCCCTGTTACATCATGATGAAGGTGAGGGCTTAAGCTTTAACTTTGCTCTGTATTACGACGCCAACAAAGATCAGTGCAATCTTTTCATATACAAAGGCCAAGAAGGAAATGCCAAACGGTTTGAAAATGAAAAGCAGTGCATAAGAAACTGTTTAGCCAACACAGAGAATGTCTACCCCATGGATGGTAAGATGATTTCATACAAGCCTCCTCAATCACAACTGACACAGACAGAGCGGGGCCTTCTTGAGATCTGCCTCAAGCTGCCTGATGTTTGGCGGGGATCCCTGCATCACATCTAAAGAGGAGCATGTTCATTATATGACAGCAAAATCTAAATGTTATTAATGCCAATGCTGTTTTGTGTGTCAGCTTAAGAGACTCAAATAACGGTGAGCTTGACTTCTTCATACTTTTTTTCACGAGTAATAACTTAATTTCTTCAGAGGCTGCAGGAAATATATGTGTCAGCATTGCGTATGAGCAATACACCACCAAGTGGTGAAAGAGCAGGATGACTCATGCCAAAGTGTGAATGAATACAGCTGTGGCTTTTACAAACTGCTTGATTAAGTTGAAGGCTGTATCATTAGCTGAGCAGGTCATCCTTAATTATATTTACATTTTTATATTAGTATTATTAATAAACCGCTGCTATGACTGCTTACCACTTTAAAAAGCCTCTAGGTGAATGTAGTGGAAAGTTTATACGATACTACTACGATTCTGTTTACCACAAATGCAAAGAATTCATTTGGTCTGGATGCATCGGAAACGGAAATTTGTGAGCTCAAATCTCTCTCTTATGTACACACTTCCTGATAATTACATAAGCTTATGTTGAAATATAAATTGGCTATATGAATGCATTTGTTAAAACCAGGGAGTCAGGAACAAATGAAAAATTGTAATTGTTTTGATTGTAAGATGATCACGTAAAGAGAAGGGGGAGGAGCCAGATCATTATTAAATATGAATGATGCAGCATGAAGACTGCCCCCACCTTACCCTGACTGTCAGTTCCCAGTCTTATGTAGAAAATATCCTTCAAAACATCCCAAAAGGCAACTAGTGAAGATGTGAAATCACTTAATAGTCTACTTGTTTAAAGCAAAACTCAAAGTTCAATCAAGGCAAACCTCATCTCTCTAATAAAGGCAGAAATCTCTCTCTCTTCTCTCTTTCTCTCTGTGTGTATGTGTGTGTGTTTGATTTTTGATTATGTTGAGAACTGTTCATCCAGTCAACCTCATATGTGGCGGCTGTGTTTAAGACTGATTTTTTGCTTGATGAGGCATAAGGCACACATTTTGAACAAGCCCTGCACTGCACTATATAAGCGCAGGGAGGCATCACATGGGCCCCTGTGAACGGGCACTAGTAATAAAAAAAGAAAGTTACTGTTATGGCTATAATTAGTCAGTGTCCTTTTTTTGTTTTAATTAGACTCAGTCTGCCCTTTAATAATGGTCTTCAGTGGACTTTGGTGGCCCCTTGGCAGTCATTGGTGGAACATATATGACTGTGGGTAATTTTTAAAAGTAAGGGGCCTTTCCTATATTTTTAAATGAATGTGTAAACCTTTTAACATAACATAAATGGTGTAAAAAATAGAGTAGAAAAAATTGTAAGCAGCATGTAAAATTACAACAGTCATCAACATTTCACTCCCAGTTAATTTGCTATCATTAACATAGCAGGTTTCTCATTGTTTACAACACAATGTGATTTATTTTGCCACATTGTTGAGGTATTCTCTTTACTGACTGACATATAAATTAAAAATGATCACAATAATTCTCCATTTTTTGTTTATGTGCTGTTTCAAATTTCCAAATTTCCATGTGAACAGCTGTTTGAACAGAATCCATTAGGGGCCATTTGCTCCCATTAATGCCAAGCCAATGCAATAATTAAAAACAGAGTGGATCAGCCTCTTTCACAGGTCAGAATTACGCAAGTATAATTTCCTCTAACTATAATTATTTGACCAGAAATGTCAAGCTATTTTCTTATTTATCCCAGATATGCTTGAGAGAAAGAATTTGCAAACTAATTGAATTAGTTAAGAAAAATTACATTACACTAAATTCCTTCACATGCCTACTTATTGTTATTTGGTCCCTAAATGCAACAGACAGAAGAAGCAGTGACAAGAGGTCATGCTCTGAGTAGGATACAGCTTATGCAAGAGATAGTCGTGATTCAGGAAGTCAGTTTTCAGAATCAAAAATCAAGTTTCAGTCAGTTATTGCCTATCAGAGAGTTGCATCAAATTGAATTTCTACTCTGAATTGGGTAATTCTGGTTTAAGGGTAGCCATTCATACCACTCTAAGTGATCAAGACATACATGGACTAGGACTGCAAATCTATCAAACGAGAATGGATGTAAAAAATATATAACTACCCCTTTTATGATGTACCATTGACATAGACATCAGACTTACCATTGTATGTCCATTTGACACCTGAAACAGACAAAAAATAAGTTTGTCCAACTGTATTTTAAATTATTATATATTATATTATAATAATCTGGAATATAATTCTCATTTTATAAATAAAAGAAAAACAAAAGTATTTTGAACGGACATTCAAAGTATTAATGTCAGAGACAAGTGGTATCATTTCATTTCACCCTCGTGCAGAGAGCATATGCAGGTTGACGGAGACACCTGCACATGAACAGTCTTTTGTACTTCACCCACTGCACAAATAGCTGTTTCAAACATAACACCCAACAATAGAAATATTTTCACACACTATTGCATATATAAGCATTGGTTATATCTGGTTATGCCCTAATGTGAAAAAATGGTAACCTATAATAAAAGTAATAAAAAGAGAAAGAAGTCTATCCCTGCCGTTAACTTTTGTTTCGATTGAAGGTGTCACCATTGGATAAATGTCGGTCCAAAGGTTGGTAATGACAACCCACTCCCTGTAGTTTACAACCCTCCTTCACTCCAGTAAAGACATCACAACGACAAGAAGCAAAATGAAGCGCCTGTTGTTTTTGGGTATTGCTTTTGCTGCTTTCCACATCAGCTATTCGAAAACTCCAGGTACTTCACACTGTTTACTTCTCCAATTTCAGTTAATTTAAAATTGTAAGATCACTTAATTAACCTGAGGTTTAATTTCAGAATAGGCCAGGCTATTAGCATTTGCGCTTTAGTGAAAAATGTGTGTGGACCTTGTGAATTGCTGCTTTTTTAAAAAGATAATTGCAAAAACACTGTGTTTTAAATGTATTGTATGGTTGTCAATAATTTTCATTTAAATGCATGTTTTGGTTTTACTGACACGGAATCAAAGAGATAAAGGTTCATCTTTAGTCCTTTCAGAGCAACATGGCAGGGGACTAAATCTGTAAGCTGAATCATATAAAGTATAAGAGTGATGCCAGTATATTTTTGTGTGTTAAGGGGTGAAATAAATCATTCAGCTCAATCACAAATCAGTAGACTTGATGGAAAAAACTTCAGTTCACCATTCAAGTGGACTGCATTTCTCAGTAGGATATTTTACCTTTTTTATTAACTTACTTAATTACTTACTTGTTGTAACTTGCAATGGAAGCCAACAATGATTGTCTTTAACTGTGACTAGAAAAAGAAAAGATGGTATTTACTGTGCATTTATTCTCCTGGAAATGTTATTTACACACTGCTGATGATTGTGCTAAGCTGACTGAACATTTCCTTCCTCTGTAATTCCAAACTTTTCAACACTGAGATCATTTCTGTCTGAGCCTGAGCACGATGAACTGAAACTGTGCAAATGATTAAAGGGTGCCTACATCTTGTGCATCCAGGAACAGTGAGTTAGTTTCCGTCCAAAATCAAGTGCATTTTGGGTGAAAATGTTGGTCTTAAAAGAACCGATTTAAAACCACTTCCCTCTGAAATCTATGAAGGGCGGGAAGACTTCAGTGTACCATAAATGACACTCTTTATTGTTGTCATAAAAAGAGGGAGTGGGTCTCTGGTGATGAGGTTAGTTAAACATTAGTTATGTGATATCTGCTGATGATTTCTACTGAACCGCCCATCGTACAGTTACTGTACAATGGCAGTCTCACCAGCTTACAGTACTTCTGATACTGTTTATACACTTTTTAAAAAGATTTTGCAAATAAAACTTATCTAACAGTTTATATTTATCATTCTACAGCTTTCTGCCAACTGCGCCATGATGAAGGTGAAGGCTTAAGCTTTAACTTTGCTCTGTATTACGATGCCAGCAAAGATCAGTGCAATCCTTTCATATACAAAGGCCAAGGAGGAAATGCCAATCGCTTTGAAAGTGAAAAGCAGTGCATGAGAAACTGTTCAGCCAACGCAGAGAAAGTCTACCCCATGGATGGTAAGATGATTTCACTAACAGTGAAAGAATATTGATGTAAGGATTCAACTCCTTCATTACTTTAAATATGCAAAATGTCTAATGCCACTTCAAAGACCGCCTAAAAGTAGATGAATCAGAAAACAAACTGTCATTCATCCTGGCTGTTTTTGGAGGACTTTGGAACATGAACTGGCTACTGAGGTAGAGTTTTATGGCTTGCAGGACCATGAAAAAAACACCACATTATTGTCAAGTCTCCTGGATCACAACTGACAGAATCTGCCTCAAGCTGCCTGATTTTTGGCAGGTGCATCACATCTGAAGAGGAGCATGTTCATTATATGACAGCAAAATCTACATGTTATCAATGCCAGTGCTTGTTTTTTCACAAGTAATTTCTTATTTCTTCAGAGGCAGCAGGAAATATATGTGTCAGCATTGCATATTAGCAATAGCCACCAAGTTGTGAAAGAGCAGGATGACTCATGTCTGATAAAGTGTGAATTATTACATCTGTGGCTTTTACAAACTGCTTGATGAAATTGTTATCTTCTTAGGCCCTATCTACACTACTAAGTTTTAGTTTAAAAATGGAGAATTAAAACAAATATGATCTCTGTCCACACCAGCGTTTTAGTACCAGTTGATCTGAGTGTATTCTAAAACAAGTGTTAACTGCACAGTAAAAAATATTTTAATCAAAATACCCTGTCAAAAATTCTGTTAATAGCATCGTGTTTCTACTTTGCATGGCTTATAAGACCAAATCCTTTTATGCCCGTCTTCACTAAAACACTCTCCGAAATTTCAAAACGAAGAACGGGGATGGCAACGTTTTCAAACTTCTCTGTTTTAGTTCTTCGTATTCCCCATTTTAGTCTGGAGGGGAGGTGAAAATGTAGCAAAAACTCTCTGTTTTAAAACGAAAACAGTAGTGTGGATGGGGCCTTAAATAATGTGCTGTATCAATAGCTGAGCAGTTTATACATAATTATATTGGTAATTTTGTATATTTGTATTAGTAATAAACCGCTGCTATGACTGCTTAATGATGATGATGATGTTGATAATGAGGGTGGTGTTTTTTTCTTCACAGCCTCTCTAGCTTGCCACTTTAAAAAGGCCACAGGTGAATGTAGTGGAAAGTTTTTGAGATACTACTACGATTCTGTTCACCACAAATGCAAAAAATTCCTTTGGTCTGGATGCATCGGAAACGGAAACAGATTTTACGACTATTTCAGCTGCAACTCCACCTGTACTGGAATCCACGGTGAGCTCAAATACGCGCACAGTTGCTGATAATTATGTTAAAATATCAATATGTCCACGCATTTATTAAAACCAGGGAGCCAGGAATTAATTAAAAATATGCTTTTATGTGTGTGTCTAACATGTTGGTGTTTATTGTTTTGGTTGTTAGATGATCGTGATGAAGAGGAGGAGGAGGAGCCAGACACTCCTATTGGTCTGTAGACACACAGTGAAATTCATTATTTAACAGAAAGTCATGACAAAAAACACATCCTCTTAATTTACAATATACTATTTTAAAGTGACAATGTTTTCATTTTATTATTTGGTTGCAGCTATCTAAATATTGTTATATAGGCTACTTTGTTTGAATTGTAGTATTTATTTACATGAATCCCACTCATCTGTTACACTGTTGTCCTCTTTAACAGCAATCATCTGTGGAGTTTTGCTTGCTGTCATTATTGTCGCCATCATCATCACTGTAATTGTCTTGACCGTGAATTCAAAGTACGTTTTTTGAATTTGTCTTTGTGTTTAGTGTCACATAAAGACTACAAGTAAAAAGCAATATCTTTACTCACAGTTGTAATTACTCTCCTTTAACTACCTTTTTTTAATTGTGTTTCTTTAGGAAAAAGGGCTCCAAGAAGAAGGCACCAGAGAAGAGTAGAGACCCCCAGTCTAGCTCACCTCTTCAGGATCAGGGCATTGAAATGGCATAGAAAATCTTGTGACCTCGATAGCAACACCATCTTGGTTTTGTATTACAACACCAGTAGTCTTGATACCAAACATCAACTGATAGTCAGTTGAAAGTCAAGTTCAACTTAGCCATGACAATTTTGTTCAATTTTCTATTTTGTTTCATGTGCTAAGTGATGTTTTTTTTGGTTGTATTTTCTACCCTGGGAGCTTTATCCTATTATGTTCATTCAGCAATCTAAAAGAAATCTGATTAGTCAAAATGAAACCATAGAGAAACAACTAGTCCATTAATTGATTAATTATTTGACAATTAATCTGCAACAATTTTCATAATTGATTAATTGTTTCTCCAAAGAAGATTCCAGTTTTTTTATTTGTGAAGATGTCCTGCTTTTCTTTGTCTTACGTGAGAGTAAACTGAATATATTTGGGCTTTGCACTGTTGGCCGAACAAAACAAGCAATTTGGGATCCAGGAAACTGTGATAGGCATTTTTCAAGAATTTCAGACAAATTATAGACCAAACAATGAATTGAAGGAACAGTCAGCATATTAATTAGTAATAGGATTGATTTTTAATTGCAGCCCTAAAAAAACATACACATTAGTCAGAAAACCTTTTGGAAACATTTCCATTTGAAGTAAGTCTGTTTTTTTATTCATACAAACATTCAGGGAAAAACAGGAGCAGAGCTGAATCATTCCAAGTTTCCATTGTGCACACAGTTACCTGAAATGCTTTTAACAGTGTAGCTTCATAATCACTTCAGTGTTCCAAAACTATAACTGCGTCATCACCTGGCTCAGTGATTTGCTGAAAACTGTCTGAAGTCTTCTGAAGGCACCTGCCAATTCAAAACCCAACACATATATTTAGAGCTGTTTTTGTACAGTGATGCAAACTCTGTTATTATGTTTTCCTGCACAGCATTTGTGTATCCTTTGTTTTAGGCTGTCAATATCTCAACATAAAAGTATCAAAAACAACCTTTCACATTTTCTCACACTTATTTTAAAATGTATGGCTGTAAATATGTTTGCATTCATCTTTCATGTTTCCCACCATTATTGATAATATGTAGAATGTATTTTACAACCCATGAAGTCACGTGAGAAGATTGTTATTGAAAAATGTAATGGAAACATTTTTTTTAAATCTCCCCATTTTATAATTTTGTGTGAACCTGGAGAGTAACAAAATATATTAATTTAAATAAAAAAAATTGGAAAACAGCATTCAGTATATTGTTGCAGTGAAATGACTTTTCATGATTCATGATTTAAAGAATGTAATAAAAGCTATCTTTCTTATCTTTGAGGTCCAGATCCCATCCATCCATCGTCAACCGCTTATCCTGCGTACCTCTGGCATCGGGCGAAAGGCGGGGTACACCCTGGACAGGTCTGGTCCAGATCCCATTTGTAGGAAAATGTATTAGTCATCACATGTGATGAAAATAAAGGTTTATCGTAAACAAAATTGATCATATTGCTTTTCAATTTAGTCATATTGTTCTCAGACTCATATGCTCAATGTGAAAATCCATATGGGCAAAATATTAAAGCCAAACATTATAACCTGTAATTAATTGGTGTCACTGGTCTGGTATTGTCACAATGCCAAAACAATTGATAACACATGGCCTAATCTTGAGAAATATGTAGTGAGTTTCTTATTTGAGCAAGCAGACACTTGTTGTCCAATTTGGTGACCTGTGTAACTCAAACTATCACTTTACAAACACACAGTTAATACATTAAATTAAAATAAGAATAGATTATATAATTTTAGTGATGGTGGGCCTAATAGTTTATGAAAGTATTGTTAAAACGTGGGTTAACTATAACTATTAAAAACGACATATGTTCTTTATCAGATTACTCTCTAGCAATCAGGTTACACTGTGTGAAACGCAGAATTCGGTTACTCTCTAGTTACCAGGTTTAACTGTGTGAAACGCAGAAATCAGATTACTATCTAGTTACCAGGTTTAACTGTGTGAAACGCAGAAATCAGATTACTATCTAGTTATCAAGTTTAACTGTGTGAAACGCAGAAATCAGATTACTCTCTAGTTATCAGTTTTAACTGTGTGAAACGCAGTCATCAGATTACTCTCTAGTTACCAGGTTTAACTGTGTGAAACGCAGAAATCAGATTACTATCTAGTTATCAAGTTTAACTGTGTGAAACGCAGAAATCAGATTACTATCTAGTTATCAAGTTTAACTGTGTGAAACGCAGAAATCAGATTACTCTCTAGTTACCAGGTTTAACTGTGTGAAACGCAGAAATCAGATTACTCTCTAGTTACCAGGTTTAACTGTGTGAAACGCAGAAATCAGATTACTCTCTAGTTACCAGGTTTAACTGTGTGAAACGCAGAAATCAGGTTACTCTCTAGATATCAGGTTTAACCGTGTGAAACGCAGTAATCAGATTACTTTCTAGTAATCTGAAAGTAATTCGATTACTTTCAGATAACTGGTTGCCCGAGAAAATGGTTCACTACTACGCCTGCGTGCCGCGGTGACACATATAAAATTAAGTCTAAAAACCTGATCATGTTAAATATCACAGCTTCCAAATGTCAGTGGGTATAAATCTTTTTATATACAGTCTATGGTATAAATTAAATCAAAAAGACAACCGAGCCAAAATGAGACACATACAGAATCTAAGCGGTCCAGGGACTGTAAGCGAAGAAGGAAGTAGTGCAGTGTTACTGTCAGAAGCTTTTTCATCTTTGTTTTGCAATCGGCCGAGCCGGCAGATTCTACGTCACTTCCTGAAGTTGTTTCCATTTGTTTGTGGCAAACGCCAGCAGTTATCTAGTGGCACATACACTAAAGATAACGTTACTATTTTAACTTACAGTATGTCAGGGTGGAAACAGTATTGCCTTTATTTTATGTGAAGTATTCTACCCTGAAATTGTTCAAGACAAATAGTAGCTACCAAATGTGTTAGCGTTAGCAAAAACAGGAAAACGTGCGCTCGCGAACAGAAGTAGTTGGCCAGCTAACGTTAGCTAGCTAGTTGAGGTTAATTGGCTAACTATCGTTAGCTGCCCTGTTTCTCGTTACCTTTGGTGTTGTAGTGTTGGCTAAGGTTAGCTGACTTACAATTGTATATTGATGGAGTGCCCTCATCTGAACTCAAACGTTAGCTCTCTTACCGATTCCTCCAGGTTCCCCAACGGAACTCCGTCCTCCTGGTGTTGCAACGGTAAGTGTTCGCCATCCTTTCTTTTAGCCATAACGTTAATGTTACTAAAAATGGACGTTAAGCGAAACATAAATCTCGTGTCTAATGCAGTATCTTGGATCCCAGTCTTTGCTGGCACTGATGATGGATAGATAATGTAACGTTAGCTGCTAGTCGACACAACAGCTATCACAAGGGCAGATCACAGTTCACAAGCTGTTTTACAGAATATTCCTGTGGCACCTGAAAGCATGGTCCACCCAAAAGCAAATCGCAGCAATACGTTGTCTTTCAAGCTGTAACACTTCTCAATTAAGACAGGTTCATCTTTTATTTCCAGTTTGCAGGTCTAATAAAAGTCCATGGATTTGCCTTACGTGTCTGATGGTCCATTGTGGAAGGTAATTTGTTGCTATACAACCATGTAAGGGATAGTCTACGCAAGTCGGTCCCTAGCCACTGAGATCAGTTTTGTTTGTTTTTGCGAACAAGACATACCACTGTTTTGGAAGTATGTCCAGAATGCTCAAAGACTCCTTTTAATGAAGTGGATTAAAACACATTTTATCCACTTAACTATAAAAAAAAAAAACAGTATACACATTATTGTGTGTGTATTAAAGTTTTAAACAATGTTAAGTAATGTTAAAATAGATAAATTTGATGACTTTTGAGTTTTGATTTATTTCCTGTAAATCCAACCAGGAGATAAAGTAAGTTATTTCCACTCACCATTATTGATTGGAGACAGGAATGTAGTCTGGACTTTGTAAATGGGTTAAATATCATTGTTAGACAAATCTTTGCAGATTGTGTAAAAACATCAGCAAGTGGTGTTTTACTTTCTTTCATGACATTTGTGAGAATACTGTTGGCGAATACCTTCTACTGTATGTGTTAGATTATCTGCAGGTGGTTCCAGATGTTATGTGTGATAAAGTAATCTCTTTTTATATATAGATATGTCAATGGACATGCAAAGAAACACTTTGAAGAGAGCCAAGTCCTTGGCATTAGTCAAAAGAAGGGTGAGAAACAGGAGAAAGAGAAATGCCATCATTCTGTCTGCATGGACTGCAGCAACTTCAGTGTATTTTGGTGAGTGTCCTTCATGACCAACCTATCTATAGTATGTCTGCAATCTGTGACTCACTGTGGGGGCCTGCAAAAGTACACACAACAATCAACGCATTGTTATTGTGTGGTAATTGGAACCAAAATGTTTATATAAATAATTTATTCATTGGCTTATCAGTTACTTTGCAAGTGATCCAACATTCTTCTGGTTACTTGCCACAAATGATCATGTCTTAATTACAAGGAAAACACCGTGATACAAATTGTATAAACTGTAGTCAGATGTAATTGATTAAAATCACTCCTGCCACATTTCACATATATGTGGTTAACTGTTGCATGCTACCACAGTGAAACACAACACGATATATATTTACAATAATTTGTTTCTGTTTTCTTGTCCAAATCCCCAATAAGTTTGTGCTTTCAAATATATTTATAGTTATAGATGTGATGACTTTGTTGTCAATGACACCAAACTCGGGCAGGTGCAGAAGGTGAGGGAACAGCTTCAAACTTTAGAAAAGTAAGTACTAATCTCAAGAACAAAATCTTTCAATGTGTTGGTTTTGTTTCATTGTTTTACTCTGTTATCATTACACCAAATTATGTAAATAACAATAATTAAGATATAGAATTAGTTCTGATAGTTTGACGTTTAGATGTGCCTGCCAATCAGGAAGATGCCTTTTTAAAGATGTTTCACTACGTGCTTAATGAGTGATCATTGTTCAGATTAAGTGTTTTTCTGTCTTTCAGCTCAGCACTGATGGGTGACAGACAGAGGAAAAGAAAACTTGAAAGCCCAGCTCCAGACAGCAAGTTGTTAAAAGTCAATGTAAGTGCCTGAAATTATTATGATTGTTTTCTTTGTAAGAAAAAGTAAAGTTGCAGCTGCTCAACAATTTTGTCTTAGCACAAAAGACTACTACCACTCAAACTCGATGCTCAAATGTTCCAAGTCCATGTTCACACAGTGAGATATGGCTCCTATTAAATAAGTCACATCAGCCTTTATAGAGCTCTACCCCAAGTGAATATCATGATATCTTAAAATGTTAGCGTACAACTTGCTTTTTAGTCATAATTCTTCCTAAGGTTTTTAATGTACATGTGTTTCTGTCATCTTTTTTTTTGTCTGCGTCAGGATGGGGCAGCTTTAGGTGCTACAGGCCTGCGGAACTTGGGCAACACATGCTTCATGAATGCTATTCTGCAGTCCCTCAGGTAAGGCTCTGCACTGAAGATGAGATGTGTGGGTGATAAACTGGGTTTGCAGCATGGTTCAGTAGCTCTGCCCCTGCAGACCCCGGGCCCCACAACCAGTCATCCTTTATTAATACAGTCTGAGGCACGGTAAGGGGAATTACACAAGCTGCTTGGAAACAAGACACAGTCAAAGGCTAGATTTTCCAGCTAACACATATTTTGCCTGGTTCCTAAAGGATTATACTGGTATGTTTTCACTGTTACTTAATATCAAAAGCTATATACAATGGCTTTTAGAAATAAATCTAATCTGTTTTCCTACTTTATTTGTTTTTATTCATTTCAGTAGGGTGTTAAAAATCAATTTGCAGAAACTTGAAATATGCGTTATGAAGCAAATTCATTGCTGTGAATTTCTAGTTGTATAAAGTATGTAGTTGTTGCATTTATATTATCTTTGCCTGGCAGCCTTGACTTCCCCCTTAAAGTCAATAAGGAATTAGGCTTGTTCCGATTGGCAATTGGATTGCTTAACGACGATTGAAGGGATGATTAGCTATTGGTTTTTCATGTGCCGATATTAAGGATTTTAACTAACTCACTATCAGAGCTAAGATGACATAAACAGTCTCTAGAATCTGCACCCCACTGCAGTGTTTCCCAGTCATTGATTTATTTGTGTCGACATGACACACCTCAATATCAACGCTGACCGCTACATATTATAGACTATTTAAAATTATTAAAATCATAATTCATTGCGGAGCTGCATGCAGCGCATTGACTCACTCACTCTCTCTCACACACACACACATCGTAAAGGAGCCATCTGTTTCTGCATCAATTGGTGCTCTCAAGTAGCCATGATCTGTGGCGGTATTATATATACTATAATCATAGTAATATATCTTCCTCGTGACGATAAGGCAGAACAAATGTGTCTCAAGTAGTCGGATCCTTTAGGACGTTACACTGCCACTGACAGGTGTCGTGCCAAGGTAGTTATCCCCAGAGCTATGTTTTATAAGGACTTCACTATCCCTGATAGAAAGTGTTTACCCTTCCACGGGAGCGCGTGTGCATTCATTGGTGAAGGCGGACTTTCAACTTCACCTAAGTAAATGTGGATTGTTTAATCTATTGTTTTTAGTATTGTTTTATCAACAAGGTTTTTGCAGAGCAAGCTAGCACACGGATTATAAGAATGCTTTTAAAGGCTAACGTTACGTGTTATTGAACTTTGAATGATTTATTCATTGCACTGAATTGAGAATGTCTAAACAAAACGAGCAGTTTCAGTTTCCCTCGTAAAGCAAACATTTATTTCGCCATAGTCTGACGATGTTATAACTGAGCACGTAGTTGAACAATTAGTCATCCATGTTACTGTTAGATCTAGACAGACTGACATTTTTCAAGTAAGCTGCTCTTACAAATATCTACCCCATCGATACTGTAAAATCAAGATGACTGTAACTTAATCAGTTTAACACATTGCTCACCTCAACATTAATCTACTTGACTCGAAATGTACATTAAATTGAATGCAGCATTGTAGACAATATTTTGTCCTTCTAATCCATGTTTCCATTGCATGGATAGCCTTTGGATATGCTGGAAATTGTTCCGAGTCCCCCTCCTTAAAGGGTAAATTATTATCATAACAATTTAATAATACATTGCATTTAAACCACAAAATATGTATCCCCGTCCATAATGCACAGATGATGGCCTACCATCAAGTATTTAATTTTGTGTATACTTCACATCATGACTAATAACAGATTAATATGGAGACGTATCAAGTACACTAGAGCTTATGCTGTTCATTAAGCATGGCATAATTTGGTTTATTTTCTTTGATTGAAATGGTTGTTGTTTGTCAAATGTATCTCCACCTTCAACTGCATTATCACGTAACAGTGTACAGTACCAGTAAGTGAACAGTAACTAATGGCAGCCTGGAAACCGATAAAAAAATCCCTCAAAAAACTGGCATGATTTTGGGGAGGGTCATCGGTAATGTAACATAGAAAACATCTATATGATCATTCAAGAGAATTATGTTTCTAAACCAACATGCTTAGACCACTTACACAGTTGATCATAATTTTTGGTGTCAAACAAACAAAACATGTTGGGTTTTTTTTCCACAGCAACATCAAGCAGTTCAGCTGTTATTTCAAAGAGTTGCCTGCAGTGGCTCTACGCAGTGGTAAGACGGCAGGAAGACGGATGTACCACACCCGCAGCCAAGGGGACAACAGTGTGTAAGGTCCTCTTCTAGAGGAGGGAAGATTTTTGGGCTGAGTGCATTGATCTAAACATTAATTTCAGAAAGTGTGAAATTTAAAAAAATGTTTCTTGTGAGTAATCGTGGAAGACATATTTTATTATAGCAGTAATTAGCTTTAATCTGCTGCTCAGGAAGACAAGAATTGCGAAGTATTGATAAGTCTTCTTTTTTCCTTTTTTTATTAGACCAGATGTTGATTGTCCTAGGTTGTGCAGCGTGGTAACAGGGTTGCTTTATGTCGAACAGGTCTTTGGTGGAGGAGTTCAGGAAAACCCTTTGTTCCCTGTGGCAAGGCAGCCAGACCGCCTTCAGTCCAGACTCCTTATTTTACGCTATATGGAAAATCATGCCAAGTTTCAGGTATGCCAATATCGTACAAAGCATCTGCCAGAATTAGCTCCCAGTGTTGAGTAAACAGTTTTCTTCTCAGTACTGTTTTCTGTCAGTGAGCTTAAGTGTAGCATATTATTATTAAGATGCATCACAGACTGGGACAATATATTGTGGGCGGTTACAGTAATGTCATTTAAATCTGTTTTTTGTGTATCCAGGGGCTATCAGCAGCAGGATGCCCATGAGTTCATGCGTTACCTGCTGGACCACCTCCACAGGGAGCTCCAGTACAGTCGCAACGGGGCGCCACACCCAGTCTCACCTCAGGATACGGTCAGACTCTCCACCGCAGAGGGCAAATGCTGCATGTAAGCCCGTCTTAAACTTCATTTAAATAAACTTCAAAAATCATTTGTTTCTGCCAGTTTATGTATGTGTTTTTATGTTTCTGCTGGTTTCCAGTTGATACTTTGACACTGACAAAGTATATAGATTTAGCATTGTAGACATGCTGTCAGTTGTCTATGACATGACTTATGAAAGTTATTTTTCTACTTATTTTTATATTGAAAGCAGTTTACTTTTAATTCTGTGCTTTTAACCTTTTAGAAGTTGTAATGATCAGATCTTTACTGGTCCACATTAGGGCTGGACGATTTGGGGGAAAATCTAATTGCGATTTTTCTGCCAGAGCAATTTGGGTTCGATTTGCGATTTAAGTTTTGCTAAAGTTCAATTTTCACTGCCAGTCTATTTTTGACTGAAGCCACGTCAAGCAGCAAAGAACAGATGAACCAGGCAGGAAGTCAAACACAGAACGGCATAGAGAATCTGGTCGATATTCCAAAGAAAACACCCTTTGCAGACTCCCAATCGTACATCAACAATTAACACAGTTAAAACAGACAAAAAAGAAACAATTTAACTTGGTAGCCTACTTAACCATGGTAGAAGCACAAAAATCAAGGACAACTGAACAAATAAGCAAAATCTGAACAAGCAAATTCCGACGGGCAAAACGCTCTTATTCTGAAATGCTCCATGTGAATAGGTAACGTTGGCTTGTAGAGAGCGGAATGGAATGGCAATTTCGATTTGAAAACGATTAATCATTCAGCCCTAGTCCAAATGCAGAATATGATGTTTACATATTCTTCTGCTTATGCATTGTTTGAATACCAGAAGACATTAATGTGCATTTATTGACTAGTGTTTACCTTTTTGCTTCTTAACAGAAATGGGACTGCCAGTGTCGTCACATCCATTTTTGGTGGCATACTTCAGAATGAAGTCAACTGCCTGATATGTGGGACAGAATCTCGGAAGTTTGATCCATTTCTTGGTAATACAGCAACAACTTTTGTTAGTAAATAACCACACACAGCAAGTTAAGGAAAAGCTCAATATTTATCTAATTTTGCCATTTTTCCCAGCAAACCTTCTTGTTAGTGTTACTCCCTAAAAATGTAAAAATGATGACTGAGGGGTAAATTATTAAAGACAGCCTGATGACGTATGACATAAGATAATTTAATTCCTTTCTTTTTCTCTCAGATCTGTCTCTGGACATTCCCAGCCAGTTCAGACAAAAGAGAAGTAAGGACCAGGAGGCAGGGCCAACATGCACCTTACGTGGTAAGTTTCCCATGGTCAGAGGTTAGACTTTTTTTTATTTTTTTTTTTTTTTATTAGTTTCTAAATGTGTACTGCTGAGATTAATGACAACATTTTTGGTTTAGACTGCTTACGTAGCTTCACTGACCTGGAAGAACTTGATGAAACAGAGCTGTACTATTGCCATAAGTGTAAAAAACGACAGAAATCCACTAAGAAGTTCTGGATCCAGAAGCTGCCAAAGGTAGGAGACGAAATTCTCAATTATTTTATTACAATTTAATAATTTTAAATGTATTCTATGAAAATGAAGTAGTAGGGGAAGATGAAAGTGTTATAATTGGAGGTTTCACTTCCATCTGTAGGTTTTGTGTCTCCACCTAAAAAGGTTCCACTGGACAGCCTTTTTGAGAAACAAGGTGGATACCTATGTGGAATTTCCACTGAAAGGCCTGGACATGAGGAGCTACTTACTTGAGGTGAGCTAGTGTCTGAACAGTATGAAACTTTACAACTGTGTCAGTTCAAGCCTCTAAAAATTAGCTGCAGTTTGTGGACTCCAAAACACTTGCTGTACCCATACAGTATGCAAAACATCCTCTCAACTTATTAATACTTGTATTAATAAGAAATCTCTGCTTTTCTGTGTCCACTGGAAGATTCCAAGAAAAAAAACAGGTTTGCTGACATCACGTGGTTGTAGTGGAAATTTTATTGGTAGTGCCATTCATACTTGTAGGAAACGTCAGAATACCACAAGAACTTAGTGTACTTGTGCCAAATTTAAACCTTTTGTAATGAAAGGGTATGGTTTGGTAAAAAGTGAGTCAAGGCACTTGTCACACCATGGAAAGTAAAGTGCTTGACAACTGCATGCAAGATATTTCACAATGCATGTGAATATGATGTTGAACTGTAACAGCTGCATTGTATGTTGGGCACAAACCAAGAAGCTGCAGAGTGTGTGAAGAATAGACCTTTTGAAATGTAGATATAGGAGCTTTTTGTATGAAATATAGCTCTTTTTCAGACTGGTGATTTGGTCAAACTGAATATTCCTCTTTGACAGTCCGCTGATGATGGATTTGTATCCAGAGAGAAAAAAACAATTAGTTTGCAACCATGGAGATAACTGCTGGCCTCTGCTGGCTGACCAGAGACACATCTGGGAAATAATGGGAAATATCTTAAAATTGTATTATGTGGCCACACTAATAGAGCAAGGATAGATTAGTTGATCGACATAAAATTAATCATGTACCCATTTTGAAAGTTGGTTAATTTATCAAAAATGATTAAAATCTGGCCTCTGAAATGTGGGCATTTGCTTTTTTTTTAGTGGTAATAAACTGATTATTTTTGGGCTTTGGACTGTTGGTCACACAATACAAGACATTTTCATTCACTGCTTTCTAACATTTTGTAGACTAAATGATTAATAGAGAAAATTGAAAGATTTATCAGTAATAAAATTAATCCTTAAATTTGATGGTTATAAAAGAAAGAAATAGACTGTAATGGGCAATGAACTGTGTTGCAGTGCATTTATTATTAAATATTTATTATATATATATTACCTGCTGTTATATGAAAAACCGAGTTTTCCTTCAAATGATTCCTTGTTTTGTTATTGTTAAGTTTTATCATTTTTGAGTTTGTGAAACGTCTCTTCCATGTATAAAACACCTGTGAGTCCTCTATCATGCTGACTCTGTAACCACACAGTTTTTTTTTTGGCATTTGAGAGTGCCATAATCTTTATGAGAAACTTTACTTACATTTATGTGTCTGCTTGTCTGAAAGTGAAACCTCTGTCATTCATACGTGTACAGATGCTAAGTGGTCTGTCTCCTTAAGTTGTAAATCTTGTTGTGGGTGGAATTGAGAGGGCAGAAATGAAATTCTTATCTCACATTTTTTTATGTTTGCAGCCAGAGAATTCATTACCAGAAAACTGCCTGTATGACCTTGCTGCTGTCGTAGTGCATCACGGTTCTGGGTGAGTAGATGAAGTATCCCAGTTTGAACACACAAAAGGAGATACTGAAATTGTTTTAGTTTCATCAATTTAATTATCATTTACTATTTTAATCTCCCGTGTGACCCCCCCTTTTCCAAGACCTCCACTGTCTCCCTGTAGTAGCTCGCGTCAGATTTAAGATAATTGTACTGGCCTACACAGCTGTCAGTGGAACTGCCTCCACCTACCTCTGGCCGTTTAATAATAATTTATGCTTCAGCTTGAGCGCCCTGCTCAACTACCTCTGCTGGCTGGCTGGTACCACCATTGCTCAGAGCAAGTAAAAGTTATTCAACTAAGTCACAACTCTTCTCTGTTGTGGCGGCGCAAAGGTGGAACAAGCTCCTGGCCAACGTCAAGACAGCATAGTCGCTTACCAGCTTCTGCAAGAGACTCAAGACTCAGTTGTTCATCTGGACTCTGCTTAACCCCCTCTAATCTAACCTAGCAGTTATGAGTGCTTGAATCTTGTTCTGTTGACATTCTTACTCTTCCAACAGTGATCTGTTGCTTTTTCACTTCCTTCTGTCAGATGTACTTATTGTAAGTCGCTTTGGACAAAAGTATCCGCTAATTGCTCTAAATAAGCACATACAGCATCTTGTATATTTCAGACTTGTTTGGGGTCAATACGTGTTTTTTCCCTAAAGATCCCTACATTAAAAAAGAACAACACCCAACCATAAATCTATACATTATCATCTGTTGATCAGCTCTGCCTACCACAGTTGGCTACAGTCACCAAATTGCTGCATAAACAGTCCAGATCCAATTTAGTTAAAAAGCCCTGTGAACAGCTGTAGTTTAAAAATTCATGTAGCCGCTAAATGCTGAAAGGCATTAAGCTGAGAGTTCTTGAAAATCTGTTTAGATATTCCAGGAAGAACTGCTGCTGTTTTACTTTTTGGCCTCTAAGTGGCAATGTTGCACTGCTACTGTGTTGTCAAGCTGAACATGGTCCTCTCACTTGAGCAGAAGTATAAGTCTTGTAAGAAGCCAGACAGCAGAACGTGATACATGTGTCTGTGTTAACAGGGTTGGATCTGGGCATTATACAGCATATGGCAGCCACGAATGCCGCTGGTACCACTTCAATGACAGCACAGTGACTCTGACCAATGAGGAGGCAGTGAGGAAGGCCAAGGCCTACATCCTCTTCTACGTGGAGAGGACTGAACAGGTGGCCTCAGACAAGACTGCCACGAACAGCACCACCACTAACAATCCTGCTGTGGACAGTGTTTCTTCTGAAGTAGTTCCTCAGGACCAGGTAGCTGCAGACACGGTTGCCACAGACATGGATGTGGCAGCCTCACACATGAATACCCTGGACGTGGCAGCACCCGTTACTGCTGCGTTGGAAAATGTTGGTGAAGACATGGCTGAACTGCATACAGCTGACACAGCTTCTATGGAGGCTGCCACAGACAGGGATACCTCAGAGGAAGGCGGCCAAGCTATAGAAGCTGCTGCACAATAATTCTGCCACTGCCTCCTCACTCCATTTTGACTTCACCCTAGTCACATTTCTCACAGTGCTTGATTTTAAATAGTTAATTTTCACGTTTAACGTATGTGCAAGTCTTTTGTTTTTTTATGACCTGCATGACAGCATCATGTATTATTTGCTGCTTGAGTTTTGTTTAGTATGACTTTCTGCATTTATTTCCTTGATGTTGTATTCCTCAGTTGAGGTACATTTCTCCGTATGTAATAGATTCCAAAGGTGATTGTTTGAAATAATGAAGTAAAACTGTAGCCTTGGAAAACCTCAGTTGGTCCAATGTTTAGGAGAGATTGAGATTCATTGTGTCAAGACACTGTGTCATTTAACAATATTTGGAGTTTCTAATGTTTTTCAAGTTTCTAATTTTGTAATTTCCACCTCTTAAGAACCTCATAGTTCTGTTTTCCACTTATTAGGGGAGATTTTATGATATAGAATGCAATGCATTTATTGATTATTAGCTGCTGATTGAGGCTTTAGAAAGTTGTTTAATGTGTTGACCAGAACCAATGTGAAACAAAGGATCATTCACAAATTGATTAGTTTGTATGTGAGTATAATTTAATGTTTTCTGTTGATCTGAAATGGGCATAGCAACGGGCCCTGATGAAATGCTTTTTTAAAACATGCATCAAGGAAAGTGAACTTGATAAAATACAATGGAGAATCTTTTTTTTTTTCCCAAATGTTTGGGGGGGGGGGTTGTTTTGTTTTTTTAAATCTATCTTTCACCCTTTCCTGAAAATCCATTACCACAGCTAGTCTACATGTAGCAGTTAAACAAGGAAGACAAGGTTGTATATTTCTACCATTACTCTAAGCATTTGACATGTTTATGCACTAGGTGCTAATGTCTAATCCTTTTAAATTGCAGAAGCTATTATTAATTACTATAATACTATTATTTAATGACTAAAGTCAGTATGATAAAGGCTAAAATTGTACCGCTATACTGTCATGGGGGAAAATATTGCTAGATCAACAATCCAAATGGAGTTAGTTTCTGTTTCACCTAATTTAAATCTGGTGTAGGATTTAAAGTTAGGCACTATAGTTGAAAAATACTGGTGTTTCAGAAAATGTGATAATGTGACAATTGGTTAGTGTTCACGGATGTTAGTTAAGTTGCTTGTTAAGAACAAGATGATTTAAACTGCAGGGCAAAGGCAAGGACAGTTAATGTAGAGCCGAAACAAACAGTTTATCACTAGTAGGTCAACAGGAAATGTATTTGTAATGATTTTGATAAACGATTAGTACATTAAGTAATTTTTTAAGCAACAATTCCAAGCATTTGATGGTTCTTGATGTGAGAATTTACTGTTCTTGTCTTCCTTATGGTAAGCCGAATATCTTTGGGTTGTACACCTATCTTATAGGATCAAGCAATTTACAGTTTTCTTTTAGTATTCAAATGAACAAATAATAGATGAAATAATCTGCCGATTCATTGATAATTTTTTTCTTGTGAACGGGACACATGTACACCAGAAGATATATTGTGTTTATTTGTCCAATATAATTGTCCCCTTATTACAGCTTGTAATTGAAAACAGCCTTTGATAAGTATGGCCTTAGAGGAGAGAGAACTCATTTTTAGTAAGCCTTTTTTGTGTTGTTTTTTTTCTCTTCCCTGTAGCAAACATCTCCGCCCACACGCACACTCACACATAAGAGCCCCCCTCGGGACACGTGCCAGCCAGTCAGCCTACTTGCTCAGGCAGGAACAAGCACTCCTGTATGATGAGGAACAGCTGCTCTTCCTCGCCTGCTCACAGGTGGCTGTGGGCTCGCTACTCTGTCCCCATTAATGACACAAATGCCCCCTCCTCCCCCACTTCCTCTCTTTTTCTCTTGGAGGTTAGATCACAGCTGCTAATAATGAGCTCACATTGCATTTGTGTTTTTCAGATCAGAGGTCCCGTTCAAGGACGACATGACACAGTACAGACGAATCAGCCTCCCATCAGTAGCATTTCCAAATGTCTTTGTTTTCTTTTTAGAGACTGGTGGTAACAAGTAGAACAGGACATAACTGGGGATGTGTGGAGTGATGAGAGATAAATATATATATAAATAATGGTATTTCTCTCTTTACCATCTCAGTATGTCCTCCGTGCTCCAATTGAGCAATTTCAAACACACTCTGAGTCATAGTTCACTTTGTTCCTTTAGGCAGAGTCCTACGCAACACTGCTTTTGCTCGTGACTTCCACTCACAGGCCAAGCCACACGCTGCCTGGTTTGGGTAATGAAATTTTTTTAAGGTTCTGTAATTATCTTGAATATGATACAGGAGAGTTTTGGGGTTGTGTTGTACAACAGCTTTCTTCTACTGTAAATACTACCTTTGTAAAAACCTAACATTGATACTGTGCAGCGAGGCTGATTCAACTTAATTTATGTTTGTGATGGTGCCTATATGAAGTGGACAAAATGTTAGTAACCTCCATTTGTTGCACTACTTTGATCTTAAAAAAATTAATCAGAATTGAAATGGCGCACAAACAACTTAAAGATGCCCTCCAGACATGTTTTAAGACGTTTCAAAATACTACTTAAATACTTCTGAAAATTAATAAATGTGAAGACAGCCTTCTAGTGTCAAACTAGACAGTGAAGGTCGAACATCCAAGTGACAAAATTACACAAACATTTTTGAGTGAAGGTGCAACTAGGTCTCACCAAAAAACTGATTATTTTAACTACGGAGGTATTTTGAGGGGCTGCAGGGCTGTTGTATTGCACTACATTTTGGAGGTGTTTCTCTTTTTTTGCGTCACTCAGTGTGTATCTGTATCTGAGAACTAGGCCAGGGCAGTGTAAACATCTGGCTCAGTCCAGTGCTTGCTGCCTGTTGAGAGCCATGACAGATGGAAAGGGAGCGTATGGCTCCAACACTTCCATCTTTGACCGTGCCGGCAGTTGTCTTCCCAAAATAGCCTGCACTCCACGGCCATATATGTGCAGGCCGTCAGCATGTGCCTGAGGAGGAATCATGTATCTAGGCCACATAATACAGGCTACAGGCTCATTGTTGCTGCTTGCCAGCAGGCCTATCACCGCCACAGGGACGAGGCCTCTTTCTGCCTTGGGACAGCTCACCATGCATCTCAGCCAGCTCAACCGTGAATGTCTCCTCCACCTTTTCTCCTTCCTGGACAAGGACAGCCGGAGGAGTTTGTCCCTCACCTGTCGTCAGCTGCGTAGGGTCTTCCTGGACCCCTGGCTCTGGAATCTGCTCCACTTCAGCTCCCCATGTCAGCTGAGGAGGGACAACTTTGTGCTGGGACCCTCATTGCGCTACTTGACTGTTTGCTGGTACTCCAGCAGGGTCCTGCAAGTGTGTAACATTGAGGACTGGTTGAAGAGCTCGTTTCAGAAGGACATCTGCAGTAAACATGAAAGCCTGGTCAGCACTTTCCTGGCTCATGTCTGCCACATGTAAGTGTTTGTGTGGTTCTTCCCTGCTTTGTCATATCTTTTGGAATGACAGCTGATGAACAGATATTTTACAATGGTCAGTGATAAGATAGACCAACAGAGGGTGTACAAAACAAAACTAGTACCTTACTGTAATACAATATAGCATTTTGGCCTGTGACCCCTTAAACAAAACAATGTGTACTTGTGACTCGTAACCCATGTTTATGGGTTATAAATAACTTTTAGGATCCTCAATAAGTAAATTATCCTGTAAAAAAAAAAAGATTTGCTTATTAGACTTTTTCCCCCCAAGTCCAATAAGCAAAACTTTCGATAACAGAAACTTTTTTCTTTTATTACTTCTCTTGCGACCCCTCATATATCTTGTGACCTGCTGTGGGGGTCCTGACATCTAGGTGGACAAGAGTACAAACCACAGGCTGAAATATGACGATAGAGCTGAATTAACAGCACACCCTCAAATAAAACTAAATGAGCTTTCACAGGTTTGCGTTACACATGAACAATGAAACTTTTTTTGTCTGAAAAATTACTTTTCATCTTCAAGATCTTCATCTTGAGGATGATCACATCATATCCAGATTATTCAGAGTCATTCACAGCCACCACAGGGGAACAATAGTGTTTTCATTTAGAGGCACATGTCTTACTGAAAGGGCCATGTAAAGCTGTAGGCAGCAGTGAACAAAATCATTATAAACACATGGTCTATTAGGAGCTGACTACAGAGACAGAAGAAAATGACACATCTGCGGGACAGAAGACTGATTCTATTAACTAACATAACTGTGGTCAGATATCAAATTATATTTATTGAATGATGTGACAGTTGGATTTGATAGGTCACTGAAACGTACGTGTATTGGTTTTTGGCCTTGTGTGCGTGGCTGCGTGCAGCCCGGAGAGGCGTAATGAGGTCTCTGGATAATTTCTTCAAGGCAGCCAGTAATAACGGTTGACGTGAGGGGAGCCTTGCCACCACAGCTGGCCGGGACAAGAGAAGGGAAGAGGGGCTGGCTCATCGGCTCAGTGTACAAGCCTTGGGAGGATTTCCTGGATTGTGAAATGTGAGACGCAAGACATGAGAGCTGTGATACCAGTCAAAACTAGAACCACCTACTTTGTCTGGGTCTCAACGCCCTTAAAGCACACTCATTGCATACAGATAAGTCCTCCCAAATTGTCGGAGTGCACGTGACAAAGTGGGAGGGGACGCTGGGAAGCTGTGGGGGTGATTGATTTGGCCGCAGACCCTCCCAGTCAGCTGCAGACTGGAGATTTACGCAGGCAGGTGGAGCCTACAATTGGCTCTTTGTTGCTGACAGAGGAATGAACATGTGCGTCTGTCTCTGCCTGCCTCTTCCTGGAGAAGACTCCACGCAAACTCTGACGCCAAGCTCATGTCTGTCTTTTTTTTAATCTTCATGGAAAAAAATATAAAACGCAGCATGTCTTTGGGCGTCTTTATCGTGTAGTTTCCAGTGTAATGGTCCTCTAATGCCAGATCAAATCAGTGATCAAGATTCAGGACTCATGATTTTTTTATTATTATCTTGAGTTCACAGTATTACAATTATACAACATGAATTAACATGCTCAGCATGCCATGTAGTGTGGGCTGCACCGTGGGTGGCAGAAGAAGCTTTGGCATGAGGCTTTTATGCTAAAAAATTCTGAATAGTTTTATTTGTAAAAAATTTATAAATTGATGCTTTCTCTCTCAAAACGAGTGCAAGCACGTTTTGGGTGACTATTTGATTTATAAGATAAGACAGCTGCTTCTTAATATACTCACTTCTAAATTTAGATAGTTTAAGATGTCCAAAATTTGTTTAGCATGTTTGAAACGAAGGAAAGCAGCTGAATGTTAAATGTACGCCTTAGTTCCTTTTAGAGTTCGCTGGATAATTTGACCAGACAAAATAACCGTTAGGAAACCAAACAGGTCATTAGAGAGATGATTACAGGTTAGCGGTGTGGTGTTCTGCCTGTGCTCAGACCAGACTGCCCTCCATGTTGTTTGTTTTTTTGTCTCAAACCTAAATGGAAAGAAGGAAACTCTGCAGATATTTTGTGGCATGCAGTACAGATTTGTTGATGATGGATAGATAGATGTGTGTAAAAATCAAAATATGATAAGTATCGATGAATAACCGCAGCAGTTACCACAATAACAGCACATCACAGCGCAAAACCATTAGTATCTTGCAAAACAATAAATAAGCCAACACAAAAACAGAAACAAGGCAAATAATAAGTTCCTTCCTTATATTGTAGCTGCTTGTTTTTTTACACAAAGTTAAGGAGGCGATCTGAGAGGGTGAATCATGTAACAAAGCTTGGTGTTGTTTTTATTCCTGTCTTGTTCACCTCCATTCACTTCCCTCATGCTCTGTACCTTATGCTGAGGCCCACTAACTGTAGTCATTAGAGACTACTGAATCTCTAAATGGCAGCAGCTTTGAGCACTTGTTATTCCATCGCCCCACCTCCTCTCTCTTTTTTGGTTAATGTCAATACTGTGCAGTCACAGCCACTGATAAAGCCCCACACTGGCCTCATGCAACAATGTGATGGGGCACGTGGATTGACTGTGTTATCCCATGTTCAGAGGTTACTGGGACAGTGCCCTCAATACTTGCAGGCAATTGGAATATGTTTGGCTCACATGTGGTGGTAAGTGGTAAGATTATGTAAGACTTTATGTAATCTGCATCAGTGAACGTGAATGACATCCTCTATCCGTTGCCATCAGAGCGTCTGTCTGCCAGCTCTGTACTGCTGGCCTGCCAGTAGGTTGCAGTGCACTCCTAAAACTGGAAACGTTCAGTAAACACATGCATTTCACAGCCCACATCGTTCATTTTTGAACTCATCCCTCCTCCTGTTTTTATTATGCTTTAATTCATCAAACATTCTTTAATTGTTCTGTGCAATAGATAGATTGTGAAGTGCTTTAAATGTTAATAAGATCTGAAAGTTAATCATTTGCTACACAGGGAGCCAGTGTAATTGAAGCAACTGTGGAGAGACATGTTCCGTGGACTTCGAGCATGTAATAATCCATGCTGCAGAGTTCTGGATGAGTTGGTAGTAGGGGAATATGTTTATTGGGAATGCCTGCCTGGATTGCATTGCAGTGGTCAATGCATGATGTGGTCAAAGCATTGACTAAGGCTTCTATGGAATGTTGCTTTAAAGCAGGGCATAGAGATTTTTCACAGATGGAAAATGGCAATCCAGGAGACTTTATCTATATGACCAGAGAAAGAAAGGGTACTATCCAGGATAACACCAAAGCTCTTTACTTGTATGGAGACCGGTTCGCTGAACAGATATTAATGTTTGAGAGTGTAGATTTAGAACTGAGGAGCAGTTGCTCAGTCTTACTACTGTTGAGTTTTAGGTAGTGTTTGTCATCCATATCTGTATGTCATGAAGACAGTCTGTAAAGGTACTGGAAGGGAGAGTAGAACTGGGCTTAGTGGACACATAAAGTTGTGCATCGTCAATATAACAGTGAAATCAAATACCATAGTGCTGAAGATGAAGACATTGCCAAGGGGTGGGGAGGTAAATAATAAACAGAAGTAGCCTCAACACTGAATCTTGAGGTACTCAGTGGTGACTCTGGAGCTTTCTGTTAATTCTTAATTTGTACAAAATGTGCTAACATACAAATTACCCCCAACTCCAATGCTAGCCAGACGTTCCATTAAGAGCTGATTGGATACAGTATGAAAGGCTGTAGTGAATTCCAGGATGGCGATGATAAAGAGTAGCCCAGAATCAGCTGCACAGAGAAGGTTTTTGGTGATCTTAACCAAGGCAGTTTCTTTGCAATGATTGGGTCAAAATCCAGATTGGAATTGTTCAAGGAGATTATTGTTATCAAGGTAGATCTATGGTTGAGATGCAACAACCCTCTCAAGAATTTTGGCAATGAAATTAGGCCTGTAATTGTTTGGGTCATTACAGTCTAAACCACGCTGACAGTGTTGGAGCCCTAGGCAAGATTTGAAATTGGCACTCCCACCCCCCACCCTGCCCAATCCTAAAAAGTCCACCACAGGGGTTGGGGTCATCACTTCTCAATCCTAAGCAATTGTTTAAAGGGTTCAGCAGCCAAACTCGCAGTTTTAGCATTATAGATAAACAGCCAAGTCAATAATCATGATCCATAATAAGTGTGATCAGTCTCCACATCATAGCCTAAACTGGGAGACCAAACCTAACCTGGGATCTGGGACTGTGACTTTCCTGAAATGCAGGAGCACTGGTTTAGTTTAAATGGTAGAGAGGATTAATAAAGAGAAGGTTACTCCCTCAGGAAATTTTAAGCATTAAAGATAAGTTCCTGCATTCCGGTGAAAATTTCTGCATCAAATTATGGTTAATCTTCATCTATATAAAGGGAAACACAGTATTTTATACTTTTCTAATTTAATAAAATCCCTGCTGAATCAGTACACATGCTGAGCCTTCCCTTCTCTTTTGACTCTCCGTTTGGGGAAATAACCTTCTTAAATAGGCCTGTGTGGAATCTTTTCACCTCAATGATAAATGAATACATTTAAATTCAGTTATAAACTCCTGGACTTCAATAGTCCAACTGTACCAGTGGACAGAGAACAGTTGATAATGGAACCTCCATTATCAACTGTTCAGGGAAATGATTGAGGGCAAGCGTCCGATGTGGGGATTGGATCCAGGTCACATGTGGAGAGAAAAATGTGATTTCCAATTTGAAGACTGAAGTCACATAGGACAGTGGATGGGAACCGTTTCATGGGACTTGCTGGTAGTAAGTTGGTCTGCATGATGTTTGCAGAGGCCAGCTGCTCATGAATTGCCATCATTTTGGAGTTGAAAAAAGTCAAAGAAGCAGAGCACTGTTCATTTGAAAGGGTACTGTTAATATTGCTTTCAGTTGGTTTTAGTTAACTTTTCACTGTGGAGAAAAGAGGTCTAGTATTCCTTTCACCTGTACTGATGATGCTTGCATAATATAAGGTTTTAGATATTGAGAGAGCATTTTTGTATTGCAGTATATGTCAAGGTACATCTGTTTATGCACAACAAGTCCAGATTTGGTGCAGAGCCTGTCAGCCGCCGACCTAAAGCCTTAAGCTGACATTGTTCAGGTGCGTACCAGGGTGCAGTATGCGCAAAGTATGATAATATGATTCACCTTTGACTTACTAAGTGGTAGGTTGGTGTTGAACAACACAGCTTTATGGTTTGAGATGGGTAGCTCAGCAGGCATGATGGTATGGATTATATGGTGCGCTGCCGGAACAACTAGGTCAAGGATATGTCCCTTAGTTTGTCTTAAGAAGTTGACATATTGTGTTAAATCGAAGCAGTCTAACATTGCTTTCAAATTTTTAGTAAACATGTTATCAGTGTTATCAAAATGAACATTAGAAGTGTATTCATCAGAAAATAAACACACACAGCAAACAGCATTGCTTACTTAAAACTAGTCCTTCTACAAACTAATCCCTCCCTACTATACAGTATGTCCTAAGGCGTTATGAGTAAAGATGACTCCGTACAAGTCTTGTACTGGTAGTACTCCAACATGTGTGTGGAAACCTGTCATTAGTTATGATCTTACTGTCTGCTGTCTGTGCCACAGGTGTCCCAACCTGCTCTCGCTAACGCTGTCTGGCTGTGGACACATCACTGACCAGGATGTGATCTCCATGCTGCAGAGCTGCAGGAAGCTGCGCCGCCTCCACCTGGAGAACTGCGTCCGCATCACTGACAGTAGCCTGGAGGGTGTGGCGGCTCATGGAGATAGTCTGGAGGAGGTAACGGTGGACTTCTGCAGGAACATCACTCAGGCAGGGCTGCTGGCTGTCAGAGAGAAGAGGCCAGGCATCCAGCTGAGTGCAGAGAGGAGCGCTGATATGATTCCAGACAGCAAGCCTGAGGAGAGGGTAGTGCTCAGGAGGACACTGCAGAAAGTCCTGCAGTTCTCCTAATGGAAATGCTTTCCCATCCTTTTGGACCACAAGGAAGAGCATTTCTGTAGCATCTATCATTTAAGGACTTGACTGTGATGTTTTTGTTGATATGTGTCTGGATTTAATACAAGGGTTTTTGCACAATTTTTATAACTTTTTATACAACACATGTTGAATGTGAGTCTTCTTTACAAACGTGCGCTTTTTAAGTCTCTACTCCACATTATCCTAACCAGGGAGAATTCCAGACACACTCACAATAAAGTCTTGTAGTGTATACACAGGTGGGCTTATCAGCAAACACTGAAATGGAGCAATTATATGATTCCATTCTTCAAGGAATAGTTTGTCATTTTAGGAAATTCACATTCTTGCCAAGAGTTTGCTAAGACAGTCAATACTATTATCACGTCTATACAGTAAATATGAAGCTACAGCCAGCAGCCAGATAGCTTAGCTTAGCACAAAGACTGGAAATGGGGGGAAACAGCTAGCCTTACTCTGTCCCGCCTGCCAGCACCTCTAAGCTAAATTAACATGTTATATTTTGTTGCTTTTATCCGTTCAAAAACTTAAGTGAAAAACAACACTTCGCCAAACAAATTCTTGGCCAAGAAATAGTCACCCTGTAAAATGGTGTCATTTTTTAAAACTTTGTTTTTTGTATGATAAAATAAAAGAGACATGTTGAGTTGATTAGTGAGCTTTAGAGGTGCTGTTAGACAGATTTTGTTACCTTTGGTCAGATGCTAGCTGTTTCTCCCTGTTTCCAGTCTTTATGCTAAGCCATACTAACCGACCAGCTGCTGGCTCCAACTACATATTGACCATTTATATGTAAGAGTGGTATCGATCTTCTCATCTAGTGCTTGGCAATAAGGTTGATAAACATATTTCCCAAAATGTCAAACTATTTCTTTAACAGCATTCAATGGTTTGAATAAAATATATATGCGTGGTTGCACTGTGTGCTCTCTCTCTGTCATGGTAAGACATCTGGGAGGAAGGATTCTCTGAGGGCAAAGTGGCCCGATGCCTGAGCTGTGATTGGATTCATGTTATATAAAGACTGTGAGACATGTGAAAGTAGGTTGATTAGGGGAGGGTGTCTGCTTTATTCAACCCTACCAGGACATGTGCTTCATATTTCTTACGCTGGACTTTCCTTTTCAGGGTCCCTTTGAAAGCATATTTTTTTAATTTAAACTGACTGTTTGTTTTTTTACTTGTTGTGTGTGTTTCTTAACATATTTATTAAATTTGTCAAAAAATATTTTCCATCGTTTTAATTAAGTTTTTTTTAAAAACATATTATAATGATTGTTCATGTTGATTAGATTATTGGCATGCTAATTATTACAATATTAAGTTTTATATAATTTCCACTAATTGTGTTTAGTAGCATCTTAAACATAATTATTAAGATTTTCATTGGTGCTGTAATTCAAAAACAAACTTACATACTATTTACATGATTCTATGTAGAACCACTACTGATGCACAGTGAGGCATTAACATGTTTGTGTTGATCCATTTTTGCAAAATTGTAGCAACGGTGATTGTGAAGTGTATTTTTAAGTGCAGGCTCTTTCTCACAGCATCATCATACGAAGTGTTTTGGGCTAAATTGCATTCAGTAACAATGCCGTATATCTGAATATACTGTGTACCATTGTTAGTTGATCTGATTTGTGATATGTAATGAACCAAAATGAACAGAATTTGAATTTAAACACTATGAATTTTGTGGCCATCCCAACCCTGTAAGCATAACAGAAAGAGCTAAGAAATGTGGGGTTTAGATTGGTTTGGGCAACAGGATCAATTTCAAAAATGCAATAGACAAGTATCAAGAGTACATTCACATTTGTGACAAAAGAAACCCCCCAAGGGTGGGTGAGGATAGTATAGCATGTACTGCTTTAATACACAGTGTTGTGTTGTTTTCCATCAAAGAAAGCCCCCAAACCAACTAAATATAAATATAACTCTGCCATTGCACAGACAGGCAGAGGGAACAAATGCTATATTATTTACTGTAAAGAAATATGCCTTAATAGCAAAGTGCTTGTGAGGATAGATTGGTCAGAGTTATGAGTTGCAGGTGGGGAGACTCACACAACTGCCTACAGCACTCCAATACAATGACAGGACACAGCTCTAGACATGTAACAACATGACTATATAAAAGCCTCACTCCTCTAGTTGTTTCCACCAGGGGACATTTTTTTATGGATGTATAATTAAAAAACTGTTGCATCTCCTTAAAAGCACTGCTTTTTGCTATGCAAGCTATTCAGGCATCCTTTTTGCAACATCACCAAAACTAATGTAACATTGGATGACTCCTAATTTCAATCTATTTGAATTGTGAATAAAGTATCCAAGTCCAGCCTTCACTCAAGTGGAATCCGGGGGAAAGTAGCGATTTGAACCTGAACAAAAGGGCAGTTTGTGTCTGACAAGAGTGGCTACTATGCTGAATCCTATTATACTGTGAGAGAAACTCTGAGCTGAACGACCGTTTCTGTGTGATTAAACACAAACACAGGGAAATTCACAGTATCTGCTCTTCAGATCTTGCCAATGTTGGTCTGTTTTTATTTTACAATCCTTGGCCATGGTTGGTATGAGAACAGTCAGCTAGATGGTTCCTACTTAAGTGGTATATTGTGCTAACAGATGTCAAGGTGAAACAATTTATCTTTATACCCTGCTTCAGAAGACATCTTAGAGAGAAGAAAGACATACCTGTTTGAATTGTCTGAGGAGTGTTTCAGCAAATGTCACGTTGACGGTTTTCTCTTTTTGTTTTATATTATGTAACTACCACTGTGAGCATGAAATTGTTTAGATTTTGCACTCACTTGTTTGCTGGCATGCTTTCCATAATATTTCAGCCAAATAATAAACCAGCAGGTTCGAGTCTAATTAATGCTAATTCCCAGGAACCTAAAACTATTTGCCTGCTCCACCTCAGCTCCAATGTAGTTCGTTTTGCTGATGTCGAGCAGTAGGTTCTTTCTCCTGATATAAAGTCTCATTGTTTGAAATCCGGCCGATGATGGTAGTGTCTTCCCAAAAGCAGAATAAAATGGAAAAGCTCAAGTACGGTACAAATACCTCAAACTTGTTAGTACAGTACTTGAGCAAATGTAATTCGTTATTTACCACTATTGTACTTCTCAGCACAAAAATCTGATCAGATTCTGCAAGTTTACCTTCAAGCATAGAGAAGGAACTCTGCAGACCTTGAGCCCCCACTGGCACATGGTTGGACACATCTGCACTAAATGAACAACATGATTTCAACTCTGTGCTCCTGACAGAAAATTGTGTAAAAGGCTAATTCCAAGCGATTGATTAATTTTGTTACTCTTGCTCCATTAGAATAACAAATTTCATTTAAAGAAATTCAGCAGAGGGGAAACAGCTAACTCTAATCAATTTAATTAGCTGCTCTGCTCTTGACAAGTGGCATCATGTGGAGAGATGAGAGATGCTGATGTTTTTGTGGAGTTTTATTTTATTTTTTTGCATTTACTTTGGAGTTTAAAATACTTATTACATTTTAACGTGAATCACAAAAGATAAAATAGTCTTTATTTTAATAATTAATTTTTTAGTATAATTTGTATTTTAAAATCTGTAATGCTAAACCATGTTCCTGGCAGATGACAGTAGCATATTAAAAGGAACATAATCTGTGAACAACACCAATGCATGGATTCTGGAAAAGTTTTAAGGACTTTTTTGTATCTCTCTGAAGCCATTTAGAAATTTTGCACTCTTAACCCAGTGATACTGTTTATTGTAGTTCCTCAGCTTTTACTGAATGACTCCTAAAAGACCAGAATGGAATTTTAAACTGATGGAAATGATCTTCTACAGTGACTGTGGTTTTCAACAGCTTTGCAACAACTGTTTCTGCTTAGAAGGTCACTGATTTTCATCCTAAACCTTAAAAGAACACTCCAGCAATTTAGCATTGCACTCCTGTAATGTTGTCGGAGTCACTTGGGGCAAAATTGGTGCAGCAGAACCTTTTATACAGGCTAGAAGCAGAACTAGAGATATAATTTTTTGAAAACACACAAATGCTTCTTCCTTGTCAAAACTTTGCATTACATTACCCACAATTCAACAACAGCTTGCTCGGAGATTCTGGTGGTGTTATGCTTGTAATAGCTAATTTAGCCTGAGCCGCTATCCCCATACAGAGATAAGGAACGGTCAACTGAAGTCTGGTAAGGTCCAATCTTTCTACCTTCACACCTCATTCATTTTTAAGCATGGAGTCTTCAGCCGCAACTGACACAATTTATCAGATCAGATTTCACACAGCTTCCTTTGGAGACTTTACACAACTTTTTCCATACATGCAGAAGCACTCCCCAAGATCTGTAAACAGACTTTGATACTGTAAGTAAATTCCCCTCTATTAGAATGTAGTTTTCCATCATTTAGTATTGCACATTGGACGACAATAACCTTTAAACAATAACAAATATGTTTTTTTAAAACTGTAAATTCACAGTAGTGCCTGACATACATTTTGATGTCCTCCTGCAAACTATGCACAAACCTTGCTGTCTTATCAGGTTTTGCACCTCCTCCTGCTTCTGGCGTGTATGTAGTCAAGAGAAACAAGGCTAATAGAAAGTGTACTCATAATCACTTTTATCTGGCCCATAACCTAAAGACTTAAAGCATGATTTTAAAGTAATTTAGAAGCATCTCTAAATGATGGTAATCAATACTTTATTTGACTGAAAATTTGCAAATGTATCCTAATTTTATATTTGGATTTAAACTGCCATTAGCAGAGTATATAACCCATAATATATACAGTAGATGCTCTCAGGATGACAGTATGCATCCAGCATTTTATCTTAAGGATTAGTGCTGTGAGAAGGCCTATGTGGAGTCAGTAGCTGCAGGGCCTTTCCCCTGTGTGAAACATGAGCTGATAAAGACAGGATGCTGGTGGTGAAAGAGGGAGGGGGACTGAAGCAATGGAGGTAAAAGGAAAGGGGTAGCCATTTGAGCCTGAAACTTGAAATCATCAGTTTCCTGACAGCCTTATAAGGTCATTTCCAGTATCCACCCACTGATTACTCACCCATGGAGGGGTGGCAGAAGGGAGGAAGGAAAAAGAAAAGAGGGAGGGTTTGATTTTTTTGTGAGTCCGTGACCAAGTGCTCGTCCAGGGTCAGACTCAGGGAGGGGCGTTGTTGAGAGGACATCCAAGCCTCTGTGTGGTATCAGATGCAGAGTCATTGGGCTTCAGCGACTTATCAGTTATTGTGACTGCAAGTTTTTACAATCCAAAGCTTTATACTGTAAGAATCTGGGTTATAGGCTGTAACATAAAACTCTAAACTCTTCTTTGGGTTAATTAATGTCTAGACAGTGGCCCCATGTGTTACCTTCTGTTGAATGAGACAGAGCGTAAATAGGTTGTAAATTGTTCAGTTCCCACCTATTATCACATGTTAAAATTCATGTAAGCAAGGGGGACATTGACATTTACATCTTGAGCTGATCAGATAACTCTATCAAAGTCTCTGTCAAGTGTAAACACAAATCAGACATGTTGGGACTAGAGTCAAATCTGATTTTGATATAAATATTTTTGCTTCATATGATCCCTTTTTGTTATTAGGCTCTAAATAGGTTTGAAGTCCTGTATGTATACTCTATATTTCTCAGTAACGGAATGAAATTAAGTGCCATTACTCAAGTTTTTACACTATGATGTTTCTACTTTTGCTTAAGTAGAAGATCCAAATACTTCCACCACTCCTATTTCTCCAACCAGCTCCAGTTTTGACAATAGATATTTTTTTACAAAATATTACAGTGTAGATGCAGATGGATTCATATCTGCCAAAGGAAGTTGTTTGGATGTGCCCACATGAACAAGGAATGTAGATGAATGTTATCTGGATAACAAGATGCATGGAGTGACGAATGTAAACATCTCTGAACCAGAGAACCTCAGAACTGCATATCAGAGATTGATGACAATTACTGCCCCTCATGTCTCATTTTAAAATTTTGATGCTGGACATGCTGCATATGTGTACTGTCTGTCAGAGCCCAGTCTGCACATAGAGAGACAATTTTGATAGTGTAGCAGAGCTTTGAAGCCTCTTCCTTGTCCTATGATACTTTATTCTCCATGTTTCCTGCTGGAGTAACTCCTTGCCTGATGCCTCAGTCCTTATGTGGCTCTCTGGAGTCTGCCTTGTAGCTGAGGCTACAGTTGTGAATCACTGAGAGAGTAGTGTTTCATAGCAAAGTGTAGACATATATAATCATAGATATGATGATTCAAATCCAGTGTAGGATTAAATTTATATTTTAAAATTGCGAGTAAGAGAAAGAAAAAGAAAATTAAAATAAAAAATATGGCAACACTGCACATTCAGTGCTGGTTTCATTACCTAAACCAGAGAGCTAAGATTTGTCTTCTCCTTGTCTTCTCTGCACACACACATACTGATATTGTGCAAGGTGTTGAAATGAGACAGGTCATGCAGCAGAGAAGGAGATAAAGAGGGAAAAGCAGGGGGAAGTGGAAGACATGCTCAAGGACACATGGAGTCCAGGGAAGAGACAGTGTTCGTCTATCATAACATGACAGCCAAAAAAAGAAATGACACAGGATCTGCATCACAGACGGGGTTTTGACTCAGTCGTGGTTGACAGTCTCTCACCTCCCACTTTC